GATTGTACAAAAAATAATGTTTTTAGCTTGTGGTTCCTCTAGAGGTAACAATTTTTATCCGATTTTAAAAACCATTCAAATAGATCAGTTGAGTTCGAATTTCGTGAAAATCAGTCAGCAACTCCAGACAAAATGGCCACTTCTCTTACACAAAATGTATTATGGCCCCTGATTGTCCAAAAAATAGTGTTTTTAGCTTGTTGACACTCTAGAGGTCACAATTTTTTTATCCGATTTTGAAGAACTTAAAAACTTAGTGGCCAGTCCCCGTACACAAAATAGTGTAAAAGTATGGAATACCAAGGTTGGGACCATCTAGAGGTCACAATTTTTATCTGATTTTTATAACACTTGAAGTGTATGTTTATATCCCAAAGATCTTGGTTCCTTTCTATATCTGCACATATCGGACTAACTTACTGGATTATTGCCCTTGATTGTATGAAAAATAATGTTATTGTCATGTGGACACTCTTAGAGATCACATTTTTTATCTGATTTTGATGAAATTTAAAATATATGTTTATCACAAAGGTCTTGGTACCTTTTCATATTGTCATATGTCGGACCGTAAAATCCTGGATTATGGCCATTGATTATACGAAAAATCGCTTTTTTTTTAACTTGATCTGTCCCTGTTTTGCTAAATGTTGGCTGTATCTGCCATGGCAACCCCTTGTTATTTATCTATTACAATCTGTATTTAGCCTAACATTGAAAACAGGTTTTTGGAATAATATTGATTAAAGTTTCTGGATTTAAGCTTTAAATTATCGACCAGACTCTTGCTGCCATTCTGATACCTGTATAAAGTAAAGCAAGGAATTGATGCATATTACCTTTCAACAGGTCCAGTTCAATATTTGTTAACCTATACTGGAATTTGTTAACATATAAGGATGTCACATAAATCTTTTGTTGTAGATATACGCCTAGCAATTAATATATTATTTATGTATTTAGGCACTGTAAATATTGACAACCCAATATCCCTTAAAAAGTAGAGAAAAGTGAGTTTTTTAGCCTGTTTACGAAGCTGTCTGAAAATACTGCTTCTGGGACTGGCGCAAACCGCCTGAGTCACCAAACTACATGTAGTATTTCATAGCTGTTCTCTTGACAGTTTGAGTCTCGACAGTGAACCATAGTTTAGCACAGTTTTCGGTAATACAAGTGCTAAATGGTTAATGTATTCATTACAAGTATATTGCATAATGATTTATTTTCATGTACTCTTACTTCAAATATTTGCAATTATTTATTAAACATCTATATTTTTTTCTTTTTCTAGATAAATGAGAAATTAATATTGTTTATGAAAGAAATGATTATTTGGTATTTGCTCACAGTATTAACAGCAGTATACTGTATTACTAGAATTACCATAATATCTTAAATACACCTTAAATAATTCATACAAGCCAGTTAATTAATAGTTTATGTTGTTATACTGCCAAAATAATAATTACTCTACTTAAAAACACATTCTTCAAATGTAAATAGCTGGTGAAATGATCGTAGGTTAAAAGCAGTGTTAAATGAGCCCTTTTGTTCCCCACCTTTCCAAAAAAGCAGGGGACTATTAAAATTGGTTCGTCCGTCTGTCTCTCTGTCAGTCACACTTTTTGGGACACTATAACTTTCCTTCTAATTGAGCTAGAATGTTCAAACTTGATTGGTCAAGACTTTGGAACATAACAAGTCCTCTTTTAATTGAGAGATGTTCATTAGGCGAAGGTCTTGACTGAGTTCAATGATTAATATTTCCTGTTAAAGCTTAGCAGAGCTAATTAGCAATTTCATTGGTCGATGCTTTGGTTTGGGACCAGATAACTTTGATTCTAACTGATGGAGAGTGATGAAACTTAGTGTATAGTTTCACTACCATGTACTTTAAAACCTGAGTTTGATAGTGAACATTTTATGCAAAGTCCCCTCAAAAATTAAAAGCTCAGTCGCTATCTGAAATTCCATTATATCTTAATTCACCCACTCCTCTGTGGTCTTATACTCTCTTATCACTATCATATTCACAGTTGTAATGAATCGCCCAGTTAGTAGTACCACTAGTGAGTGGGTCGTGGGGGTGACAGTTCTTACAAAATAGGTGAAATTGACAGGCAGATCTCTTGATTCTGTCCCATTGACTCCCATTTCTGACCCTCTCATTCACAAGAATTTGCTCCCAGCAATGACCTCATATGCCAGGATATTGACTCAAATTTTCAAAATTTACTCAGGTGAAGGCTCCCTCCCCCTCTCCTAGGAGCCCCCTTCAGGTTGCTCAATGTTATAGCCACTAGCCCAAAGGTTCACAAAAAATTAATAACAGAATCAAAAACAATAATAATATGATATGAACTTTATGTCAACTTAAATAAAACTGCTTTCTGGTGAGATAATGATCAGCGAACAACTATGTACGCAATGCGATCTATGTTCAACTGGGACGCTCAGTGTTATAGCCAATATTTTGTTGACATTCATCATTGGGTAGGTATGTGATGGCGTCCTAGATCTGAAATTTAATTCGAAGTTTTAAGTTTTGAAATTTTTAAACAAAATATTGTTCTCGAAACTGGAGTGGATGTTCATGTACCTTTAAAGAAAATTTAATTAAAATAATTTTTATGTAGACTCGTTTCAAAGATAAATCTATACACGTATTGATAAAAAAAAATATATATATATTGATCATGAATTGCTTCTTTCTTGTAAAAGACAATTAGAACTTCTAATTATTTATTAATTTCATTGATTGCTCATCTTCCATGGTTTATTATCTTATAGATTTTTTTTAGGTGTTGTCTTTACAACAGTAGTTTTTCATGGTTATGATACCAGTTCAGCATGGGTTTTGTTATTTAGAAACCCTGACAACCGGAAAACATTAGACAACAATATTTGTAAAAATGAATTATGAGCAAAAGAGTTGTTTCCCTTTTAATATGCAGTTTTACAAAAATCTTACATTAACTGTTTAGAAAATGTAGTTAGTATTCAAAAGAGCTTAAAGGGACAATAACACTCTTGCTGGCTTGACAGCTCCAGAAAATAAAAAATAGCCTTATTCTAAGTTCTAGATGTATTAGTGTCCTACCTGTTGTTTAAATTATCCATTAAATCCTATTTTACTTGTCCAGAGGGTTCAAAAATGTGTTTAAATCCAAGTCACATTTGAAAAGCTTTACGTCAGGCTTTTCAAATAATTTAGTTGAATTTTTCCAACTTTTTAAATTAGGTGTGTTAAGATGAAATTTGTATCATCAATTAATTGGAATATTGTAAAATAGTGCAATTTGTTGACCAGAATAAAGATTGGGACATATTATTCAGTTACAACAAGAGTGGAATTGAGCCTTTAAGTCTACTGGATTTGAGACATGACTTCCTTCTCACCTTAAATATTTACAGATGGAGATCTGATAACAATGTTTTGTTTGGTTTGTTTTTGTCATAAATAAATCTGTTTTAATCATTAACACCATGAAACAATTTGTTTGTGTTATTACACAGAAAAAATTGGAAGAAAACACTAATTAGCCTCCTCTGCTAGTGTCATCTTCCAAAGTACTTTATTTAAGAAAAGTAGACAATGCTTCAGTTAGTCAGTTCTGGCAAATGTGATTGCAAAAGAACATTTTTGAACTTTGATACATGAAAGATTCTGTACAGGCTTACTAACTGATTCAGGATCCAGTGAATTATTTAGTCTCAGCAGAAAAGAAGACAATCCGCCGCCCCCAGAAAATTCAGTTTCTGCCAGCTGAGTTTTATCATAAAGCTGATAGTGTAATATGACCATTTTTGTTGGGTCAGATTCGTAATGAAATGGGGTTTAACATCCTATTTTTCTACACCGACTGGACTAATGAAGACATGCATACACTAAACAGCGTGCTATGAGGGAAATTTTACCCAGACAGTCGTGCTACAGCCTACACTTATTTTGAATTCTGTCAGCGGTTCTGTTAAGTGCAAGAAATTGTCTGCATGGGACCGTGGTTTTTCCTACCATCTGAACATTGTCCTTGCCAGGCCCTCCGTCGTGCACCACTGACAAGGATTTTTCTCAGTCAAAACAGAGAGCAAAGCAGAGACCGTCTAGTTAGCATACACGCATCTTACTCACTGAGCCACCGCATCTTCCTTTTTTCAGATACAAACATGTAGATGACATATAATACATTTTTCCCAAAGGAACCTTCCTTAACAAATCCATTTTATTTCGCTGTATAGATTAATGCTGCTGAAAAATTGTCACAGAAATGAGACAACTTTAGGGAAATTTTTAACAAAAACCAAATACCTGTGGTTCTTCTGTACATAGGCCTATTGATATCTAAAGTATTAAGTTTTGACATCAGTTGCATAGTCAGCTTTAAGTATTGTTTTTGTGAAAGCGCCAACATGCTAGATTAAAATTTAAATATAGAGTTTGAGACTATAGATTTAAAAATACTTTATTTACCAAAATCAATTTCTTTGCAAATATTCTGCTTCTTCTTTTAAACTGCTTGACGGATATCAGCCAAATTTGGTTTGTTCCCTAGGGAGATAACTCATTTAAATTTGTTCACATGATGTTGATTAACGACAGGGTATTTAGACATTTTGGACATTTTCAACTTCTTGTTCATCTTTTGGATTTCATCAAATTTGGTAGATGTGTTGCTTGGATGATGCTTATATTCAACTTAAAGCGGATGTCTACAGATTTTCCCCAAGTTGGAGGTTGTTTATGGGCACCATGAAGCCTGTAAATTAAAAATACAAATGTAGATATTTTCTCTCTATTGCAAGATTTTAACATAGATATAGAAATTATTAATATATTGATAATTAATATAACTTATCCCCTGATAGGCAATTAGGTCCATTTAGACTCTTGTTATATCAACAATATACCAAAGACAGACTTTATTTTTAACACACTTAACAATGGAGAAAAAAAAAATTATAACAATATAATAATATATATTTAAATATATCTTTTCTAGGTCTGAGATTTCTGAGAGCTTTGCGACTGATGTCATTCCCAGATATTTTGACGTACCTTAATATACTGAAGACAAGTACAATGATACGACTGACACAAGTTGTTGCTTATTTTATCAGTTTATGGTTGGCTGCAGCAGGATTCGTACATTTGGTAGGTTGAAAAATTATTAACATAACAATAATTTATTCATTTATACAGCGCAACAAGATCAAGTTGATGGCTGCTCTAAGACTCTTTACAAACCTTAATATTTAACAGATTTCGTTTGCCTGTTTTGATGCTCAAAAGAAAATTGTAATTTCTTGTCTAGGTATATGTGAAAATTGAGCCAAATCGTTATGATATGATAATAATAATATGTTCATTAAAGTAGGTGCCAAAACCCCTTTAGTAAGTTAAATGGATGGATTTAATGCATCCCAATTCGATATTAGCTGTATGCTACTTGTCCCTTTTTTGGACCTTCTTCACATTCGTCAAGGTAAAACCATTTAGCTTAATGCATTGATATTATGACATTGGTAAGTACTACTCGTCTGATGTAATACCCAAATTTGTTATTTTCTATATTTCATTCGGTTTCTTTTGGGGTTTTTTTGCAGGTTGAAAATTCAGGCGATTTTTTCTTTAATTTTTCCAATCCACAAAAATTGACCTATTGGGAGTGTTTATACTTTCTGTTGGTTACCATGTCAACAGTTGGATTCGGAGATGTCTATGCTACAACCGTATTAGGAAGAACATTTATTGTTTTCTTTATATGTATCAGTATCGTAAGTTTTTATTTACAGTTACTTTTAAAAACACCTTATTAACGATTGATTACTTAAAAAAACAGGGGGGGGGGGGGTAGTGCTGGGGTTTGATGGATGATTGTGCTGTCAGCTTGTATGACTATTGCATACCACTTTTGATAATGATACCTTCTTTTCCACTCTTTTCAAAAATCTTTCTTCTTCTATTAATGTTTAACGTCTGCTTCCACGGATGGTGATATCACTGACAAATGTTTTATTTTATTATGCTTAGTTCACACGCAGGGGTCTTTCCTGTGGGTTAAGAAGGCGGCCCTATCTCCTAGCTGGAGTTTGAAGCGCAACACTCTAGATCACTTGGCCATCCAACCCCTCTTTAAAAATCCCATTGCTAGATTTGCTTAAATACTCATATTGAAGCAAGGGTTTCTTATGAAGTAAGCAGTTGAATGACCTCATGATGAAACACATGTGCACTATTATCAATGGAAGTTATAGGTTCGAAGGAAAGTATTGAAACCCATGTTTGTTCCGAAATGACCTAGTTGAGTGGATGTTAAACCCTCTCTCTCATGTCTCATGAAGCAAATTATAACAGAATTGGATACAATTACATAAAATTATATATTTTAGGGTTTGTTTACCAGCTTTATACCTGAAATAGTAGAAATTTTAGGCAGACGCCAAAAATATGGCGGAACATATAAAAAGGAAAGGGGGAAAAGGTAGTGTGTTTTTATTGGTGTTTGTTTCATTAAAATTTTACAACAGGAAAGTTCCATAGTATATTTCAGTCAGTAGAAAAGTGTTTATTCTTCCCGATGCATTAAAATTCTCGGAAATCCAATGTATACCACATAGGCGTACGGGCCGCCCCCCCATTTTGGGCACCAAATGCTGGGAAAATTTGGGCACACAATTGTACTTTGTAAAAGTTGTATAAAATAATATTGCGTTCTTGAATGTGTCCAATTTAACATTTTGGGCACCAAATGCTGGGAAAATTTGGACACACAATTGTACTTTGTAAAAGTTGTATAAAATAATATTGCGTTCTTGAATGTGTCCAATTTAACAGCGAATTTATTATTATTATGTAACATACTAAGAACCTAACTACATCTTTTGGGCACCAACCACCACCGCCCCCCCAGTCAAAAATTTCCCCGTACGCCTATGGTATACCATTGGCAGTACGTTGAAGATCCCCTGGCAGTTGTAGTTTGAATTCAGAATAGTAAAATGTTAAACCCCATTTCATTTCATTTCTGATCTCTACAAAATCCAACAGATCACTTTTAGGAGTTTGACTGTGTTGAATTATAACAGTAATCAGGACATTATGAACCGTTTTATTATATGATCAAATATATTTTATTTCAGACATATTGTTGTTTGTGGGCATATTACTTACGAATCTGTTCAGAACTTTTTAAAAGATTTTCTACATAAGGATAGAGAGGATGTTGATGTAGAAATTGTCTTTATACATAAGTAAGTTTAATATGTATATTTAATGTGGTGCTTATATGCATTTTTGAAGTAATCTCTTGATGTTAAGATACCGGTAGTTATCACATCTTGATGACAGTAACCACCTTGCACTTGGAATTTCTATAATCAACTCTTAGAACCCAAAATGTTGTAAACTGGCTTTGACGTTCTATCCTATCGTCCCAAGATGTCGATTTTGCGGCTTGTGGGCGTGTCTTCTGACACGCTTCCAAAACATTAACAAAATAGCCAATTAAAATGCCAGTCAACTTACTCCGGGTCTGGTGTAATAGCGACTTCCCTCTACTTGTTTACATTTCGATTTTCGGATATCTTGCAATGAATTATGTGTTCTAAACGACAAAATACAACAGATGCACTATAGCTCTTACCAAGATATTGATGGGTCAGATTACGGCAGTGAAAGTGATTTTGAAAGTGAACCAAGATTCTGACAAAGATAAGAAAGAAAATGACAGCTATGATAACACTAGTAGAAAGGAATAGGTTTTCATATATAAATGTAAGCATAAGGTAGGTATCAGAAATATAGAAATGACTTGTATAAGAAGAAAGGGAAGAGCTTTTTATATACCTTCATATACATGTAGTTATGATTTATTTCAGGGGTTTACCAGATTTAGAATTAGAAGGTTTATTGAAAAGACATTTTACTCAAGTTGAATTCTTCCAAGGAACAGTAATGGATGCTAATGATCTAGAACGAACCAAGGTTAGTTGTACACATCCTTCACCTACTTTACCTATTTATATCATTATCATGATATTAAGTTGTTTTCTTGAACTAAGTATGTATCAGGAGAAATTAAGTTTGGTATGGCAAGGGTAACTCTTAGACCCTCTGTCGGCTGTTGATAACATTGGTGTAAGATTACTTAGAGGCTTTCTCGTACTGCAAAACAACACTCTGTTTTGCTCCCTATATAAAAAAAAATACAATGTTGGTCACCAGTAGGAAAGTTCCTTAAGATAACAGAAATTGCCTATAAGTATTACATCCATTGACTATTTTAACTCTGCTGTGCCAGTTAAATAAGAATTGGTCTTTTGATCAGTCATTGTCTCGTGACCACAGGTTTCACTTTCAGTCATTTTTAAGGCATGTATATTGACTGACAGATAAATTTTCAAGCCGGCCACTATCACTGCCAGTCCGGCAAATATAACTGAAACAAGAGTTGCTCCTGACAGCTGAATACTGCCTGTCTGCACTTGACCCCCATATTATTGGTTCTGGTATCGTAGTCTTTTCCAGAATCAAACCAATAATAAGATAGATTGGATATGGATCTGAAAAGTTTTGTGTGGAAAAGAAACTCAGATTTATGTATATTTTAATTTTATATTACAGATTCGATCAGCAGATGCATGTCTGGTATTAGCTAATAAATATTGTCAGGATCCTGATCAAGAAGATGCATCTAATATAATGAGAGTTATCTCTATAAAAAATTATCATTCAGACATCAAAGTTATAGTACAATTACTACAGTATCATAATAAGGTATTTATTTACATAATTTTACATAATCTTTATAAAACAACATTTGAATTTGACTTACTAATCAAATTAATATTTATTTATGAAATTACCTCTCATAAGGATTTAGGAACCAAGAGTTAAAGATGCATTATGTTTGACCTTAAATGTTATAAAAATCATTAATTAGACATTTCGTCGCCTGAAAACCATATTGTTCTATTTCCAATTACCTCTGTTTTGAGAAAAATGAGATCAAATGTTTGACACTGTACATTTGTTTATATTATTGGCCATCAGTTGTTTATTATTTTACATCACATGCATATGAATTATACCTGAATTTGGAGCATCAATTTTAGATGAAATAATGAGAAATAAAGCTAAAAAACGATTTTTTTGTTTGGAAATAGAACATTTTCCTAAATCTGAAATCGTTCAAACTGAAATCCAAAATGTTCTATGTCCATTATATATGCATATGAACATGCACAGGAAATGTAACTGGTAATTTTATCCAATTATGGGTGTTTAAGAAGGGGGAAGCTCACGTGTTCGCTATAGACTATAAGGTCTGTCATTTAGTGGCATGATTTCGAACCCAAACTTGACTTGTACGTGACAAAAAGTTGGCTCGCTTACCCAACCTCGTGTGTTTTCTAAGCCCCCCCCCTCCCCCACTATACCCCTCTAAGCACATGGGTATTATCAGAATAAAATGGTATCATGTTTGCTCTCTCTCTCTCTCTCTCTCTCACTCTCTCACTCACTCACTCGATCATAGTTAGAGGCCATGAAAACCTCCTTGACCGGTTCAGCTTTATAATAATAATAACAGATTAATTGAACTAAATGTTTACTAATATTGTAATATCTGACATTTAATACACAGAGATTGAAAAAATTATTAGCATGCATGTCTGGTTCTTGGAACTTGGAACTCCTGGTAGATCAGTTTCAACATCAGTCTCAACTAAGAACATTAAAATACATTCCATATGATGTAGTCTATAGATGATACATGAACAATATAAAAGAAATAGACTTCAATATAAACATCAGTGTCTTGACGATCATTAATAACATCTTATTCAGTCAATTTAGACATAAAGACTTTATCTTTTGGTGTCATAAACTTTAACATAGCTCTTAAATCTTTAATTTTTTCTTGGGAAAGTTGCATCTTCTTGTGGATACATTTAACAGCTGGCCACCTTTCTGGTGAAGAAAGACGTCTCTTCATATTTTGTGAACGTATGGAGCAACTGTTTGCAGTGTGTCCTTCTTCGAAGGATAATTTATATTCTATTTGATATGTCGCATCTTTACGGTATGAAATCTGCTTAACTTTCGAAAATGGTACACTTCTAAAGTTTAGAAGCTTGGATGATTCCAGATAGTTCTTGAAATGACCCTCCCTCATTTGAATAATTGTAACTGGTTTTCTCATACAGGTTTTCAGACAATTCATCACCCCAAGAGGACTGAATGTTTCTTGTTGCGAAAGTCGTCGTTCAATACAGCTGTGAATACTATCTACTTCTTGGATAGCTGAATGTCCGGGTTCACAATATTTCTGATGAATGACATCTACCTGGTGCTTTTGCAGAAAGTCTTTAAGGGAAAATGCTATAGCTGAATTTCTATTTTGGGGAACGCAAGAGTCTGACCAAAGCGTGATTGTTTTGGGATTGTATTCTTCCACGATTTTTTCGAGTATGACAATTAATGCACTGGCTATCTCATTTGAGCCTCTACCGGCCAATTTTTCATGCCATATAGCACAGTAAGCACTGGAGTTGGAAGAGCAATGAGCTGTCAGATTATACACACTTAATTTTCTGCGGTAGAAGAAACTTGAAATATTTGCTCTAGGACATGATATTACATTCTCTAAGTCGAAGCAAACAACCATATCTGTTCCTTGTCTATCATTGTCTCTTTCAACTTTCGTAGCAAGTTTTGACTCTACATGTTTTCTATTCAATTCAATAATTTCCTCATCTAAAAGATTACACCTTTCTTTCATTCTAAATTCTTCACATTTATCACATCTATCTTTTTTGGGTGAGAAAAAGCTGAGATTAAATTCTGTATTGAATATTTGTCTGTAAATATGCTCCTTAACAGAATCTTTTCTATCTTGTTCACACCTTTCAAGATACAACCTGTACATCTTCGTGATACTGAGATCATTCTCAAGGTATTCTTTTGTAGTTGATTGTCTACAGTAGTGAGATTCTATTTTTGGGAATGATCGAATATGCTCGCGTACAAAATCTTTATTTTCTTGATTTATTCTATCCTTTGTTTTACTTCCTCTTTGATCACCACACATCGGTGTTGAAGAAGCGGTATCATGTTTTTTTTCAAAGTAGTAGGAAATTCTCCGTTGGGATATATCAAGAGTTGACAAATAAAAGACCTTGCAAACTCTTATTTTAGAGTCCTCAATATAGAAATTGTAAATATAAGAAAATGTTCTCCTACTTTTATCTTTAGATCTATTTCTGGATTTAACTGCCCTGTCTATTGTTTTTGAGTAGAAATGGTTCTTTTCGTTGTCATTTAAAGACCAAAACGCAGCAAAAATGTTTTGCCTATCTAAGTGTGATACCTTGGTACAACATTTAAATTTACAGCTCCCTACACAATCCTTTTTTGTTTTAACATTTCGTTTGGGAATAGCTTGACCTCTAGAACCTGTATAGGCTTCTCCAGCTTGCCTTTGACGTTTCCGTTCACATTTTTTCCACTTGTTTATATCCCTTTTTCTTTTTCTTGATCTTATATTTTCGTCATCATTATTTCGATCTGTACTATTATTATCATTACTTTGGGATTTATCGCTATCAGAATTCTCTTCATCATCATTTGGCACCCATTCATCAGTACTAACATCGGCTGGGGAATCTAAAATTTCATCAGTAGATATCTCAGCTGGTGAACTTGAAACTGGAGATTCAACAGATTGGAATATCTGTATATCACTTTGTGTATCCCCTTTTGAAGGGTGTAGGCCTAGTTCTATGACTGGTTCAACTGCTTCAAAATCAGCTTCTTGTTCTTCGTCATCTTTTGTTATCATGGATAAAACATCATTGAAGTCTAAGAAAACTGACATTTTGAGTTTAATGTTCCTGAAATATAAACGAAATGAAATTGGGTTTAACGTTCAGTTTGGAATGTAGATTAATTGATATATAAGATGAAATGATTGATAATTGTTCTATGTGTATTGCAACTCTTATTATTATCTCTTCTATACTTCACATCCATAGTGTTCTATCTCCATAAGTAAACAAATGCATCATTTTAACACAGATGTCTAAAGTAAATTAAAATATAAAGCATCAGTACAAATCCTTGGATCAAAAGGATTTGATAGGCATGAAAAGTGTTAGAAACATCAGATAGGTGTTAAGAAAAATCAAATATTGTTACCTGACGTTTGTACTTTCCCTCCAACAGAACTTCAAAACCAATTTATACTATCTCCAAGTAACGTGACAAATCTGACATTCGTCATTGGTTAATCACATAGAACACTCTAGAATTCATAGAGGGCTAAGAAAGTGGAGATAGTACGGTGATAATTGTTGAGAAATCACCTCTATTTTCATATTTAAGGCTAAAAATTTCATAAATAGATAGAATAGAGCCTAATTTGGCGGTAAAGGGCAATAACTCCAATTTTACCAAAAGTGGACATAGAACACTTTGGTTTTCAGGCGACGATTTATTTACATGCCAAGCCCATAATTATCTCTCTAGACTATTGGATGATTGAAATTTTCTACAGATTTAAACATGATCGCAAGTTAATGATTTAATTAAAAAATGGATAATTGAGAATTTTTCTACTATCGTAACAACAGTAGCAATAACAATCTATACTACACCATAACTCTGATCAGAATTAAGTAATTTGACTGAAATTTCCAATATATTCCCTTTTCATTATCTATCTTTTAACTATTTTACCGAGAACTGTCAGCTCTCTACATAATGCATCTTTAATCTGATTCAACATCAGTTTTCCAAATGAATGAAGGGGACGAGTTAGGAACCTGACTTTTCTGGATCGAAAACTTGGTATGGGCCGAGAATAAAATATTGGGACTTTTCAAGTCTGCTGGTTCTTACTTTCACGAGAAGCAGCTGCATGGCTGACAAGAAATGTTATTAGGTTTTGACAAAAATACAAATTGGTAGTGTAAATCAAAGATCCCTTGGCTGTTTGAATTCAATTTGTATTTTAGTCTCAAAATGTTGATAAGACATTGATCATAATCCATTCCAAATAGATGGAAGTGGTCCTAAGTGTTCCACAAAGAGTAAGCATATTTTTATAGTTTTGGTGATTATTTATTTGGTTATATTTACAGGCATATTTACTAAATATACCAAGTTGGGATTGGAAGAGAGGAGATGATGCTGTTTGTGTTGCTGAGTTAAAACTTGGTTTTATTGCTCAAAGTTGTCTAGCACCAGGCTTCTCTACATTAATGGCCAACTTATTTACAATGAGATCTTTTAAAACGGTAATTCATTAACTTTTAAGTCATGAGAATTCACATAAGAACTATATAAGAAGTATGTATAATTGACTATGATCGCAGTGGGGGTTGCAATGTCTTGCCTAGTTTGTGTCTTGTCCGCAGGTTTGTCTTTTCTGCTTTGTTTGTATGTAGTGGGATCCCCCTGCACTTACTATTAGGTTGAAGAATGCATGTGAGAACTATACAACAAGTATGTACAAATGACCATGATCATGAAATAAATGAAAATAAAAATTTATGTCATCAATATTACTAATGATATTGAAGCAAAAGAAAACAATAAAACTCCCAGAGAAGTGAAAATTAGATGTGTTCTTAACACTTGAACAAATATAAAATGTTGAATGATGTTTATTATTATGAAGCATTATTGTAGAATGTTTAACTGTATAATTATGATGTATTATTGTAGAATGTTGAATTAAGTCAATGGCAGACAGATTATATGAGAGGTACAGCTATGGAGATGTATACAGAATATTTATCTAGTGCGTTTAATGGTTTAACATTTCCTGAAGCTGCAGAGTAAGTAAAACTAACAAACTAAACTTGAGACCACAAGAAATATACATTTATTTAATAACACTCTTCATAAAATGGACGAGTCAGAAGAAGAGTTTAATAATACAGATCATCAAAAAGAACTATTGGTCCTAAAATTAATGAAATTGGTCAGTCCAGAAGTTCAGTATATTTGATTTGTATTTGCTAACAAAAGACATTATATAACCTACATTTTGGGGATTTTAAATTTTAAACAAAACTGTTCAGTCCATATTTTGTTGAATTATAAATATTGAAAATCTATACGAACCTTCTGTCTTGTTAAACCATAACCGTGCGTTAAATCAAAATCTAATGGCAATTATTTAATTCCTCTTGATTGCCTCATGTACACACATACCCCAATCTTTAAAATTAAGATTTCTTTTTTGGGTGCTAAGGGCTTGTAACCTCGGCACTGACTGAGAAAAATCTCACGAGTTCCCAAGGGGTAGCCCCTGCCAAACGTTGCCTTGTTATTTGGACACGTTGGTATTAACATAAAATAAAACTTTTGGCAGTACTGATTAAGTGAAGAGTAAGCAGAGACACGGTGAAAATTCTCCTCTCTTGCATTGCACATGTGTCCACAGAAAATTGAATGTTGGTATGAAAATGAATATTGTGTTGATGACACATTTAACACCATTCCTTTTCTATGTTTTTACAGGTTATGTTTCTCGAAGTTAAAGTTGTTATTATTGGCTATAGAAGTACGACAAGAAGAAACCAGAGAGAGTACGTTAGCTATTAATCCCGGTCCAAAAGTTAAAATAGAAAACGCTACGCAAGGTTTTTTTATTGCTGAATCAGCAGAAGAAGTTAAAAGGTAAACAATGAAAGAACTTCAATAAACATCATATATTAGGTCATGTATTTATATCTATAGATTTTATTTTAAAATACCTGACAAATGAATGGAGTTAATACAAAATGTCAATCATGGCTATAATTTTATTGATGGATACAAAATGAACTGTATTGACATTTTAGATCAATTGTAACACACACTTGTAACCGGGGGGCCTGGGTTCGATTAGTTGGATGCGAAAATTCTTCAGGATTTTCCAGTCTGGTTTTCCAAGGTCAAAAGTGCAGGACAGTTTATACCACTGGTAGCACGTTAAAGATCCCCTGTCAGTTGGAAATTGAAATAAGAATAGTCTGGGAAAACTTTTTCTCATAGGACACTGCATGGCATATGCCATCTTCATTAACTCGATGCAGAAAAACAAGATGTTATACACCTCATATCATTTGTAACACAAAGCGGCATTCTGATATGTATTCTTAAATTTCAGAGCTTTTTACTATTGTAAGAATTGTCATAATGGTGTTACTGATGTAAGAGCTATAAAGAAATGTCGGTGTAGACCATGTAAGTATATATATTATAACTATGCAATTAGTATAGGATTATAACACTTATCATAGATTATATATATATATAGGTACTGGATAAGCTGTAGATAATCTGGTATAAGATTAGTATATCGGATATCTTTAGTCTAATAAGTAGAAACATGTAATACAGTGTTAGTTTTAAAGGAGCTAAGTCTCTAACTCAATATCATCCAAAATCTTCAACATTTAAAACACGAATTATTTGTCAATTTAAAACAACATTGATGCTGTGATCTTACCGGAAAAGGGTGGGCTTCTGATATCCAATAAGACAAAATAAATATTTTACCATTGGTACACGAATAGTGTACCGTAATGCGTTTCAGCCCCAGTTCTAGCAAGAGACTAGAGGAACGAGGCTAGACATATTGCACCAAACCAAACGGCTTATGTAGACTGGAATAACCAGACGCTAGGAATTTGCACTCGATTGAGACTGCTGGCTTATTTCACGGAACATAACTGATTTGAAATTAGAGTAAAAACGGAAACGATTGAATGTAAATCAGTTTATATACATTCATATTACGGTATTATATGAGTTGCGACCCACTTGTGTCAATTTCTAGGTCCCAAATATGAGCGATTTAGCTCCTTTAAGCATAATGACTCTTACACCTGCGTAACTGCTGCCAATTTGGACCTACTGCAGTTCCTAGAATGCTTCATGATGGTGCTAAACTGTCAGTGTGTTATTTTATGCTCATGAAAAAATAACCTGTATAATATATATGATTTATCTAAATTATTTTAAATTTGGTGGCAGGTGAAAAGTAAAACTTTTAAACCACAAAGTGTTCTTTTAAGACACCTCTTCATAAAAGTGTGATTAATAAGCTGATATTATGAGATACGGTAAACATTTTTCACCAGATAAGTTTAAATATTTATTGCAGTAGGTTCAAATGTTATTTCAGTTATATATACCATCAGAACTGTAGCTTTTTCTCCTTGCCTTATAAATAAACTATATAGTAAATATTGATAATAATCAAATTACATCAATATAATCCAGTTATCTTTTAGATGCTTATGCTATATATATAGATATCTATTTGTATTTTCTTGTTTTACATATTATTCATTTTGATTTGGTTTGCGTTAGTCTATGTAAAGTATAAGTAAACTCAGTGTATCAGTCTTAAGGTGAGCAATGGAGCTCAAACAAGCAAATGTACGCAATCTGATAGTGAGGAGTAGGATGTTTGTGCATGTTAAATGATTTGATATCATATGATATAGCCTTTCCATTTAACTTTTCGCAAACATCTTAATGAGTAGGTGTTTTCCCTCTCAGTTGTTTTACCATCTTTCTGATGCCTTACAAACAAAATGAAAATTGCTTTTAATGAACCTTCGTGTACATGTATACTTGAAAGAACATAAACCGTGAAAGCATTTTCGAAATCAACTTATAATTATTATGTCTATTTATTATTTAGTTCTAGATTAGTATTTTCCATTAAAACACAGTAATGATATACCTTACAATATTCTTTATACATAGATCAATTTATATTCACTCAAAACACAGTAATATTTAACTTAGAACTAGAACGTTCTTTTTATAAAGGATGGTGGCAAAATTTCAACACTTGCATCCAAACGAATAGCTCACCTGCCCATCCTCAACGACAGAGTATGAAAATGTTGACACAGATGGATTTTGATGCAAGTTTCCCAGTTAACATTGATCGTTAGATTTACATAAAGTTTACGTCATTTTGGTTAGCGTCCAATAGTGGTAAAATGTTATTGTCAAATTTACGTTACTTTTAACTGATAATGGTTATGGTTACTTTTACGTCAGAAAATGACGTAAATCTAGCGTAAAATTTATGACGGTTTTCTAACCAATTTTTTCGCTTTGAATGATTCTGGATTAAATAACCATGCCAGTGTGTGCACATGCTAACAGTTGATAATCGGTCGGAATTCAGACATAATGACATATGTATTATTGGTTATAATTCTAATGTTAATCTAAGTCCAAATAACCGACATTTAATATATCATTTTGTATCTGCGGTCTTGTTCAATCCACCCACCTAGTTCCAAGAATTGTTTGGACACAAGTGTTGAAATTTTGCAATAATCTCTTATACATAGATAAATTTGTTATTTAAAGCAGACAGTAGATTTGATTATTTTTATTTTATTAAGTGGCACTGTTCAAGAAAGGAGCGGCTGCTATTTTAGGTATTTGTATCTGATAGTGATTACCGTAGTATTTATAGTAGGCTTAACTTCTGCTATAGTATAGATAGCTCATCATTCCAATAAATATGTTTTTTCTTCTATGTTCATTGTCAATCTGCTATTCTCTATCACTGTGAAGCTATTATTTTTGGTGTCCATGCCAAAAATACAAATTCTTTCATTTCTCAGTCTTTACTTGCTCTTTTGATCAATTGGAAATGAAAATCACTTTATTTCAGACTTTCTTTGAAATCTTTTCACATTTATGAATCATTATGACAAATAAATTATGTATATTCTCTTAGTTATTATAAACTTTTACGATTTCTTTCAAAATGAATATGTCTTAAGGGTGTTGAGTAGTCTAAGATATGCACTTGTTCCATGTGTGAAATAACTCAGAGCAGTAAGAAAAAAAATATTTATAGCAAACGAAAAGGTTTCCCTGACTTAGATCAGTTGTTGAATAAATTATGACGTCGTACACATTGATCATATGATCTGCAGTAAACAATCATGGCTGCCTCCAGAAACAGTTTCACTTTCACACTGGATGATTTATCCCAATTAAGTCACGTGACCAGAAGGAATTCTCTCTATGACGTGATTATCCATGGTTTACCATCTATCAAAATTGGAACATCACTGAGTTTCTTTTCTTGATGGTCGAAGACTATCATATTTGAATGTATAAAATGATTGTGAGTGCAGTGGGGTAGTGCACTGAAGTAAATATTTGCTTTTTACATCCGAATTGTTGTATTTTTAAACTTGTTGTGAACGTATTCAAAGAATTTACCAAAAATCACAAAATCTCGCTTGAAGGTAAATAATGAACAAAGATTTTAATCAACTTTTGAGTAGATATTTATTAACGTCTTTGGTGTCGAAATGTCGCTTATAAATAACCTCCTCTTTCAAACTACTGGAGGGATTATCAATAACTCTTTTTAGCATGAACTTATAGAATTTTGAAGAAAACTCATCTTTTTTTGCCATTTCGATAGATACTAGACAAACCATGCTCTATAGCCAAAATGTGACCCACATCTTTCTTGGGCATGCATTTAGCATTGTTCATGCCAAATTTGAATAAAATCCATGCAGGAATAACTGAGAAAATTCAGCACCCTTTATTATCATGCTCTTAGGCCAACTTTGGAACAAAGTTGGTAAATAAAATTGGTATTTCTTTCATGATTAATATGTAGTTTATCACCCCAAATAACAGAAAATGTCATATCTTATGAACAAAACTTAACGGTGCTAGCTTTAAAATGTGCATTTTAGAGTACGCAATGCCCTGAAAACTGTTCACTGTTTTTATTTATCTTAACTCCTACATGAATTTTTATGACAAATTAAAATTATGTATTCTGTTTGTTATTTTATTCATAAACATCCATTCTTTTTTTTTGACAAATACTTAACAATCTCTTTCAAAATAAGTCACTTAAAACTTTTTACATCCGTTTTTTTCCCATGTGAATCTTTTTGACGAATACTTAACAATCTCTTTCAAAATAAGTCGCTCAAATCTTTTTACATCCATTTTTTTCCCATGTGAATCTTTTTGACAAATCATTTCATTTGTATTCTAATTTGTTGATATAGATGTCATTAGAACCAAAGCACTGCCGCTACTTGTAAATGGTCCATGACCCCCCCCCCTCTTTCCATATAGAACTAGCTTTATTTTAGTGTAGATTATACAAAAACTAGATGTGTCTCTAGATTACGGAATTGTTTATTTAATAGTAAACAGTTTGATAGTTAAATGTACTGTTACTTATTATTTAGTAAGATTTTATTTATATCATGAATCATTAGACTATTTGCAGGAAGAAATCATTTGTGACTTTTAGCTTAAGTGGTGTGTAATATTTGATTGAATGTTCTTGTTTTGATTTCATAGTTTTGAAATAATCGTCATATATGTTTATCCATCAATGTTTTCATGTACTTTAAAGAAGGTGAAGGTGATTTATTGGATACCTTTTTGTTTAACTTTTGAGGTTTAAAATAGCAGCACATATCAGCCCACATCAATTCACCTGTGGAGAGAGTATATAAAATCAAGAAATAGACATGCTGACTCAATATTTGAATGTCTTGTTCTCTATAGACCTTTCTAGTCTCTAATTGATGCTGTTTCAAGCACCTCGTCCATATAATTAATAGCTTCTACATCCGTTAGTCTGCATCCGTAACATGAGCTTTAAAAAATTTGACATTTTGGTTTAACATGTGACTCCCGAAGTTATGATATATTATTCCAAACAATTGTAATATCTACATTACACTGTAACAAAAATTTTATGTTTATATTTTAAGTCACACAATCAGTTGATGTAGTAAAAATGCGTAAGTATTTTCAACCAGAACAAACAGTGGATATAATTTATACTACAACGGTTCTTCTATACTACACTTGTGTGAATTTACATTCATTTCACCGAACATCTATCAATTGTATACTTCTAAAAACTTAAGAGTTATTTTTATGCGCCCACATTTTCATGTGAATGTATATTGTCGTTGCCCCTGTCCTTCCGTCCACAGTTTGTTTGTGGATACTCTACAGTTTACAATTTTTATCAGATTTTGACAAAACTTGAAATGTAGGTTTATCTCCAAAAGATCTCGACATGTATCGGACCGTAACTTCATAATTTTAATCTGATGTTAATGAAACTTGAAATGTATGTTTATGACCCAAAGATCTCGGTTCCTTATGATATTTGCACATATCGATTTGTAACTTCCTGGATTATGGCCCCAGGTTGTACGAAAAAATCGTGATTTTAATTTGTGGAACCTCTAGAGGTGACAATTTTTATTCGATTTTAAAAAATATTTTAAAATACATTTTAAAGTATCACTGTTACACCCTAATGATGGTTGATTTCGAATTTTGTGAAATCAGACAGAACTGCTCTACAAAATCACCGCTCCTTGTGCGCAAATAGTATGAAAGTATGTACCCGGTAATATCTCAAAAATCTTGGTTCCGTACTATATCCGTGCAAATCGGACCATAACTTCCTGGATTATGGCTTTGATTGTACGAAAAATCACTTTTCTTTTTTTCAAGCTTGTTTTCTGTCCATCTCTTGCAAAATGTGGGCGTATCTTGCATGGCATCCGATTATTAAATTAAAATCATAAGTCATACTTCTTTCTTATTAGAAACAACTTAAAATCATAACTCTTACTTTTTTATTAGATTCGTTCCATGATATGTAAAAGAAAACATATCTCTCTTTCTTTTGGGGAAATGTGGGGGTTTCGGGTGGGGTGGTCTGCTAATTTACATATATACTTTACACTTACTTTAACTAAGACCATATAATCACCTGTATTAAATGATGCTTCTGATTACCTGTTCTTAATAATCCTGATATCTTGACATTTATTATCTCAAGTTCCTTAAATCTCAGTGTAATTGTCTCAAGATTCTAATACATCTCAACATAATTGTTTTGAAGATCCTAAAATCTCAACATAATTATCTAAACTTCCTAGATACTGGTTGAGATCCTAACCACAATACATTCTGACATCTTGAGATTCCAATGATCTCAATATATTATCTTGAAATCCTAATATCTTGACATCTTGTCTTGTTGTGCACTTGTCTTAATTATGGATATTGTATGCGCGTTGGATCAGAAGGCCTGTCATTATGTCAAGTGGCGTGGTTTTGATTCCCCACTTGTACGTGACAAGGGGTAAGGTTGTTCGTTTGTACAACCTTGTGGGTTTTCTCTAGGTCCTCCGGTTTCCTCCCAATGCTAAAGACCGCAATGGGTAAGTGAATTATTGAAATAAAAGTGAACCATGTTAGTCCCGAAATGTCCTAGTTTGTGAGGGTGGACAGTTAAACAACATCTCTCTCTCTCTCTCTCTCTCTCTCTCTCTCATTGGGGTAGAAGTGGAAAGGCATTATTGATCGTAAGTGCAAAGATACACTTGAAAATGTGAATGTAACAACATCAGATCATGAAGATGACACATGAGAATGATGTTTTCAACTCCTACAGTTCTGTGAAAAATGGAACCATATGCCAAGATTGGCACCTGAACACCAAGAACCAGCCATTGTGTCAATTCAAGAGGGCGAGAATACCCTGGAAGCGACATTGCAAGAAGAAAGGAGAAGGATCCCACAAGCAGCCATGCGACGAAATTGTTTGGTGTGTGTAGCTGCTAGAAATGGACATGATTGTTACCCCTTGTGGCTATATATGCTTCACTGTAAAGTGAAGTTTTTATGGCCTTCTTGGGTTGTTGATTCTATTGAGGCGATAAATGTCCAGCATACAATTATGCCAAAAATCACATTTCACCAGCACTTTCAGTCATATCATTTCTGCATTTCTTTTATGGCATCTCAGTATATTTGAGTGTTGTTGGCTGCAAGATTCCTGAGACTTTGTGAGTTTATATATAAATCAGAGGAAATTGTCTTGGCCTGATTGAAACAGCAACATTTTCATTGCCTGTTTACAGTATACTACTAAGAGCATGAGACAATGTCAGATGTAATATACAACTGAGTCTGATAAATGTAATATGTAACACAAAAGAAAATCTGATTTTCATCAGATTTTAAGGATATTGTATAAAGTAAGCAGTAACATATAGGCTTGATATTGTATTTTTCAATAGATGCTGGTATTAAATATAAACCTTGTACTAATTATCATGGGTCTAGAGAGAAATAAAAAATATTGAGAGAACTAAAATGATTTTATGTTATGTATATTTAAAATATTCAAGATCAGAGATGATATTAAACAAAGTATTAATGCTATTTTGACTATTATTTCTTCCTAGCGTTACACCATTCAACGGGTTCAGTAGGTTTTGTAGAAGCACAAGAAGATGGTAATACATTGATTCAAAGCACAATAACTTTACATTTCACTTTATTTTTACTATAGATAAGTGTTTGTGATGGTTGATACATGTATGTGTATTTATGGAAAACAATTCAGGTCTTGATTATATAAAGGAGTCATTAATTCTGGTTTCTAAGTGCTTCGTTCTGTCATCTTCATATCCAAAATTGACAAATCAATGTGATTCATTTATGTAGCAAGTGATGAAGTTTGAACTAAACACTTAAAGAAATGATAGTTAAATAACTCTTTAAAAAGGACTAGAATGTCTTCCATATAATTTATCAGTACTCCAAGCTGTTGGGCTTCTAGTGAGCAGTCAGTGCTGGAGATCCGAAAATTTAACTCTTTTGGCACATGTATCAATTATTAACCAATCTATTTATAATCCAGCTTGCCTAAAACCTTAAATCCTTTATACATAGACTATAGTACAAGACTTATTACAACATTTCTACCTGCATGATTTTAAACAAATATCTATCTTCCATCACCATGTTTGTGAATCTGTTCATATTAAAGTTTTACATTATCAAACAATGACAGACTTTGGTGGTGTCTTTTAGAGGATGGCAAATTTTCTTTTCTTTATAATATTATGCACATTTGAGGATCATGCACCAGGTTTTGAGGGTACCATGAATGAATGGGTTTTATTTTAGAATTATTATTATAACTATGGATACATACATGTATTAAATGCTGGTGTTGTTTATCTTGTAACCTTTTGTTTCTGGTGTAGTAAGAGGTGGTTGTTTAGAAAAGCAGATGAAAGCTAAAATCACATTCATAATTGGTCATGTACTAAATAAGATGACTAACTTTGTGCGGGTTAAAATTATTAATACATCTTTTTTATCAAAATGTATATTGCTTTTTTCTTTTCTTTTTTAAAACCAAATTGATCTTTCTTTTTTACAGGTACCTTATCCCAGCTTTTTTTACAATTCACGTTTTACATTCATATACACGACTTGTTTTTTATATATATATTTGTAACTTCATGAGTTAATATCATGTAAATCATAGTACTGTTTGCATTAGTGCTTGCAAATATGCATATGACTTGTTTATATTTGTATTTCTAATATTCAATTCACTTGTAAAAATTTCTGACAAAAATTTACTTTTATATATTTGTTAAGTATAAGACGCTGTAATTTAAAGATTTGTTTTTCTTTCTTAGTAACCTTAAAAGAAAATATTAATCATAATTATAGAATTTTGATTCCAGAGCCATCCAAAAATGAACTGAAATGCACCTTTTATATGACTTATATATAAGAAACTAAGTTGATTACTGGTATTCTCTTTTCAGTTGGTGGAACAAAGGAAAAGTTAGTGTCCTCACAAATTACCCAGCCAGCTTCAACTTCAATGTAAGTATATATTTTTACAGAACTTGACTTTAGAAATAGCCGACTCAAGTATCTTTTTTTTTAAGCAAAAGGGAGCAAGATGTAAATAAAGATTCTGTATGCATCCGCCACCAAAAATATTTTGATATGTGATTCCTGCTGAGTTTCTAGGAGAATAAAAACTCCTTTTTGTTTGCTTTTTTTAATCATATCTTTAAAATTTACTTAGTATAGATTATACTATGCTCATACCATAACTATAAAACCTGTAGTCTCATGCAGTCCTAGAAGAATAATGCTTTGTTTGTCTTATCCTTAGAGTGAATGTTTTTATTTGTGACGTTTGGATTTATTAGAAATTTTAAAGATTTTCGTAATTTTAAACATATTCATAGAAATGTTAATGTTCATTTTATTCATAGAATAGAAAAAAACCAATGTTATGATTGTGTGCAGAAAAGTATAATTTATGTACATGTATATCTAGGATTCAGTTATTTTTTTATAAACTTTTTTTTATCTGTTGTAGTAATGTTAGGTTGTGTGGTAATTGTGTTGTATGCATAGGTTGTATTAGTAATTGGCCACACAGAATGTGCATTATACCAATCAGAATTGAATAACCAAACCTTTAGCTAGTCTGCTTTTGGTGTTTTGTGTTCAAAGATAACATAAAGATACTATTATTAATATCATTGTTGAAAAATAATCTACATTTTTACATAGTGACAATGTGAAAACAGATGATGTTGAAGATGAAATTATTTCCAAGAAAACCTGGGCAAGGATATCGACTAATCATAGAAAGAGAGATAAAAGATTACGCCGTCTATCAATGTAAATGACGATACATTTTATTTTTCTACCTACAGCATGCACCTACTGGATGATAGTTGGTTTAAGAATTTGGAAAAACTATTTTTTATATCTCTTTCACTTCTATTATTGTATTAACAACAGATTGTACTTCTTAATTGAGTTTATTCAACTAAGTCCCATTCCCTTGTAGTCTGTTTCAAGAAAAATTTGCTATCAAATATGACAAAAATTCTTACAACAGATTTCAAAACCTGATCTTAATGTACATATATATTATTACATAATTATGGTGCAAGTTGTTGAAACATTAACCCTTTGAATGTCATAAATTGTATACAGTCTATTTATGAGGATGGAATCCAAAGGATTATTGTAGGATGATATTTGTACTGTTACCAATTTTAATTATGCTATGCTATGGAACATTCCAATACAAATCATTAAATAACATTTGACTGGGTGCATCTGAAAAGTTTATTTTCCAAATGGGATAGACCCTATGTCCATTTTAACATTATTTCCAAGAAAAGTAATAATAGTATCTTAATATGTATAAATGATTTATAATTTTATCTCTTCATTTTGAAAAATTGATGTCTCACTGTCATGAGATAATATTTTATTTAAAGGATATCAAATTAGTCTTGAAAAAATGTAGTAAGTTTGACGTTTATGTATATCCCATTTTGGAATGAAACTCTTCGTGTGCTAGACAGATTTCATCATTGGGATTATTCATCTGGGCCCAGTTGCTGGAACTATGATTATGCTTAACATAATGAGAGAAACTAAAAGCAACAACTAAATAAGTATTATTAGATTTAATTATTTATCTGTTGCTCTTATGTTTTAATACTCATGGTTAGCTCTACCCATTTGATGAATCAAATTATTTTTCTAGCATCTGGGCTTTGAACATACGATCCAAATGAAACAGGTATTTAGCAAACTAATAATGTAGCTCTTGCTTTAAAGAAAATCGTTGTAGATGCCTGATAAAAATAGCCACACCCCCCCCCCTCCACCTCATATACTTATCTAACTGTGAACACATATTTAATAGAAGTATTTTATTTCAGATAATATTCAGCATGTTCCAGATATATATCTTTGTCTAATTTTATTTTGGTTAAAATTAATCAAACCCATTCTTATCAAATTAAAGGGTCTCTGTCAGAAAATTCAAAGTTACTGTGTCTTGGTTTTGAACTCCAAAATCAGAAAAGGATTTATCATTGAAAGTGGTATCTGAAAAAAAAAGAGCAATCATGGCTTGATTATGTTTATGCCCTTGACCACAAGTGTGTAGTCATTGAATGAACTACTATCCTCAATTATTCCGCTTGTGATGCATTGGTTTTATGTCTTAGATTGTCATGACTGGCTGTTTTCATTGGCTCATGTCTACAGTCCTTTTTTTTAATGTTTCATTTAATCATGGGACCGTAAGGACACTAATTAATCTCTACAGTGTAAGTTTTACTGTCCAGATTTTGGTGAAAATAACTGTTTGTTAATTGTATTTGACAGCAAGAATGACTCTCCTGGTTTAAGCTACATGATATCATTTGTAAACATTGGGAGTATAACAGATTATTAATTATTTCTTCCTTATAGATTAAAAACTTTGTAAATTTATGGGACATATGAATGGACTGATCATACAAAACATTAGTATAAATTCCTAAAAAAAAGTATGTAAATCTTGCAGGGACCCTTTAATATAAACATTCTTCATATAATTACTTACATTAAAGTTGTAAGCTTTCACTAATTTATAACAATTTAAATACTATTATGAGTAATATTATTCCTATAGTTTTTACCTACCAATTAATTGCAACCTGATAACACTGTTATGAGTTTCAAAATCAAAGATAACATGACTTAGGATTCTCACCCAAGCACAATAAAGATAACCACTACTGCATTTCTCTAAAAATGGAAAGTGCAATATTTCATGATGCTGCAGTATGTCACACTAGGTTTACACTCAACTGTGAAGCTAAAGTTGCATAAGTTTTAAACATACTTTTCTGTCTATGAAGCTTTGGTTGCAGTTAAAGTTTGGTAGACATTCTCCTCTACTAAAAATTGACCTTTACTTGCCTAATTATACCAGTAATCTTCAAAAGCTAAAATTGGCTCACAAATTTGTTTAATGTATTTAAAATGTATTGTCATGTTATATATGTTTTCTAACAAGTTTCATCCACCCACATTTAATGTGGACATATATTGCCATCATCTGGGTCTAGAATCCTTCCACTATTTTATAAGAACAATTAATAGATTTTTTTTTTTTTTTCAAATTTGTAAAAATTGTTCATTTGGTCATAATCAAGAACCCTTTAAGAATTACGAATTTTCAATCATAATGGGTTATTGGACCATACAAATTTCGAATACGCTTTTACAGAGTTATCTTGCTGTTCACATTTGGACTGTTCAAGCTTGTAAACGTGATGCAGAAAAAAATATGTTAACTTTGGTGGTATTGTTCATTTGTAGACAATGATTTTATGGATGGCAATGCTAACTTTGCTGCTGGTGAGGGTATTAGGGCCTGTGTGTGTGGGGGGGGGGAGGGGTGGCGACAAGCCCTTTTCTATGTTATTGTCTATGTTATATAATGAACAGTTATTTGTAAATCTATTGTAATAATTATGAGCATCATTGTAAGCTCATTTAAACATTACCTCAATTTAAACTTTTCTTAGATACAGTTTTACATCTCCATATTACGAAATGAGAGAAACAGCCCTAACCAGGTATTTTATATAGTTGGAAGGGTGGTTGGTCACTGAATGGTTTTAGGTGTATTTACAAATTTTTTCTTTTTAATCTGGTCAAAACATTAGTCTATATATGTATTCTTTCCTATATATCTGTTTTCAACGGGGTAACATGATAGGGGGGTTGGTACCCCTCTTGTCCCTGTGTAATACCTGATGAAGATAGTTGTAGTGTTGTATCGCAATATACATTAATTATACTGTATACTGTATACATTAATATAAAAACAGGACTTCAGTTCATGATTTCAAAATTTTTCAGTTCTTCCTTACTAACATAATAACTGAAAAATTTATTACGGTACGGTGATTGTTTCTCTTTACTTTGTAATGGTATCAGTTGAGTTTATTGAGTTTTTTATTATACACAATTAACATTTTATTCTTAAAACACTATTACTAATTTCTCAACTCAGGTCAGGAATTATTGGAAGTGAAATTAAAACTGCTGTTTATTTTAAATTTATATAGTTTTGAAACTCCAGTTGATCTTATCAGACCAAGATCTAATAGTGCAGAGAAATTGAGTCCGAGATCTTTAATAGACCAAATTGAAGAGAGACCATTAAGTACTGAGCAGAGATCTCATAGTAATGCGTCTTTAGAGCTGAGTAATACTGGTGAAAGTACTAGTAAATTACTTGGTATTGAAAATGATGAAGTGTAAGAGAAAATATTTTGATATCACAGACTTTAGTAGCCCTATCAACACAGTGAAATGCAGTGAATTAGTTAGCACCTTCATTTTTCAAATTAATTGAGACAAATCAAACAATTTCCTTCTATCAAAAACAACCTTTAGATTCAATATTAGACACAGTGGAACAACTAGTTCAACTATTGTATCAATTGCACATGATTTTTAAAATAATATGTTTATAAGCTGACATCATTTAGACTTCCGTTTCAACACAGATATGCCACTATTCGATAAGCAAAAACAGCCTTCTTTAGGTTCATTATTAGACACAATAGAACAACTATTGCAGGGGTGGGGGGGGATGGGGGTGGGTGGCCAAATGGTTAGCATGTGCGTGCTGTATCATAAGATCTGTCATTGAGTCAACTGGCATTGTTTCAATTCCCCGGTTGTATGTGACAAGGAGTAGGGTCGCCTGTCCAACCTCATGGGTTTTCTCCGGGTCCTCTGATTTCCTGCTACTGCTAAAGACCCCTACGCACAAGCGAATTATTGAAATAAAATTGAACCATATGTTAGTCCCAAAATGAATGTCGAGTGGACATTAAACCCCATTTTTCTCTTTCTCTTTCTCTCTCTCTCTCTCTCTCACAACTATTGCACTTGATTCTAATTAGATGTGTATATGCTGATAACATTTAGATTTCAGTTTCAACACATATGCCACTACTGGATCATCAAATTCTAGAATTTAAATAGATCTTTTAGTTTAATATTTGTTTTTGCACAAAATCACTCATGCTCTTCAATACCTGTACTAATTTATATACAATTCGTCAAAAGATTTGTAGATCTGTTTCATGATATGCATGTGATATAATATTAGGAATCAAGATTTATTTTAATAGATACACTTCTAATTACCGCTTCATCATTGAAAATGTCTGATTTTTCATATCATAGTTCCATTTTCAATTGAGACTGTCTTAAATCTTTCTACTGGTGTGCTGTCACTATCACAAATATATTATTGTTTGTATTGTTTTTGTTTTGACTTGTCCATTATTATTATTCAAATAAGTTTTTGTGTTATGTACATGTTTTCAAGTTTGCCAAAAATAATGTTTTGTGTACATTGTTATATGTTATGGGATTTCAAATAATATAATTAAATATTTGGTGAAAATGTTCTCGTGCCCTGATAGATATATTAATATACACACATGATGTAAATAAAATGCCAATTTAATTACAGGCCACAGTTAACTGGTAAACAAGAATTAGCACGATCTACCCCCTCTCCCCTTCCTACAACAGATAGTGATAAAACATTTGAGGATGAACAGAGGCGGTTTGATTCTACTGGAATGTTTCATTGGTGTCCTGATAGGCAACTAGAAAGTGTGGTCATGGTATACACAATCTTTTGTTTCTTAAATATATTATCTTCAAAAAAAAGTATAAAACTCGTAGCGTCTATATTGGGGTCATTTTCCTTTAAAAATGCAAAAATAAGAAAGAACTTTGCTATTTTGTTAACAGTAAAATAATGATGCAACAATTTTAAATATAAAAAAGTAGTAAAAAATAAAATGTATCTTATTGCGTGGGTTTCTTTTTCAGGACCGCAATAAGGCAGCTATGTCAGGTCTACACAACCATATTATTGTTTGTTTATTTGCGGATGCAGGTTCACCTTTAATAGGTATCAGAAATCTAGTTATGCCATTGCGAGCCAGTAATTTTCACTACGAAGAACTTAAACATGTATTTATAGTTGGACATTTAGATTATATTAAAAGAGAATGGAAAACATTACAGAATTTTCCTAAGTTATCCATTTTACCAGTAAGTTAGATTTATTATTTTGGGATTGACTGCAATTTAAATCAGATATATATTTGAGGGAGGATAATAAAAACATGTGACAGTCTTTGGTGGTTAAAGTCCTTAGTAAAATAATGTGTATGGATGTTTTAACTCTTGTGGGGTTGGATGGCCGAATGGTTAGCACGTGTGCGCTAGTCAACTGGCGTGGTTTCGAATCCCCGGTTGTATGTGACAAGGAGTAGGGTCACCTGTCCAACCTTGTGGGTTTTCTCCGGTTTCCTCCCGCTGCTAAAGACCCCTACGCGCAAGCAAATTATTGAAATAAAATTAAAACCATATGTTAGTCCCAAAACGACCTAGTTTGTGTTGAGTGGACGTTAAAACCCATTTCTCTCTCTCTTTAACTCTTGTTGATAACTAATGGTGTATGAATCAAAAGAAGTAAAAATCAATTTGTGTAAAGTTTCAAATGAATGGTATTCCACATATACATGTGTCTCAAGTTTCATATGATAACATCTGACTATATAGGAGAGTGGTTTGAATAAATTTATATTATTTTTCAGGGTTCACCATTAAATCGAGCTAATTTGCGGGCAGTAAATGTTAATTTGTGTGATATGTGTGTTATTGTGTCTGCTAAAGATAAAAATATGGACGATCCTAATCTAGTTGACAAAGAAGCAATTCTATGCTCATTAAATATTAAAGCTATGAATTTTGATGATTCTATTGGCCTAATACAAGCATCCGCACCAACTAATTCAGGTGAGTATCTCATAGGAATAAGATGTCACCAGCTAAGATTTTTAAAGCTAACAATAATCTAAGTTGAGACTTACGACGTATAATTAATTTCAATTCATGGTTCAACATTTAACGTTATATAAGTGTAATTATTTTCTTTTTAGCCTTTTTACCGGCTGGGTTTTCACCATTAGGAAGTCCAGCTAGTCGACCTACCTCAAGAAGAGGTTCAATATGTGGATCTAATGTACCTCTTATTACTGAACTTGGTAGGAGCTTCAATTACATATTTTTCATAGTCAGGATTTATATTTTAAGGAACTTACTTCTTTTACTAGAAAAGATACATTGACGATCTGTACAGACTATGTATTTTATACAGATGATATTTATCTTACAACCTCATATTGTTCTGCTACCATTGAGAGTGGAGGGGACTTTCAGGTTCCCAAGTTGAGGTTTAACAGGCAGTGTGCTATGGGGAAAGTTTTGCCCTGACAGTGGTTATTTGGCTTACTCTTATTTCAATATCCATGAAGGTCTTTAATGTGCTTCCATACAAATGTCTGGACACTCTGTCCTGCACCACTGACATTTGATGAAAATGCCTCTTGATTATCAACAATTTCTGGTATTTATTGTCGGGGTTATTACCCTTGATCATTTAGGGTAGAGGCTAAAGTTACAAATTGTTTGACTTGAAATTCATATTCTGTCTTTATATTCATCAGATGAAGAAGCTTATTTCATCTATTGTCAATAATTACTGTCGGAGTTGTGACCCTTGATCACATGGTTTCAATATTGCTTCATGTTATTTAGAGGGAATAACGGTTGTATAGTAATTGCCAGACAACTATACTCCTTTGGAATGAGAATTAACATTTAATACTCAAGCTTCAAACCATCCGTACAGATATTTGTGAATGTGGTGACTTACTATGTATTTGTATTATGCTTATTTCAGCCAATGATTCTAATGTGCAGTTTTTAGATCAAGATGATGATGATGATCCAGATACAGAATTATATATGACACAACCATTTGCCTGTGGTACAGCTTTTGCTGTTAGTGTGCTTGATTCATTAATGAGTACAGTAAGTGAATCTCTGCCTAATAATTGTGATGATGAAGAAAATAGTTCAAGGTTTGGATTGATATATGACCTAGTTAAAAAAAATGAAATCATGAACCAGTTTTTATGCGCCCATATGGAAATGGGATTGTATATTGCCATCGCCACCGTCCATTTTAGCATCATCCACAATTTCTTGTGAACACTCTACAGACTAAATTTGTCAACTGATTGTTTTTTAAATTGATATATGTTGTTAACATTAGTAAGATGAAGAATCCTATTTAATTTCAATAATTTCTTTTAAATTCTTCTAGAATTATGGCTCTTGTTTCAGTTTATTGCACATTGTAAAAGCTCTAATGTCGAAAGTTATCATCCAATCTGTATGAAATTTATATACATCCTTTAAATTATTGACACAAAGAAGCCTATTGAATTTAAGTAATTTCAGTTCATTACGTCTCAAGTTATGGCTCTTTTTTCACTTTGTCGAACCCTTTGAATGCGACAAAAGTTATCATCTGAACTGTATGAAATTTATGTGTATTATTTGAATTAGTGAAACAAAGAAGTCTATTGAATTTCAATTTCCGTCAATTACGTCTAGAGTTATGGCCCTTGGTTCACTTTGTTGAACCTTGTGGATGCTCTAACAACAAAAGTTATCATCTGATCTGTATGATATTTATATGCATCATTTAAATTAGTGAGACGCAGAGGTCTATTGAATTTCAGCAATTTCTGTCAATTGCTTCTAAAATTATGGCTCTTGTATAAAATTTATATGCATTATTTGAATTAGTAAATTAAAAAAAGCTGTCAAATTTCAACAATTTTTGTATATTACTTCTAGAGTTAAGGCCCTTGTTTCAGTTTGTAGCACTTTGCAAACCCTCAAAGGATGAAAATTATAATCTGATCTGTATGAAATTGTCTTGTTATTGCTCCTTATTACCTACAAAAGAATTAAATATGCAGCAACCCTTGTTGACCGCTCGATTTAACTGCTGTGGGTGTATGTTAATTGCCTGCAACCTATCTTTATTTCAATATATCCGATAAATACTAGACAATACACACAATGTTTGTGATCGCACATGGTAATAATATTACGATGAATGTTACTAAAAATAGATGGCGCCTATGTATGATTGGTTAATTTAACTGAAAACTTTAGAGAAATTACGAGAGATGGCAACGTGAAAATTTCCACATGAATAACGTCAGAAGGATGAGGAAGATTATATATGAATAAATTTCCTTGCATTTAAGATTATATTTTGAATGTGGGTTATGTTTTTAAACAAAAGTTATGCAAGTTACAAGCTATATATATTTTGAAATGTAATTGTATTTGAATACTACTATAAGTAGTTTTAGACGATAGCAAGAGTTTGACTTTACTTTACGAGTGCTATTACTTAGCAGACGATGTCACTCAACAGTTGGGAATAGAAAATTATTTTTTCGTAGAAAAAAATGTTGATCTATACACCAAAAAATATGGTAATTTATTTTTTTTACTGAATGTTGTAATTTTGCGTCTTTTCTTTTTCAGAGTTATTTCAATGATAATGCTCTGACATTAATCAGAACATTAATAACAGGAGGTGCAACTCCTGAATTAGAACAGATTTTAGCAGAAGGTGCCGGTATGAGGGGAGGTTATTGTACTCCAGCAGTATTAGCTAACAGAGACCGATGCAGAGTAGCTCAAATATCCTTGTTTGATGGTCCACTAGCACAGTTTGGGGTGAGTTAATTTTTACAGACAAGAGATACTTGACAATTGAGTGCAATCCCCATTTTATATTATAAGATTCTGTCTTAAGACTCAAGCACTTTGTCAACTTAGTAATATTGCAAAATACCATTTAGTCATATTATAAAATTATAATCAGGATTTTTTGCATTTAATGACCAGGCATTAGAGGATTTTTCGCATTTAATGACATGCATTAGAGTTGAGGTGGCCTGGGATATTTTATTCACATTTTATTTATACTAATTGTTGTAAATAAGCAAAAAAATTATTAAAAAATTCAAAATTTCTCATCATGGTGATAGTGTAAGAATACCTTTTGTTATTAATGTTTTTCAAATATTTTGGTATAAATAAATGGTGTTTCTATTATAGACTGATGGTAGATATGGAGATATGTTTGTTCATGCTTTAAGAAACTATGGTATATTATGTATTGGACTGTATCGATTCCGGGATACAAGTGAATCTGTTAAAAGTCCATCCTCTAAGCGCTATGTGATCACAAATCCTGCTGAAGAGTTTTCACTTTTGCCAACAGACCAGGTAAAATTACTTCTGCATTTATTAGTATAATAGTGTATTTCTTGCCAATTATTCTTGGGCTTTCCAATGCACATATTTAGTAATTTCTTACAGATAAATGTGTGGCGGCATGACAAAGCCCTTCACATGGTGAAAAATCATGTTTTTATACATGTGCAAATTGGGGATCAAAATAATCTATAAATTGTCAAAATCGGTTGATAACTTTTAGAGATATTTATCATTTTATACAAGAAAATGACACATTCAGTAGAAACATGAAAAAGGAGAACATGCAGTTTTAACATAAATTTTGATATTTCAAAGTTTATGAGCAGTTTAGAGCAGTGATGGGATTTCAAAATTTTAGTTGTCAGACATTTTCTTCCCGAAAATAAAGGGACATAACTCTTATCGTATTAAAGCAGGAGTTTTCAAACCACAATTAAGAATCACGTGTCAATAAAATATTCAAATTCATATGTAATAAAAAAAATAGGTCCATCTCTTTATTTTTCATATTTAATTCCCGTTCTGTATTCAAATTTATGTCAATAATATTCCTACAAAATTACATGACATCATAATACCATAGAATGAAAGCGTGCCGACTACTGCCCATCCGTACCGGTTTCAAATTCCCCCAAAATTACCGTATTTTTCGGGCCATAAGTCAATACATTTTTCAGCAAAGTCCGGCATTCGTCTTATACTCCGTTTTGATTTATATATTGAAGGTAAAAAAATGATATCCCAAAATTTATTTGGCTGTAAACCGTAGTAAACGTCGCTCTAATACAACGAGCTAGTGACACCAACTGCTAAATAATCCCATTTGACTCGAAGCACGCACTATCGTCTAAAACAATTACCGAAACTACTTACGTTATTCCAATCGAAATATTCATCAACATTTCTTAGCGTGTTTATTTATTTATTTAAAAACATAAACCCCATTCAAAATATGATCATAAATCCGACTATAAGCCATCAAAATAGAATCTTTTCTTCCGACATCAGACATATTAGATTCGGCACATTTACACCTCTTAATTCCACGTGTCTCGCGAGATTTCTACTTTCATTTTGCGTGTGTGTGAAATAGCTTTATTTAACTTCGGCTTCCACTGAAGAAATATCACAGACAAGTTATGGGACACAATGTATATTGATTTGGGGTGTTATATACTATTAGGATATGTGACATATATGACTAATGTCTACGGCCGACATCAAGGAGATTAAAACGTGAGACAATGAAGAAATCACGGGTTAATTACGTAGATTAAGTTTATTGGATTGATATATAGTCCGACAAAGGAGAAGCAATGACTTCTGTTCAGGATTGAATTGATGAATTGTCCGACAAAGAATTGAGTCAGCCAATCAAGGCAGATTAAGTAGTTAGTCAAGGTAGGTGTATGGACGGTATAAAACGATAAATACCTTGATCACTTAATTACCTAATCAATCCAGCCTATTATCAACGATAATCGGGTTAAGTGGTAGTTATACACTCAGTACACTATATTAATTTTGGAATTTTGAATATTATTTACGATGTCTTGATGTCCGATTAGGCATATTCCTGGTCGGACAATTTAGGACGTTTGGAAAATAGCGTCGGACATGTCCGGAATATACAGGCAATATCCCATCACTGGTTTATAGTACTGGTTTATAAAGTTTAAATGCCGGTCAATCAGATTTCCTCGTGGGAGCCGCCCTCTTGGACAATTTGTAAACAATAGAACATGACTAGTGTTGACATAATTTGATAAATAACCAACTCCTTTCTATTAAAAAGTTTATGAAACTCGATCAAAATCAATTAAATAGATGTTAATTTCTCCGGATATAGTCCTGATATTACCTTATAGTGTGCGATCTACTCAAAATAAGATGTAAAAGTCATAAAATTGAATCAATTCAGGGAATGAACTTGTTTATAAGATGCACCTGGGAACTATTTATTTCGTGTATTAATACGCCCTATAGCTAGTATTGTACGGTGAAGAATATTTCTGTTTCATAAATTTGTATTTTTAAAAATAAATGTTTATAAAATGTAAATATGTTAACGGAAAATTGACCTAGAAAATGGTTAATATTGTATTTTGGCATATATCTCGTATTGGGCCTGCATAACATCTGACGTGCTTTCTTGTGCCGCCACACAAATGATTGGGGTTTTTTTTGTTTTTAATTCAAATCATTTGTTTTTAAAATCAACACTGTGTATTGTCTTAATGTCATTTTTTCCATTATTTTCATGCACTCACTTGAAATATGGTTGTATATTGTTGTCACCCCGATCCGTCTGTCCACATCTGATTGTCTTGAAATTTATACACAGTGTTTATTTCTATGAGACAAGTAGACTTTTAATATTCGGTGATTTCAAACTCTGCGCTGAAGGTTTATGCACAGTGTTTATATTTAAGAGACAAGTAGACTTTTAATATTCAGTGATTTCAAACTCTGCGCTAAAGGTTTAGCCTGATTACTGGTCCATATTTTATATATGTTAGTGCTTGGGAGAACTAGAAGCCTATCAAATTTTTGATTAATTCATATAATTAATTTAAAGGGTGGTTGCCCTTGATGAGATTTAGTGTCTTGTATTTATAGCTCACTTTAACTAAAAAAAGGATAAAAATGTGACTTTTTGGGCTGCTCTGGTAACTTATCTGCTGTGGGCATATGTTTTGTTTCCTGGCAACCTATCTTCATCTATTTGTGTAGATATTTCATCTTATATATGTATTGCCATTGCATGGTTAAAAACATATATTTTTCCTTCCTCTTAGTTGCATGTTATATGTGTATTTTCCCAGGTCTTTGTTCTTGCCCAAAGTGAAATCGGCATAAGTGAACTTGACATCTCAGAAAAAAATGGACTGAAGGCAACGTCAATGTAAGACTGGTTTTACGGTACGCAAATAAGCTTGATGCTTAGCTTTATTTCTAAGTCATGATTTATTATTAAGATACAGTACTAACAATTCTAATACAGTATAGTATCAGTACATCTGAATATCAGTTTTCTACTGCTGTTCTTACCACATGGATTACAAAACAAAATATTGGTCATTCTTTTAAATAATAAACTGACAATCTCTGCAAGTAATACATAGGCAAATAGAGTGGCCAAATTAAATTATCACAATTCCTGCAATTCAGTGTTTCTTATTGAAACTGAAATAAAGTAAATGAGGGTATTTCAAATCTTTATATACAGCACACCATAATTTGTAAATGCAAAGAATGCAATGCAACACAGGGTTAATGTTGGTAGTATCGATAATTACAGTCAGTAATCTCAAATAAACATACACTTGGTACCAGCTAAAAAAACCTATTATGATCGCTTCAAAAATATTTTTACTGGTATAACCAACTAATGTGGTTCTGAGCACAAGAGATTGTCCAGATGTCACTGTAATAAACAATGAAAATCAAAGCGGTACATCGAAATTCAAAATAATGATGTTTGATTTGTTGATAAAGAGCACAAGTATTTTGTTGTCCAGTGGTATTTTTAAATCAATAACATAATTAATTTACTCTAGTTTCCTCTAAAATATATTTTGTTAATTAATAAGTTATACTAAACACTTAATAACAAAATGTTATTTGTTAGTTGGAATTATTTGCCATTTTAGCTGAAATCGAAGATTAGTTATAAAATAGTATGATGCATTTCAGAGAAAATTTGAACTTTTTAAAATGAAGGTTAATTGAAACTTAGAATACTATTTAACTCAATATTTGCAAATAAGTAATTTCTAATTTAATTTAGGTCTTTTCATGATATATATATATATACTGTTCAGTTGATTATATATGACAAAATAAAGTTGACTAATATAATATAATGATGGATGATGTTAATTTGATTTTACATAAATAATACACACTGATACCTACAGGTAGAAATTTTATAATCTGAAAGGTGGTTATGATGGAATATTTACTTTTATTTATTCATAAACTATAATTACTAGTATTGAAGTTCATTATCTTTAATCCTATCTTGAACTGAGATTTATATTCATATGTCAAAAAGTAATTTATATACTGGTTAGTGTTTAGATTTCTATATATACCACCAAGTATGTAGGAGTGGGGTCAGGAGGGTGTATATAAATGCTTTTTTTGCACATGCATGCTTTGTGTTAAAAATTTATATATTCTATGTATGTTGATCTATATAATATATTTATTTTATGTTGTGTCTCTATTTCTATAAATTTAACTCTGAAACATGTTTGATCCGTAAATGATACTTCGCTATCGCTTTGGGTGCTTTAGTTTTGTCACTCCTTCCATCAACTGTGGAGTAGTGCTGGGTTGATATTAGCTCTATAGCAATGTTATACTCAGTGTTATGTTCATCCAGTTTGGGAGAGCAAAGTAGTCAAGCAGTAGGGCACTGGCCTCTCAACAAAAATGTCCTGGGTTGACAAACTAGGTGTGTGTGCCTGTGCAATAGGATAGGACAAAAACAAAGGTCAAGCTGTGTATATATTGATGTGCATGTAAAATATCAGATAAGATGGAAATGCCACTGCCTGGGCAAAATCATATGTTCATCTTAAGTTGATCAGTGTTAATATCCATTTGACTGTAACTAATAAAGTGATGAGAGTTAGACAGTTGATGGGTCTTTAATAACGAATGTAACTAGTGCAAAGTTAATATTGGATTTATGAATTAGTTGAAAATTATATATTTTATTTTTAAAACTGTTAGAATAAATGTTAAGATATTTTTTAAAAGCATATAAGAAAATGTTTTCCATTCTATTTATTATTTCTAAGGACAGTGCTATATAAATATTTTGTAATAAATAAAATAATTATACATGTTATTGTCTATTACAGGCCTTCTGTTTACAGCCATTCAACTTCAACGAGGTTGTGAAGCGAAGTAAAAGAAAAAGTGCTCGAGGTACTCGACATGAGAGTACTTCATAACTATAAAATATCATTTCACAGTTTCTTATTTTCTTATTAATTTATAATTTAAAGTATTGTGTTTCATAAGTCAGTAACCTTATTGTGTTTCATAAGTCGGTAACCTTATTGTGTTTCATAAGTCGGTAACCAAGTGCTTCAGTGTAATTTTTAAATTAGATGTTTTAGTTTATTCTTAAATTATTTCACTTTGAATGATTTAATTAAATTGTGATCAAGTGCTTGAATATTCTTGAAATTCATTTCCAATTTTTTTTTCCTGCACATATTTGTTAATTAATTTATGAACAAGCATCTGTATTTGTATTTCAAGTGAATTATTATTTATATATATGGAAATTTCAGTCCTGAAATCACTCTATATTGTGATGGAGTTGTAAATAGAATGAAACAGTTTGTGATTTTTTAAATATTTGAAACCACATAATATTTACAAAAACACATTTTATTTAAAATCAACTTATTTTTCTTTGTTGACTTTAGTAATAAATTTTCATTTTTATTTATCATTATTTATGCACTGGTATATAAGGAATGTGTGCAATTGCTTTCTTCTTATTTTAACAAAAATATGTAACCAAAACAATACTGATATTGGTCCTTTTGATTACATATTAGAATATTTACATTTATAAATATCATTGAATGATATTCTGCACATTTAAATTAATTTTTACCAGGGCTCACATTTGAGTCTTTATTGAACTATTGAAATAAGTATGTTAATCTTTTACTAATTAATATAAATAAGGGTAATCCAATTTATAATTTTTCTCTGTTAAAGGTCCAATATTCCAGAATGAAAGTCAAATAAAGACCATCACAACACAATTTACACAATAGGAATCTTACCAAAAAGGATATTGGTCCAAATTGTAGTTACATCAATCAATCCCAACATAAGTTTTGCCCATCTAAAGTTCTCATTATTTTCTAATCATCAGTCGCTGAACTATGTCGACAACTTATTTCTGTCCATAAACATCAAAGCCAAGATGGTATGTCATTTTGTTTTAGTACTGAAAGAACACTTTTCAGCTCTTCTTTTTGATATATTTAAGTATTGAAAATGTTTACAGGTATTAGCTTTCTGTAGCTGTGCACCTTTATCACAAGTTTTATTTTGAAGCAAATATTTATAACATATTATTTGAAACTGTAAAATACATAAATTTGTTTTGCTGGGAAAATTTGAAGGGGGAGTCCTGGATTCAGTACATATTGGTTACTATTACATATTACTGGAAATGTAATAGTAGATGTATAGTAATATATACCCTAGTCATATGGATACTATTTCATTCTTATTTCCATCAACCTAATCAAGGGTAAATTGTTATTTTCCCATAGTTGTAGATCTCCACAAAACATGAAGTAAAGGCTTCAGGTGGAACAAACATATCACAAAATTCCATAAGAAAGTGATTTATATAAACATGTAGATATAATTTACACTATATAAACATTTAACTGTTGAAATATATTCAGATTTTTAGATATACACAATACTAAATATGCCTGTACAAAGTTGTATAATTTTGATAGAGGAAATAGGCATTTGGAATGAAGCCATCTTTCAGTATGAATCAGAGTATGGTAGTCTTGATATACCATACACAATTTGAGAGCATGAAAAATCAAATTGAGAACAGAAAAAAAAGCATACCAAACAGAAAAGTTTGATTTGATAATTCAGTGTAATTTAGAAGCTTGTAATGAGGACTGGAGTATTCAAGTTACCATAGTAGTGTAATATCTAGCGGTTATTAAAACTGATTTCCTCTTCCATAGAGAATAGTCTAGATGTGACATGTACATTTCCAATTAAAACACAGCATATATATTATCATATATGAATATTTAATGTTTTGGTATTTTTGTACTGTACTTAGTGTAGAAAGATACAAAGTTTATCATGAGAATAGAAGTATATACCATACTACTGTTTTGTGTTATACATACATGTAACTTTACTATCATATTACTATTGTCTGATCATATATAGAGAGAGAAGCAAAAGAGTGAATGGTTTTTGAAAAAAAACTTAGAAACTATGTATTTTGTTGACTTTAGCTGCTGTAGATGTTTTATTTATTTTATTATTTAGTTTAATTAAATTAGTATATCAAATATACATTCAATTTCATATTATAATACTGTAAAGCAAGAGGTTAATGTATGCAAGAAATTAATGTGTAAATACAAAGCATGATCAGTCACATTAATTTCGATATGTTCCATTACACAAATAAAGAAAGGAATAAATCATATATCAGTAATAAGTATACAAATTCATAACATTAGAACAATCATCATCAATAACAATGCACTGATCGATGATGTTTATAGCGATGATGTCATTATCAGCTGGTTAACTGGTGTCTTAATTCTTTGCCACAGTCATAAATTTAGAAAATAGTGAGGATAATGTTGGTGGCTTGAATGTGGCCGTTCGTCATTGATATTTTTAGGACAATATCAAATTTTACTGGACTTTAATACATGCTTATTGATTATTTCACATTTAACTAGAAAACAAAGATAATCTTCCAGCTTGGATTCAGTCAGATTAAAAAGAGGCCCATCAAAAGATTTTATCCGACACTTAGAGTTGTGCTGGCTTATTTGTAGAGGAAGTCAAATGCTCTGCAATATTCAATTCATCAAATCTTTCTAAAATATGTACAGAATTGAACCAATTTATGACTGTTATTCCTTTTTGAGATTCTTTCACAGTAATTGTAGTTTGCAAGGATTCAGAATCCCTCAAATGACAATCAACAGCTATAAAATAATTTAATTTCAATAGGTATAGGTATACTCCTTTCAGTTTGCATTAATATCATGAATAGTTTCTTGTTAAATGGAACCTGTTCTTTACCAGAGCATATTTTCGTCATTTTCATAGAATTTAGGGTTTGGCTTCTTTTTTTTTTCTTGCAAGATTAATGTTATGTGCTATTTTACAATTACACTATTCATGGTAAACTCTTGTGTCTCTTGACATTGTCCATTGTTACACATTTAATATGGATGATCTCCTATAAGTTGTATAAATCACTTGTTATAATTTATTCAAGTTCAGTATTTGAACTATGTCTCAGTTGAACTAGTCTATGTCTATTGTTTTGTGTATAAATACTTACAGATTTTTTCTTAGGTTTTTACTTAATAACAATTTGTAATTTTAAAAAATTCAGTTTAAATCAGGGCTTTCGCTTTAAAATTTTGACAAATGACCCAATTTTTTTAGGTATCTTGTTTACTTTAGAGAAACAAAATATTTTTTTCAAAGAATGTGACAATTTTTTATATATATTTTTCAGTGTTTTTACACCTAAAAACAATAAATTCATCTGTATTTATTGTGTTTTATGATTAAATTCTATGAAGTTCAAACTTTATGACATGTAAATTGACTGAAGGGTAAGTTGTCTAGCTGGTCAATTTCACTAACAGTCAGTCAAGACAGACAGATAGACTGAAATGAGAGCCCTGTTTTAGATAATGTTTATTTATAAAAATTATTATAAATAATTAGGCAATAATTGGTCCAATTTCAACTAAAGTATAAAAATGTAAGACTTACTTTGTAAATGAGAAAATAATATGAAATACATGTGGTGTTTGGCAGACTTTGTTTCAAGAATCTGAGTGGCATATTCTAATTCATGTTCTGGGGACATTTTGCCATCTTGATGATTTATGGTAATAAACACTTCATGAGGATCAGAAAACTCAAAACAATCACCCAGAAGCTTTCAGAATGAGAAAATACCGGGGATGAACTCCTTTCATTTTTTTTTATCATAAATCTGTGTATATATATATATAGAACTTTATGTTTAGTGAACAAGTATTATTTAATATTTTACAAAAACTATTAATACTCAGTAGTTAGAATCTCTCTTTAGTAAAAATCTCATAGTTTAATTTTGTTAAAAATTTAAATGTTTTTTGTGTGTTGTGAAAAAGTTTTTAAAATAATATGTCCTATATGTCAGTTGATTTGTTTACAATGTTTATATATATATGTATATATGAACATATATAAGAAGATACCGGCAAGCCCAAATTAAATTGATATATGTATACATATTTATTTTATTTTGTACAAATATTGGTTATAAGGATATAGATCTAATATTTTGAAAACTCTTTTAATATTTGAAAATAAATTGCAATATTAAACTATATTTACAATTTTTGAGGGAATTCATTATTTTTTCTTCTGTTTAACTAATGTGCATTATTACAGTAGGTGTACGAGGTATCTCCTTTTCATTGTTTTCAGCTATTGCTATTCATGTTTTTCTACCTTTATTTGTCAGCAAATGGACTGTTATCTAATATTAACCAGTTTAAATTATTTCTCATGTATTTTTAAAGAGTGATAAAAGATATTTTTTTATAATGATTGTATATTAATTGAAGGATTGTATTTATAAACATCTATTATTATTATATCTTGTTTTTGGCTAATCACAAGTATTCTCATTGTTTGTGTGATCTTGGCTTGAATAAAACACATTAAAACCTTCAAATCTTTTCAGCTGTTTATAGGAAACTCAAATAATGTGCACCAAGACATGCCATCATTGACAAAACTTTCAGTGATGAGAAGTCTGGGTGTTTTACCCCAACAGATTGTCACCATCAGCAACAAATACTTCTAGGTGTGCCCAAGCCTTACTCTTATGGGTGTATATATATATATCTGGAGGTTGAAGTAAATTCGATTGTTTCTTTGTTTTGATCCCATGCTTTGTACTTGTAGGGTTGTTTGCCTATGCTTTGTACTTGTAGGGTTGTTGAATAATTTGCAAGTTTTTCTCTTTGACACAAAGAATAGCTCAATTCACATCTCTCAAAATGTTTTCTTTCATAAGATATTGTGGATGGACTGACTAACATACTGATATTATGATACACATAATCTGATTATTTCAAATTCTACAAAAGGGACAAAACTAAAAGATAACTGTAAAGTTTATTTCTGATTTTTGGCAAATAATATACTGTTAAAGCCCTCGCTTATTTTTATAACCAAATATATACAAAATATGAAAATATAATATTCAACAAATAAACCTAATAAATCATAACATCATCCTGTTTCACATAAAACATTTGATTCAATAACAATGGCACATATTAAAATAAATATAATATAAGTGGGTATAATTAAAAAATGAGTCCAGTTTTTCCACAATACATTTGAATCCTGCTTTACAAGCCAGCCAACAGTGAGATTGATGTCCCCCGCCTTAACACCTTAATCAACAAAATAAACAGATGACACTCATTAAAGTTATTTGCACATTTATAAAGCATTGAGCAATCACTCTGCTTAATCTCAGCCGAAAATGCTCATTATCGAAATTAAGTCTGGTATAAATGTATTCAACAAGTTTCATCACTCTCACTCACAACCAAAGTCTTGACCAAATAAATTACTTTTCTCTGCTTAACATAAGCAGAAAATGCTCACCATCACATTCAGACACAACATTCATCTAATGAACATCTACACCAACTTTGGACATTCTAACATTAGAAGCAGAGTTATTGTTTTTTAAATGTATGATAGACAAACTTATTTTAATTGTCCTGTGTTTTTTTTAAAAAAGCGGGGGACATCTAAAAAGAAAATAACCTAATACGAATAATATTTGATTCGCTGTAAATTGCCATAGGTCTTAATAGTAAAAAAAAAAAAAACTTCCGGGAGTGCTGAGGATTCTGCCAAAATTGCCATTTCCTCAATCTAGTGAAATAAAATATTAGTTACATACAATATAAACTGTGAATATTAATGTGGTATTCCGTTTTTATGCATGCTAAATTATTGTGCTTTATGATATTCTAGGTTACTATAAATAAATCATTGTTTGTGCTTGATTTCCTAAAATAAGCTCAACTTAGATACACAAAGGGGAATGTTGATAATCTTTAAGTACCATTAATGAGCTTAAAATACAGATGTGAGATCACGATTTTAATTGGCATACCATTAATTCAAGTAATGGTACAGACACTTTGCCAATGTATAAGATGGTGGTCATATGACGATTTCACAGAAATCTGTGCGTGCGTTATAGTGTAATCGGTATTTTAAGTTGTTTAAAGGTCACTAATGATATGCACTCACAGCAGTATCAATATATTACTTAATATTTTGCTCTTGACCTTCATACCACAAATATTTCTACTTTTATATACCCATAATAATATTGTATCATTAATTCATTGTCCTGGTTCATTGTATTCGATTTCTTTCAAAAATTTCTATCAGAAATGGCTAAGTACAAATATACAATATATCGATGCATCTTATTCTTAAATTAGTTAAGAGAAGAGAGAGAGAGAGAGAGAAATGGGGTTTAACGTCCACTCGACTCAAACTAGGTCATTTTGAGACTAGCACATGGTTCAATTTTATTTCAACAACTCGCTTGCATGTAGGGGTCTTTAGGAATGGGAGGAAACTGGAGGACTCGGAAAACCCCCACAAGGTTGGACAGGCTACCCTACTCCTTGTCACGTACAACCTGGGAATCGAAACCCCGCCAGTTGACTCAATGACATATCTTATCATACAGCGCACATGTGCTAACCATTCAGCCATCCAACCCCCCAAATTAATTAAGATTATGAGTTATGAATGTTAAGAGAGTATAGATCCTTGAAGGTATGTATGCAGTACTTCATGTACCAGGGATATTAGTAATTTGATAACTGAGTGAAGGACAACTGATAACAAATACATGTAACAATACAAGGTCATCTTTAAATATTGATATCAAGATAAATGGTTAGTTTTTGGTTCATCAAGTATATCTATCACTATGATATGATTAAAAACATAACTGCAATATTCAACCACATGACCCTTTTCATGTAAATAACAAAAAAGCTTTGAAATGAAAATGGTTATGATCATAAACATCAGAGCTCAAAAATATTCAAACTGAATTTTTAGTTAAAACTACTGGAACGTGTTCTGTTATTTTTCTCCTATGAGATATTTAACTAATATCAATAAATTCAAATAATATCCCTAAATAATGGAAAATATATTGACGTGAAAGATATATAGTTTCCAACAATGCACCAAAAATAGCTCTCAAATTGATCATTTCAGTTGAATCTAATGGCACTCGAATAATGATTTCTGATGTGACCACAACAAAATATGTCTTGTCTGTGATTGGCAGTGGCGGATGCAGGATATTAGGTATGGGGGAGGAGGAGGGTCGGAGCCCAAAATGAACATGTTTCATAGAAACAGAATAATAACTGAATTTTTATGCTGTTATCTGGGGGAGGGTGGATGAGGGGGGGGGGGGAGGGAAGCTGGACCTGCCACTGGTGACGGCCTTTAAATTTCTAGCCACACCCAAATTGATATATAGATATGTGAACTGCTCATTCATTACTTTAGGCAGTCTACAACTCAGTTTGTTAATTATTCATTTTTCATGATGAATATAGTTGGTTTGTGCTACTTCGTATTTCATGGCATGGACATCACTATACATGACCTATTAATGGCTGGCTTTCCTCATCTTCTGTGGGTTCACTTTCATCTAAAAAAAAAACCCCAATCATTTATATGTAATAAACTAATTATAATACCATTTGGAGATGTGAACAGATTAGACCAACAGCAGACCAATTTACAACTAATATGCATCCTTAAAAAATTCTGAACAACACCACCATACTCACACAAAATTTATGATTTACAAATAATTTTTGATATATATAACTACTGTCACTAGTAGATTATTATTCACATGGTTCTCCCAAGTTACGTAATTCTTCATGTAACTAATGGAAATAGTTGAAATTCAATAGGATTCTGTTTATCATTAATTCAGACAATGCATACAAAATTTCACACAGGTCGCAGGATTCTAAAAAGTGACAAAGGGCAATAACTCTGCAATAAGTTTTGTTTTATAACGAACATTAATGCATAAAATTTACCATGGTTATTTGTATTGTAGACATTGATTGGTCGGCATACTATACTCACTAGCCAATTAAATTTATATTGACTTTTGAATGTAAGGCCTCAATTGAGAGAGTTCATTTTTTCCTTGCATTGGAAGATGATGTATGGTATAAAATATTTGTGCAGGTCACGAACCCCATGACAGTTCAAAATTTAATTAGAAAAAGTATTCTTACCTTTTACATACATTTCATCAGTAGCTTCTGCAATTGTTGAATAGAGTCTTAAATTGGGTATCTCAGCTCTCTGTATAACTTTTAACACTGATGCCTATTACAAGTAAAAATCCAAACTTAATGATGAAGAAATGAATAAAATATAAATGGCAAATTGAGAATATTTCATACTGAAGGTGAATCTATTTAGAATTTGAAGTTTTCGTCTCATCCCTTGAGCCTGCAAATTCACTTTGTAGATGTAAAGTAACTTTACAGACTTTTTCTCTATAATTGTTTTTTTTTTCTTTTTAGTGAGGTAAATTTCTTGATCTGTTTTGTAAAATAAAGTTGTTTATACCTATTTAATGAGGTGCTTAATGTAAGAAAAGTGTAATACCCACCGATATATGACATAACACAACTTCTAATTTATGTTGTTTTAAATCAACCATTAATTCTTCTATAGCCTAAAATATACATTTGTTAAAATCATAATGTACATGTACAAGCAATTAACAATGTCATATGAAATGAAATTGGGTTTAACATCCTACTGGGCTAATGAATACGGGCATACACAATGCAGTGTGCTATGAGGGGAATTTTGCCCAGATAGCAGTACTACAGTCTACCCTTATATCAAATTCCAACTGCCAATGGATCTTTTACATGCATGCCAATGTGTACAGAGGACCTCAGTTTTTTGTTTATTCTGAACAGCTAGATAGCTGTTCTTGTCAGGCCCTCCATCCTGAATCACTGACAAGGGAATGACATGATCAACTTTATTTCTATATTCTGACAAAGCATAGAAAACAATGAGTGGTGCCTAGCATAGTTCTCTGTATATATAATTAGCAGATGTCGAACATCTCCTTTAATCACTGGACTATGCCCCTCCCATCTAGAACATCAAAAAATCACTTGATGTTTAGTAAATATTATGGGAGTTTTGAATTAGATATAGGAGAGGTGATCTTAATCAGCTGAATAGGTAGCCAGCAATATATTTGTAACATTTAATGATGCTTGATATAATAGAAAATATTTGCATGATTCTGTGTACTCACCAATACGGCTGTATAATCTAAATTCGAAATATGAGAAAAATCAAATATCACAGATCTTCTTTTACCACCTGAAAGATCAATTATAAATTATTACAAGGGTCTCCTTTATTATCTGTAATACATCATACATGTAGTTTAAGTATACTACATTACACAAGAAACAATTATATGGTATACAGCTCCAGAAATAAACTTCTAAGTAACCTGTACTCATATAAATGTTTCATGTGTTATTCTATTCATCAGTTACTAAATGCCACTTTAACAATTCATAGTACATTACTTGGCATTTCTTCCTGCTGTGGTTCAATATGAATGATCAAAATAATCATCCAGTTGGCAAAGATCATAATAGTCATATTAATCCACCTATTGAAATGTATAAGTTATGTTCTGTGCTTATAAAAAGATTTCAACACAACAGAAATTTTTCTCTCTATAAATAGAGTACATGCAATATAAAATATAAATGAGATTGTTCAATGCACTAAGTCAAACTAGTTACAATGGAGACATAGAAATGATTAACTTTGAGAAATTTCTAATTAGCAAAAGACACAACTACTGTAATAGGTTGATGTGTGTACAAAGTTTCATCAAGATCTTGAATGGTTTACGAGATTTACTCTGGAAAGGAGGGATAGAGGAAAGGGTGGGCATAGCCTATTTCAATATCTCTCCCTCAACATTGTTTGGCCCAGAATAAAAGGACCAAAAGTAAACGTACCACTAGTTGCTTTAAGGACTATAGTATCACTAATATATTCTGCTGCTGGAAAATTGATACCTTTATCTGGTTGTACTATTATAATACCTGGTTGATAATTATACTACAAAATATAAAACAATAAACATAAATTATACTACAAAATACAAAATAATGACAAACATAATTTATACTACAATATACAATATAATAATGACAAAAATAAATCGTAATGGAAAGCAGGAAATAAATTGCACCAACAATCAAATGTTTCATACAATATACTTGTTCCTGATTTTGATCAAATTTATAATCAATTAATTTTAGGTATAATATCTAGGTATAATATATAAACTTACATTTAATTTTGGTCTTGCTAATGGATATAGAATCATTATAATAGATATACCAATACCAACTAATATACCATACTATTAAAATTATACAAAACATAACATTATATTATTAATATGCTTTTAGTTTTAGTAGAAATAAAAAATTATATCATACATAAGCTTCCTAAATAGTTAATCAATATAGAGCAGGAGCCCAGGGGGTCAACCTAGCTGAAAAGTGTACCAATTGTCTCCTTTATGGTATCAATGTATGTATATCTGGTATCATCAGAATGTAAGTCTGCCGGGTTTCTGGTGGTGGGTGTGGTATTCCATGCCCAAAATGCCATGCCCCCCCAACTAGTCTAGATTAGCTCAAAAGTGTACCACATGAAAATCGCACAGCAATGTACCGTACATCTTCAGGTATTACAAAAACACTAGTGGTGGGGTACCCCTGACAGAGCTATGTAATTGCCAGACATTTGTAGTGATGGAGTATCCCTGACAAGAGTTATCTAATTTCCAGACCAAAGCTAGGCTAGATTAGTTCAAATCTGTACCACCTAAAACAGCTTTTGAGTTGTTCAGTACCACCACAGGAATCATGAATGACCACTGCCAGACAGTTTGTGAGGTGGGTTGCCCCTAACAGACACGCCCAAAATAACATGACCCCCAACTAGGATAGATTAGTTGGCACTGTTCCTGTGGTCCAAAAAATTAAAAATTATGCCAGGATGCGTAGAATACTAATACCTAGCACATATGGAAGAGGCGATAAACTGCGGTTGTAGGAACAATTTTATTTTTCAAAAACGCATTTTTAGCCCCATAAAATGTTTTTTGCCCAAAAATCAATTTCTTGCAATCGCAGTTTATCGCCTCTTCCATACGTTCTAGGTATTAGTATCCTACGCATCCTGGCTAAAAATCTATTTTTTTAGAACACGGGAACAGTTCCTGCGAAACTAGCCTAGTTGGGGGCGTGGCATTTTGGGGCGTGTCTGTTAGGGGTAACCCACCGCACAAACTGTCTGGCAGGGGTCATTCATGACTCCCGTGGTGGTACTGAACAACTCCAAAGCTGTTTTAGGTGGTACAGATTTCAGCTAATTTAGCCTAGCTTTGGTCTAAATATTAGATAACTCTTGTCAGGGATACTCCACCACTACCAATGTCTGGCAATTACATAGCTCTGTCAGGGGTACCCCACCACTAGAATGTCTGTCAGAGTGTTTTTGTAATACCTGAAGATGTACGGTACACTGCAGTAAGATTTTCGTGTGGTACACTTTTCAGCTAATCTAGCCTAGTTGGGGATCATGGCATTTAGGGCGTGGAATACCACACCCACCACCAGAAACCCGGCAGACTTACATTCTGATGATACCAGATATACATACATTGATACCATAAAGGAGACAATTGGTACACTTTTCAGCTAGGTTGACCCCCTGGGCTCCCGGTCTAATACCTGATAAAAGTATGTGTATTGTATATTAGACCTGGTTGTGTATACTGCATGTGTAATTATGTTTTAAAACAGCTAATTAGTTGAGTACTTTGTAGTTTGTATATACAGTATATACATGAAAATCAATCATCAATGTTAGAGTACATGTGTATTATATATAATGTGTTAACAGCATGTGTATTAATAATAAACCTACCTCTATACCTATAACTAATGATGATAAAAATGTTACAATCAATGGAAATAAATCTAATCCTATAAAACAAAAAGTAAAACATATTTAAAATGATAAACATGTGAACATTTTTTTAAAACAAATATAATGCTCACTTCTTTGATAAGTTCTGTATCTAATCCATTAACGGCATTTCGTGATTGAGCACATCATGGAATGCAATCTCTGGATTGTCATGCATTTTGTTCTTAAAATGTCACATTGTATGTACAGTAAATCAGTGATTATATTTTATGTAAATGGTTTTGTGTTCTTAATGTCCTGTAGTCTCACTATTTTACATTTTAATAAATAAATCATATAGAATTTTTCAAAATTTGAAAATAAACTTACTGTCGATCTTCCACAATATTTTAAGTACTTTCCAATCAACCATTTGTAATACAGCAGATATAATAACAGCACCCAAGGCAGCATCAGGTATATAATAAAATAATGGTGTTAAAACTTGAAGGGCTAATAATATCAGAGCACCTGTGGAATAAATAAAAGACTGGATATAAGAACAAAAATATTATGATGACTGGATGATCAGTGTCTTCAGATATTTATAACCTATACAAATTGGGAATGAATGAATGGAGGAAGGGAGGGAGTTAATTCAAGACTAACTATGTTAACTCTTTATTTCAGTTAATTTGTTTCTGGTCAATTCTCTATAGCAGTAGGAGGAAAATGAAGAAAACTGTTGTTGTTATAAGCAGATGACTCAACTCCCTATCACATGCAATTGAGCACTAGCACCCCTCCCCACCCCCTATGTCATTACAGATAGTGAACTGTACAGAGTAGTATATGATTAAGTAGCAGAATTGAATAAATGTTTTATTCACCTGTAAAGATGCCTGATGCTGGAGTTTTCACACCACTCTGAGAGTTAACAGCCGTTCTATAATATTAAAAACTAAACATGTAATATCTTAAAGAAAAGATACATCATTTCCATTTTTCGCTAAAATATCCAATTTTTCAGGGCTTAGATTATTTAAAATTTAATTAAGAAAACAAAATTTAAATACCAATGCTAGATTACCTCATGGCTTGAATTCAACCAGATTTTTAAAAAAAGCCCTATTGAATCTGTTCGCCTAAGACAAAATGGCAGCAGGCATATTACGAGCAGCATAGATCAATGAAAGTTCAATTAAACATATCTTTGTAAATATTGAACGGAATTGAAGCAATGTGACTCTAATACATCATAATATTAGAACTCTCATTGTGGCATTGCAATGTCATGGCTAGAAATACTATGGCTAAGTTCTTTTGTAAAGAGATATCTTTTTTAGAGATGATTGGGAACATACCTAGAGAAACTGCCAGTTACTGGATATGATGATACAAAACAACTAAATATATTAGCTACTCCTATAAATATACAAAACAAGGTTCAGCAGACTTAAATACAAAGTAAATTTCATCCCAGTGTTGGCCAAGAAAGTTTCTCTCACGGTTTTCCAGTGTGGTTTCCCCTTGAATGTAGTGCACATCGAATGGTCTGGCTAGGAACAGTGTCTAGTCGTTCAAACAGGATGACTGAAACCTGAGGTGTACAAGTTGGCATACACATGGAAGAAAATTTAACAGTTGAAATTCAAAATAGGAGCAGGCGTAGCACTTCTGTTCGGGCAAAACTTTTCGTCACAGCCAACTGCATGTTTTAGACCTGTCTTCATCAGCCCAGTTGGTGCAGAAAAGTAGGACGCTAAACCCCCTTTCATTTCATATTCCAAAATATCTGTACACATTAATAATTTCAACTCTTTCCAACAGAATGTCACTGTATCAATTTATCACTTACCTATTGCAATAAGTTCTTGTGTTGGGTCTATTTTATACCTATTCTGTCTTGCTGAAATAAATCAAATTTACATATTGAAAGTGAATTCAAAAACATATAAAATGAATAAAATAAATTGGAGAACGTTTTAACAGAAGTCTTACCAAAAGCTTTTCCAATTGCAATAGTCTCCACTAACCCAAGTAAAGGCACTATACCAAATCCTACTCCAATTTTCTGAAATAAATAATTGTATTTTGGGGCATTTATAAGTTGATACTAGTTTTTACAGCAGTCTATGGGAACCATGGTGGCTCAGTGGGTATGGCCCTGGATGAATAGTCAGGAGTTCTTTGGTTGGATCCTGGTGTAGACTGAGAAAGTTCCTCAGGGTTTTCCAGCCTGCCTTCCCTCTGTCAGTCGTTCAGGAAGTGTCAAGTCGTGTGGATTGGACAATAAAGTTTAGTCCTATATATACCATTGGCAGCACATTAATAATCCCCTTACAAATTGACAGTCAGAAATTGTTTTCTTCAAAACAATATTGATTGATTCTCTGCATTATACTTTGGCACATTCCGCTGACAATTTTTCAATTCTCCAGAAAAATTGTTACCAAACCACAGTGTTTCATTTGGAAAGATTGCTAATTCTTTTCAATATAAGACATATATATACTTACAGTAAATATATCCCCAGCTGACTGAGTTATATTTTTAGATTTTAGCGAGAAGGCTGGTGGTTGAAATGGAGGTAGTCCAGCATGTAGATGACCAGTTATAGTTAGTTTATCTGTTATGTTCATACTTATTAAACTAGCTGCTATACCAGCCCCTGCTATAACAACAACGGCATTAGCTCCTGAAGTAAACAAAACAAGCCAACAGTGAGGCTGATGTCCCCCGCCAAAATCCCCAAATAAATAGATGACACATATTAATTAATCGCACATCTATTTTTTTTCCAAAGTATCAAGCAATCAAACTGATTATCAACTATACACTAAGTTTCATCACTCTCTATCAGATAGAATCAAAGTTATCTTGTCCCAAAGCAGGAAATTGCTTATCTCCGCTTAGCTTTAGCTCGATATGTTAATCATTCAACTCAGTCAAGACGAACATCTACATCAAGTTTAAATATTCTACCTCAATTAGAAGAAGAGTTGTTATGTTCCAAAGTCTTGACCAATCAAACTGCTTATTGCTCCTTAGCCTAAGCAGAAAAATTCTCATCATCAAAACTTAGTCAAGGTATTGATGTAATGAAACTATACACCAAGTTTCATCAATCTCACTTAATTAGAACCAAATTTATCGTGTTCCAAAGCATCAACCAGTCAAATTGCTTATCTCTGCTTACCCTAAGCCGAAAATGCCGATCTTCGCACTCCATCAAGGTATTGACCTCATAAACCCCTACACCAAGTTTGAACATCCAAGCTTAATTAGAAGGAGAGTTATTGTGTTCCAAAGTCTCGGCCAATCAAATTGCTTATCGCTCTGCTTACTATGAGCAGAAAATGCTCATCATCGAACTAAGTCAAGATATTGATGTAATGAAACTATACACCAAGTTTCATCACTCTCACGTAAGTGGAACTAAAGTTATCGTGTCTCAAAGCATCAACCAATCAAATTGCTTATCTCTGCTTACCCTAAGCAGAAAATGCTTATCTTCACACTCCATCAAGACATTGACCTAATAAACACCTACAACAAGTTTGAACATTCTAGCTCAATTAGAAGGAGGGTTATTGTGTTCCAAAGTCACGACCAATCAAATTGCTTATCGCTCTGCTTACCCTGAGCAGAAAATGCTCATCATCGAACTTAGTCAAGGTATTGATGTAATGAAACTATACACCAAGTTTCATCACTCTCACTTAATTGGAACTAAAGTTATCGTGTCCCAAAGCATCAACCAATCAAATTGCTTATCTTTGCTTACCCTAAGCAGAAAATGCTTATCTTCACACTCCATCAAGGCATTGACCTAATAAACACCTACACCAAGTTTGAACATTCTAGCTCAATTAGAAGGAGGGTTATTGTGTTCCAAAGTCACGACCTATCAAATTGCTTATCGCTCTGCTTACCCTGAGCAGAAAATGCTCATCATCGAACTTAGTCAAAGTATTGATGTAATGAAACTATACACCAAGTTTCATCACTCTCACTTAATTGGAACTAAAGTTATCGTGTCCCAAAGCATCAACCAATCAAATTGCTTATCTTTGCTTACCCTAAGCAGAAAATGCTTATCTTCACACTCCATCAAGGCATTGACCTAATAAACACCTACACCAAGTTTGAACATTCTGGCTCAATTAGAAGGAGGGTTATTGTGTTCCAAAGTCTCGACCAATCAAATTGCTTATTGCTCTGCTTACCCTGAGCAGAAAATGCTCATTATCGAACTTAGTCAAGGTATTGATGTAATGAAACTATACACCAAGTTTCATCTTTCTCACTTAATTAGAACTAAAGTTATCGTGTCCCAAAGCATCAACCAATCAAATTGCTTATCTCTGCTTACCCTAAGCCGAAAATGCTCATCTTCGAACTCCATCAAGGCATTGACCTAATAAACACCTACACCAGGTTTGAACATTCTAGGTCAATTAGGAGGAGAGTTATTGTGTCCCAAAAAGTGTGACGGACAGACAGACGGACGGACGGACTGGTCTTCTCGTGCATAGGCGTACAGGGAAATTTTTGACTGGGGGGGCAGTGGTGGTTGGTGCCCAAAAAATGTAGTTAGTTTTTTAGTATGTTACATAATAATAATAAATTCGCTGTTAAATTGGACACATTCACGAACACAATATTTTTTTTATACAATTTTTACAAAGTACAATTGTGTGCCCAAATTTTCCCAGCATTTGGTGCCCCCCCAGCTCGTACGCCTATGTTCTCGTGGATACACTCTTAACTTTGATTAAGAGATAGCAAATTTGACATAACAAATGAAATAGTATTGATCCTTACAAAATTTTGTTCCGCAGTAACTCGGTTTTCTTTTAGTATGACTGTACTATGAACAAGGCCCCAGACATCTTGGAATCAAAAATCAAAGTAGGGTTGGGTTGAATGGTTAACGCGTGAGCGTTGCATTAAAGGTCTGTCATTGAGTTAAGTGGCGTGGTTTCGATTCCCAGCTTGTATGTGACAAGGAGTAGGGTCGTCTGTCCACCTCGTTGGTTTTCTCTGGGTCCTCTGGTTTCCTCCCACTGCTAAAGATCCCTACATGCAAGAGAATTATTGAAATAAAATTGAACTATGTGTTAGTCCCAAAATGACCTAGTTTGTGTCGAGTGGATGTAAAACCCCTTTCTCTCCCTCTCCCTTTAAAAGTATTTAATATATACCTACCAGTTCCAAAGAGCCATAGAAATTTACGTGAAACTTTTTGGCCAATTGTTAATTCTTCTGCTTTAGAATCTCCCCAATTTATGTTACGTAATTTCTATAAACAGACGACAAAAATAGTTCATTACACCACATTTCTCTAACAAAGTCAAAATGTTAGTAAGCAGTATAGTAGAAATGGCATTAATAGTAACAATCTAAAAAAAAGGGCTAAAATTTGCATACTTCGTATTATTCAAAGACTTGACTGAATATCATTACCTTAATAAAATACAGAAGAACAAGACAGGAAAATCCTAAAATCATATCCCAAATTCTAAAATCAGATGAAAAAATACAATTTTATATGGTTACCTTTTCGATAGTATACACAGGAGGACAGCACAATACACAAAAAAACATACACATCATTTGACAAACAATAGGCAATGTCTGTGAGACAAGTACTAGGAGAAAACAGATGATAGACTAAGTAGTTGATTTTCAAATGTTGGAAACAGATTCGGTGTAGATCTGCCAGTATGCTCTACATCCATGAAAGACACTTCACTTAACAGAATTCTACATATTTGATTTGAGTAAAAATTAAAAGGTTCTATTTAATTAAATTTAGTGTGTAGCAGGTAGCTGTTTCAAAATTTTTCATGTCTGACATTTTTAGTTGGGGTTAATAGAGGCCAAAATCAAGTCACCAGAAGTCCTGGTCCCAAGTTCACAAAGCATTCTCAGACTTAGGTTAAGAATTTACTCAACTTTCAATCACGTTTATAAGAAATATCTTTATAAGAAATATCCAGAAACACAAAACTGTGCACATAGTTTCTTATTGATGTATTTGATACAGTAAAACAGCAAAAGTTTTATGAAGGGCTATATTTTAGTTAAAATAAATCCAACAATTTTGAGTAAAATCTTAACTTAAGTCTGAGAATGTTTTGTGAACTTGGCGCCTGGTTAGCCTCAAGAAATAGGGTCAATAATCTTCCATTTCCTTTAATAGATTTTAACTCCAAAAAATGTTTATGTTATGTAGGATATCGTGTTCTGAATAATATCTATGATTTGTACCGGGAAAAAAAAGTAGACCTCACTAATTTTCATACTTAACACCTATGATTTTTGCTAAAATCTTTTTAATTCCATTGAAATAAGAACTTACTTGGTTTTCCCAAGTTCTGCGAATGTATGATATACCATAGGTAAGAAATCTCTTGGAATGTTGGATAATCCAAATATATGCTGAAAATAAAAACCATACTGTCTTAAAATAATTACACTTTAAATGAACCACAGACAAATAGGGTCTGAAATATACTCAAAATACTTGAAATTCAGGATATTTATCACAGAATCCAAGACAGACTTTTTTCTGTTTTGTCCCCTTATAATATGTATAATCTATTTTTCAAGTGAAACCCACACATGGTCATTTGCGTTTTTTGAAAATATCTAAATTCTACAAGGCCTTATGCACAGAAAATTTACTCATTCTGATTATTTAACATTAAATGAGGAAAATAATACCCAAATAGCAATGGTTGAAAATCTCACAGTTTGGATTCAATCGGATTAGAAAGAATCCATCAAAAGATTTTATCCAACACTTACAGGTGACACTGGCTTGTTTATATTGTCTGCAGAGGCTTCCTAATCTTGCTCAATTTATCATATCTTTGTAAATAATGAACAGAACTGAACCATTTAAGGCCGAATCCACTGTCTCAAGTGTAGTTTGCAAGAAATTCAAAACTCCAAAAATAGTTTAACAATAATAAATATAAGTAGATGTACCTACCTTAACTTGACCAAATGCTATAGTAATAGCAGCGGCTGATGTAAAAGCATTGATAACAGGATAAGAAATGAAATTCACTATTATACCTATAGAAAAAAATATATGTGTTATATTCAGCATCACATGTAGGGTTTAATGTCTGTTTTCACATTGTGTGGAATTGCTATAAATGTTCTTTTATAAAATAACTCGTTTCTGAAATGGTCGAAAATATTTTGATAATACTTGATAATTACAATTTGTTTTATATAGATAGAAACTTAACCAAGGCACTAACACATTGCTTGATGAGTATGGCACTGGCTCATTGACTAGGATATCTCAGGTTTTATCCTGGTGATGGCCAAAAAAGTTCCTTATGAATTTTAAAATGATTTTCTCTTGTCAGTGGTGCAGACCCAATGGCCTGACAATAAAAAGTGTCTAGCCATTCGATTGAAATGAAAACAACAAAGTACCATTGGCAGGATGTTAAAATTGAAAGTTGGAAATTGATAAAAGGGTAGAATGTAGCACCTTGATCTGTCAGGGGCAAAATTTCCCTCATAGCACACTGCATGGCATATATCAGTCTTTATTAGACTGGTCGATGAAAAGAATTAAGTCATTAACAGTTAAATCTATTTCATTTTATTTCATAATCTGAATGACATTTTATTTGTCATCTTAATCAAGTTAATATACTGTATCTTTAAATTAAAATTTACCTAAATTTAGAAGACCCATAATTAACTGTATAATACCACACATTAAAGTTAAGACAATGGCGTAAGTAGCATCATTAGGTACTGGTGATATAGCAAATGTCCCTGTCATTAATGACATAATGGCCGTTGGACCTAGGGTAATGTCTTTAGATGTTCCCAGAAAACAGTAGACAAAACATCCCATAAATGATGAATACAATCCATACTGAAAAATAATATATTCTTTAAATAATCAACTCGAAACATTTACACGAAATATGAATTCACCAATAAGAATTTGGAACGCTTGAAACTTCTGCTTCCTCTAGTGTATTTATTAAAGTGCTTATGTCATGTGAATAGCTGTTGAATGGCTGTATACTATATAAGGACTTTATATTATTCTGTGACTTGGGCAGTTTGGAGAACAGTAGTTGCAAGCAGTGTTAAAACTGAGGTACAATAAAATCAATGTAAAAAACATAACTTTTCTCTAAGTTTATCAGGGAAAAAGGGCAGTCAATATTTACATGTACCAGATGCTAGTCAATGGCAGACAGTATTATAATAGGTTAATGTGTTTATAAAGTTTCTTAAAGATACCTAGACAAAAATAAAATCCTAACAAAAACAAATAAGTATTTACTGATCTAGGGTCTTAAGTACTACATGTACATTGTATATATGATAACTGATATTGAAAACTGATATTGAGCTGTAAATTAAAGGAGCTAAATCCCTAATCTTTGGCCCTAGAAATGGACACAAATGGGTCGCAACGCATATAATAATATAATATGAATGTATATAAACTGATCTACATTCAATCCTTTCTGTAATTTCTAATTAGTTATGTTCGGCGAAATATGCAAAGAGTCAAAATTGAATGGCAGTCTTTTGCATCTGTTATTCCAGTCTACATCTGTTTAGCCTCGATTATCGAGTAGCTTCATTACAAATGGCACTAAAAAGCATTCTGGCATTTTGTCTTCAATATTGGATATCAGAAGAGGGGGGTGGGGTAGGGTGGGGTGGTGGATGGCCGAATGGTTAGCGCGTGCACGTTGTATGATAAGGTGAGTCCACTGGTGTGGTATCGATTTTCCTGTAGTACGTGACAAGGAGTAGGGTCACCTGTCCAACCTCATGGGTTTTCTCCAGGTCCTCCGGTTTCCTTCCACAGCTAAAGACCCCTACACGCAAGAAGCGAATTATTGAACTAAAAATTAAACAAATGACCTAGTTTGTGTTGAGTGGACGTTAAACCCCATTTCTTTCTCTCTCTCGGATATCAGAAGCCCATCTTTTAACGGTAAGATAACAACATCAATGTTGATTTAAATTGACCAATAAGTCTTGTTTGCAATGTTGAAGACTGTGGATGATATAGAGTTAGGGACTTGCCTCCTAATCTCTAACAACACCTGTATTTACATGTATACCATTACAGGTGTCATATGTTAAACCATGTATATATAAATATTCTTTTGATGATTGTGAGTCATACAGCTATATATATATTAATAGTGGTATTCTTTTAAACATAAATTAGTGGTGTCAGGTAACATCTGGAAATCTATTGCTAAATTCATAACAAAAATACTGTATTTTAACCAGACCTATAAATTTTACTGAAGATAGGGTGACCCACCATAAATAAATATCTCCATATATCTCGACAATTACGCCACAATATTTATATATATGCCAAGCCTCAAATCAGTTTCACACAATTATAGTCACTAAATAAACGATCATGTTGTACTTAATAAGCTATGACTATTAATCATGTATAAATAATAGACTGAAAACTGGTTCCAAGAGTCGTCCATAACATTCAGACACTTTTGAGTAAAAGATAGGTTACGTGCCCTTGTTTTGAAATTAGTCTCGCTTAACCAGTCTATCGACCAATCTACGTCTGATTGACAGGTCGGGATAATCAAGACTACTTTTTTACGAAACATAACAGAAAGCTAGAACAAGAAATTGAATTTAGAAATAAGCTTGTAAAAGTAAAATGAAACTACTGCTAGTATCATGTTCCTGTCTAACCCGAGTGATTAAGATATTATTTGTACTAAACCAAAAGATGCCGCTCTTAACGGTACAGTTAATGATAAAGCGATTTAAAAAATGAAACGAATGTAATTTCTAAATCTGCTGTAATAACCAAGAAGCTTAAGTTTACTGCTATTCAAAATCGTCAACAATAAAATTTTTACGGCTGTAATAGTTGATAGATTTGTAGAGAATTGCACGTGCCATGGCTATTTATAGTATCATACTGTCAGAAAGTTGGTCTCGGCACGGCGAATGTGCACGCTTCAGTGGTATTCTCGAACTATCAGCGGTGGACTGTATTTCTGTGAGTACATGGGTCACCCTACTGAAGAATGTTATTTTAAAATATCATGTATTGGTAAATACCTAACAAAAAAACCTATTTATTTGTATCATTTATGTGAAATTTAACTCTAATTATCCAAAACATACCGTACCTGTGGTGGTAGACCAGCTATTTTAGCATAAGCTAATCCCTGGGGTATCACAGTTAATCCTACTGTTAATCCTCCTATTATATCACACTGAAGAGCATTTAAACTGTTGAAAAATAATACATCAAATAAATATTGAAATAATTAAAAACAGTCTCAATGGTTTGATGAGAAATAAAAAAGTCAATAATTCAGGTTAAACAAAATATGTTTAAAAATCATTTTTTAGAAAAAAATACATGCATTTTGATAAATACATATAGTATTGTTATATGGAAGCCGTGGTGGCTTAATTAGCTAAGATACTAGTTCACTAATCAGGAGGTCTTGGAGTCACTCCTTGTATGTGTCGCAACAGTTCCACAGGATTTTCCGACAGGGTTTCCCCTTGTCAGTGGTGCAGGATGACATGGAACAATGTCGAGTCATTTAGATAGGACATAAAAACCAGGGTTCTGTGTACACATTGGCATAGGGCAAAACAACCCTTGTCAGTTGAAATTCAACATAAAAGTAGTAAGCATCTGCCCGTCTTCATTAGCCCAGTAGGTGCAGAAAAGTAGGATATTAAACCCCATTTCATTTCATATGATTTTATATAGTATACGGTTAACCGTTATGTGGGTCTTGTCACCACACATTGCAAAAATTTTTGGTGAAACCAGACCCATTATAAGCCTAGATTAACATCAACAATAGGACACCACAATTGACAATGCACAAACGTGGGTCACTGGGTCATCACACACTACTTACACTTTCTTGGTTCCAATTTTCTTATTAAAATAGCTATATGTATGTATAGTAGAAATAGGATCACTGAGCTTCTGAGCGTAGCGACCCATAATGAAAGGGTTAAGTTATCTATGATGCTTACTTATAATTAGGGAGCCATTTTATAATCGGTAATTTCTTTTTTAGTGTCTCTTTTGTACATATATTACGACCTATCTCTTTCAACTTTTCACTTATATGAATAGATCCCATAGTTTTAACCTCTGATGAATTTGTATGGTCAACAATCAAGGGTTGTTGTTCATCATCATTGTCATATTGTATCTAAAATATAATAAACATTACATTACTAAGTTAATTAAAAATTGTCTGTTTGTGAAATGAAACATGTACACAGTAGATTGTGTTGGATATTTGGATACTTCCTAAAAAAATACATGTATTCCGTGCCCATTTGACAGTGACAGTGAAGTCTGAATGGAGGCTTAAGTGTAAGCCCCACAAATGCAAAAAGGAACAGTTAAATCCTCACCATGGTATAATAAAGTGAGAATTATGGACAAAAATAATAAAAATAAAGCAAAATGAATTATTAATAAGGGCTGTATACTATCTAACTTTATAAAATAAATATTCACTTTACCTGATTACTAGCCATGTAGATATAAATAACTGATGATTTACCAGTACATATCCATATATTATAATTGTAGACTTACTTCTGATAGGTATAATTACCGTCTCTCTAAAAGAAATAATGCCATTATAGTTGTATGCATATAAATAAACATAAAAATATGTATTGCTTCATTTATTAAAGGAAAATAACTTTTATGCTAAATATCTAAACACAGAGATTTAACATTTATTTCTAAAATTCTCCTTATACAACTTTGAAACAAACTATCGGTAAACTGATCAGTGATAAGATCCAAAACAAAATAACAGTAATTAACTTATTAGGCCTATATATATATAAAAGCTAATTGAAGTTCAAGCATTCTAATTTTTTATCAAGCTTGATAATTTCGTTTCATGTTTATAAGCGTGATAAACATTTCAATAAGATAACTAACTCATAATGTCATATAAGATAACCGCATCAAAAGACAAACCATGGGATCTTATATCTGTCAGATATTTGACTATCATTACTGAACATTCATTCAAAACTTTCACGTCTGTCACATAATGGATGTTTCTATATGTCACATGATCCAAGGAACACTAAACATTCTTTCTAAATAAGAAAGCTATCCACTCACGTGACTTCGGCTCTTTTTTAAAAATAAACTCTTTACTTGCAGCAAAATCAAACAATATTTGAACAGAAAGACTCAATCACAATAAAACACACAATATCTCTTTAGATTTTGCGTCATTCAATACTATCTGATCTAATTTACACTTTGGGGAAATTGATAAAAAAAATAAAAGATATTGAACTCGAACGTACATTTCGTCACGTGACTATCATGTGATTCAAGTACCAGTGAAAGGCAGGAAATGGAGTGGCCTATTTTCCTTCATATCTCATATCTGATGAATTTTTCAATTGACATATTATTACCATAGATATAAATAGTACTGTAATATGATAGCGTTGTAAATGGGTCGAGATATAGATGATAATAATGTATAAACATTACACATTGTGTTTGTTGTCCATCTTTTTGTTTATTTCTCTGTCTTATTGTAAAAGATTACAAAATGTCTTAGTTCTTATCGGTGAGTAAAAAAATAATTGTTCAGAACAGTAATAATAATAGTATATAAATCTTTATTGCAAATGAACATTCGGTAAGAACCGAATCAATATGAAAAAAACATGAAAAAGAAATGGACAAAGTAGCCTACTGGTATGAAACAAATCTATATATATAGGCTACTTAATTCGTTAATGTATATAGAATATATGGGGTTTTTTTAAATTTATACTAGGAAGTGTTCCTTAATATTAAGTTTATTCAGGATGTAACCTGGGCCTAATTTTCTGTGTTGCGGAAGATTCTTGCTTTTGTTCGAAATTGCTGTTTTTCCTACTGTGTGACTGTCCCTTGTTGATACCTGGGCTCAAGAGTCTTCATATTTCTCCCACTATTTAACAAGAATAATGTTCTATTTAATATGATTTTCCTGTTCCATTAGATCAGTTATATATGTATTAAAAGAATAATATTCAATTTAAAAATGATTTTACTGTACATGTAGGTTACCATTACTTAGATCAAATTCATACTAAATTAAATTGCTTGCAAAATTTGAGGTAATTCGCTAATCAATAACTGAAATGCAGAAGATGGTTGTAAAAAAAATACATCTCATATAGAATCTGCAACAAGGTACAAATGATATAAACAAAATGTCTGTGCCATGTACATTGCTCTGAGATGAAGTGTTATGAATTTATCAAGATGTGTTTATTGTTGGTCAGTTCTCTTTATTAGTTTGTGCATTTCAATACTTTTTCAGGTGATGATGCTGGATTTGAAAGTCCAGTGTATAATAATAATATATGTAAAACACCCAACTTGATGAAACTAGCAGAAAGAAGTGTTATATTCAAACAAGCTTATACATCTGTTAGTAGTTGTTCTCCAAGCAGGTAATTTTGCAGTCCTAATTAAAATTTTACCAACTTTTCGTTTTTTTGTTTTTTTCGGTTGTATACTCCACTGCATCTTGGTCTAAAGACATTCCTTTATAGGGAGTATTCAGTAATGCGCAAATTGTGATTAGTCGACGCCATGTCAACTCATCCATAAGTATGGACATAGGGAGGCAGACCACCATTAAATTTCATCATCTCGGTACCCACGAATTGTAGTTCGTCTATTTATAGCAATTCTCTCTCTCTCTCTTTTCTCCCCTTTTGCATGCCCATTTGTGTTGATTTTTTGGTCTAGAATGGACAAAGAGGGTTTGAATTAACATTTTCTGCCAGGTTTTGGTAAATATTCATGATTTTGAGACGGAAGGATAAGAGGGTTATCAGGTTAGCTACGGCGATATGTACGGCAACTAGTTACATGTTTTTAGTATGCTTCTTCAAGTTTGTGTATCTCAAAATTTTGGTGGTCAACCTCATACAAATTTTAGTGCAAAGACATGACCATTTGTTCCTCTGTCTGTAGTGAAAAGCATTCAGCCCAACGAAAATTTGGGGAAAAGTTGGAGGTGGGCAAAGAGGCCAGAATTAACATTGAAGTCAATGGGGAAATTAATGGTGGTCTGCCTCCTATATGAAAACAACCTGACAGTGGATGAAAGGCCTAAATTTGATGATATGATCTCCAAATTGTCAGAAAATGTGATATATGGCATTTTGATGGTAAAAAATGTGAAATGGTAAAATTTCAAAAATATTTGACAAATTTGGGAGGGGAAATTTTGATTTTAGTCAAAATTTTGTGATTTTCAGTGTTTATTTACTTTTCAAAATTAGTGGAAAATATTTTAATGTATGATTTTTACTTTTTCTGCCTTATAATTGTTAGACGGGAAGAAAGTATCATAATTTCACTTAATTTTGCCTAAAAATCATGATAAATTGTCTGAAATTCTTCAGATTACCCCCAATATTGCTGTCAAAATTTTAATTATTCATCTGTTGTAAAATGAACCAAAATGTCTTGCATGTCTTTATTTTCATTGTTAAATAACTTGGCAAGGATCCATGTGTTTGTCAGATATTGAAAAAGTATTCATGTGTTTGTCAAAAATTTAAAAATTAAGAAATTTAGTCTAATTATGTTCTGCTTAGGTGTGTTAGAATTTTCAAAACATGAGTGAACTGCATTTTGCTGCTGTTTTCCTCAGACTTAACACAATTTTAATCTTTCAAAACCTGAAATTGTTGCATTTCCCTTCTCGAGAAAGTAAAATCTATGTGTTTGCAGGGAAATTTATCTGTCTTCATTTCATTTAGACTGGCTCACCCTCCCCACCCCACCCCTTTTCTTGAAGATGATATTTGGATATTCAATTGAACATTTGTTGACTCCAAATTAGCAGTAATCTGATTTTGTGCTTGAATTGTAACCGAGCATTTTATTTGACACAAACAAATAGTTACATATAAGATTTCAAGGATTTCTAAGACTTTTTCTTCCAAATGAGTCCACACCCCAAAATGGATATGTTGTAGATGTGTTTTTTGCAGCTTAATGTTTTACATTTTGAATGTAAATCTATTATTTGTGGTGATCTTTGAAAATGTGGCACTTACAGGGCAATAAAATATGAATTAATAGCCTTTTCATACCCCTTTTATGCTTTGAATTATGTCAGAACTCCCTTTTTCCATCTCATTTTGTCAGGACATTGATGTAAAGATTAAAACAACTTGCTTCCACATAATATTTACACTATGTAATTTCAAGGATACCTCTGATTGTTAAAGTATTTTAAAAACTGAAATATTCCCATTTTTTTAAAAAAAAAATAGTGCTTTGCGACCCTTTTATTAGAGTGGCTGGTTGTCACCTAAATACAGCATTTATTTTACATTTATCAATCCATATTTTAATAAATAATTCATACTTTGTATAACAAACTGTGTTTGTATGTATGTATATAAGCCAGGGATAGAAAAACATGGCTTTTAGCCATATTCCATCAACAGTATTACTTATGTGGACACAAGTGGGATTTGTTACCACACCAACATTTTTAGAGGGTGGGCTTACAGGTTTCACTATAGTTCCTTACAGTTACCTTCAATGCAACAAATTTGCAGCTTGTCTTCCTGTATACCGGCCAAGGTTTCTAGAAATAAATGCTTTTCATCTCAGACTTTCCCAGAAATAGGGAAATATTAGCATTTTGAGCCATACAAAGTGTCAAAAATGGACCATTTTGTAGAAAAAGGTAAAAGAAAGTCAATTTTTGAAAAATATTCCAATATTTTGAATATTTTTGATGTGACTTGTCTGAAACTCTTTAAATCTTTTCGCAGAACTCACATTTCGACAAAATTAAGAAAGAATCTTCAATTCTAGAACAAAAGGCCCATGGACCTGAGCTGCAATCCGGTATACAAAACACTACATAACTTTAAAGGGTCACCATTTCTGCAGTAATTATTTTTTTCTGATTCTGTATTATAATAATTTTGCAAAAATAAATGTGAAGCTATAAAGAAAAGAATTTTGATGATATATGAACTTATAAAACCATATAGGAGGCAGACCACCATTAAATTTCATCATCTCGGTACCCACGAATTATAGTTCGTCTATTTATAGCAATTCTCTCTCTCTCTCTTTTCTCCCCTTTTGCATGCCCATTTGTGTTGATTTTTTGGTCTAGAATGGACGGAGAGGGTTTGAATTAACATTTTCTGCCAGGTTTTGGTAAATATTCATGATTTTGAGGCGGAAGGATAAGAGGGTTATCAGGTTAGCTACGGCGATATGTACGGCAACTAGTTACATGTTTTTAGTATGCTTCTTCAAGTTTGTGTATCTCAAAATTTTGGTGGTCAACCTCATACAAATTTTAGTGCAAAGACATGACCATTTGTTCCTCTGTCTGTAGTGAAAAGCATTCAGCCCAACGAAAATTTGGGGAAAAGTTGGAGGTGGGCAAAGAGGCCAGAATTAACATTGAAGTCAATGGGGAAATTAATGGTGGTCTGCCTCCATAGCTTTGATACAGAGTTACCTCCCTTGACACATCATATATAATTTATTTAAATTTTTTGTGAATTTTCTTATAATAATGTTTTATTATTACATGTAACCAACTAAAATAAAATAGACTAATTCAAAAGATTTACAACAAATGAAAAAAAAACCTCATAGTTAACAAATTTGTCTTCTCTTAATCAAAAAAAAATTTGACAGAGTTTTCTCCCTTTTCTACATTTTGAGCTTTAAAGGGCTCTAAATTAATTCAAACCATATATTTAGGACTAAAGCGTTTGTTTTTTATAGAAAGAAAATTAGAATGCTCTTGTCCGTGTATATTAGAATATTTGTAAAAGTCTTTGTCTTTATGTTCAAATGTAATTTTTTCTTTTAATTCACTCGGTGATATTTTTAACTTATTCTTTTGGATAGATCAGCAATATTAAGTGGATTACCTCAACACCAGAATGGAATGTATGGCTTACATCACAAAGTACACCATTTTAATTCTTTTGATAAAGTTAAAAGTTTACCACTTTTACTCCAGAAAGCTGGTATCAGAACAGGTACATCGCAATTTCAATCTAGAAAATTTAGCATCTGAAATCGTTATGTTTTTAATAAGTTAGATATATAAGCGATACAAGGCCATAATGGCAATAGCTAATGATACAACAGTTTTTTTCCTTATTATATAGACATTTATCTTTACAAAGCTGTAACATTGTTATGATAAGGAAAACTGTCTATAATTCCGTTCAATTTCTTTAATTCATTTAATATTTTGTAGGCAGAAATGAAAGATTCCTGTCATATTTTTTTTTTTTAAAAATGCACGAACAATATTTTATTTAAAGATGCAATATGTAAGATTTAGATAAAAAGCTGACGGTTCTCGCTATAATAATCAACAATAAATAATGAAAAATTAATATATTGAAAATTTCAGTCAAATTACATAATTCTGAGCGATGTCTTAATTGCTATTGCTACAGTTGTTACGATAGTAAACAAAGTTTCAATTATCCATATTTTAATTAAATTATTAAACAACAATCTTGTTTCAATCCATTATAAATCGCGAGCATCCGATGCTCTAGAGAGTTGATTATGGTCTTGACATGCTAATAAATGTCTAATTAATAATTTATATGTGTGAGGCCAAAAGAAAGACCTGCAATAGGCAGATTTAGCTTTTACATAATGCATCTTTAATAACGAATAATCTTTATTTCTGTTATTTTCTTCAGGTATAATTGGAAAGAAACATGTCGGACCTGAATATGTTTATCCATTTGATTTTTCTCAAACAGAAGAGAATCATTCAATATTACAGATAGGAAGAAATATTACTTACATGAAAAACTATTTACATCAATTTTTAAACTCCAATGATACAAGGTAAATATGTATGTAGTTATAGTCATAGTTCATTGATTAAACTAAAAATAAAATAACATGTAATTAACAAACATATTTTGAAATTGGGTTGAACATCCTACTCCGACTGGGAAACAAGGCTGGAAAATCCTGAGAACTTTTTTTCGTCCTATATTAGAATCGAACCTGGAACCTCCTGGCTAATGAGCCACTGGTCTCCCACAATATAGTGAAGTCAATGGATGAAAAGTTATCTATATTAATGTTTCTGATGTTTGTTCAGCAGATAGAACGGTTTTCTCCTTGCTTACCAAAAGATGATATTTATAAAAGAGATATAATAATGAAAGAATTCTTGAGAGGAGATAATACCTCACCTTAATTTCTATATTTTATTTACAGGCCTTTCTTCATGTATATTGGTTTTCATGATCCTCATCGATGTGGTGCAACTCATCCGGAATATGGATCATTCTGTGAGAAATTTGGAAATGGTGAACCTGGAATGGGTAGTATTGTTGACTGGCAACCTGTACATTATAAACCTGATGATGTTATTGTACCATATTTTGTACAAGATACACCAATGGCTAGAGCTGATATAGCTGCACAGTATACTACTATCAGTAGATTAGATCAAGGTAATTTCTTTCATTGATCCATGGCAAACGAAAGTATGAAAGGTTTATTGAAATGGTCTTTGTCCATACTTCCATCCCAGTTTTCTTTCCAGCGGATATCTGGTAAAGTATTCAAAATTTCTTCATGAAACTTTGTAAACTTTTGTGTTTCCATGGAAACAAATTTGACAAGATGAAATCAAATAAATAGTTAGTGAGTTTTTTGGTGACTCATTATTGTATTTTTATAGGTATTGGTTTAATGATAAAAGAATTAGAATTAGCTGGTGTTTTAGATGATACATTAATTATATACAGTTCTGATAATGGTATACCATTTCCTAATGGTAGAACTAATCTATTTGATGCTGGTATGGCTGAACCTATGTTGATATCATCTCCATACAATACTCATAGATGGGCACAGGTGAGATTATTAAAACATACATTATGCAGGAGCTAAATCCGCCTATTGCAGGTCTTTCTTTAGATCTGTAATGTTATATAAATTATTAATTACACATTAATTAACTTATTTAGACCATAATCAACTCTCGATAATCGAGACTTTGTTTTTTTATCATACCGACTTTAGTAATGATGATCGAGGCTAGCCTAAAATTCAAAAGCATTTTTATACGTCCACATTCATAATGTGAACGTATTATGCCGTCGCCCCTGTCTGTGTGTGTGTGTGTGTGTGTGTGTGTGTGTGTGTATGTATGTATGTGTGTGTGTGTGTGTGTGTGTCTGTGGTTCGCCTACAGGGCGCAATTCTTCATGGATTTTCTTCAAACTTGGTATACTTATTCCTTATACCCCAAGGAAGATCCCTATTGTTTTTGGTGCATGCCCGACCCCCCGGGGCAGAGCCACGCCCATTTCTAGTATTTGTTTGTTTGTCGTCTACAGGCCACATTTCTTAACTAATAATCTTGAAACTTTGCATACACATTCTTTGTACCCTAAGGAACATCCCTATCGTTTGGGGTGCATGCCCAACCCCCAGGGGCAGAGCCACGCCCATTTTCTTTTCGTGTGTCTTTGTGTCGCCTACAGGGCGCAATTCTTACTGGATTTTCTTCAAACTTGGTATACTTATTCCTTATACCCCAAGGAAGATCCCTATTGTTTTTGGTGCATGCCCGACCCCCAGGGGCAGAGCCACGCCCATTTCTAGTATTTGTTTGTTTGTCGTCTACAGGCCACATTTCTTAACTTATAATCTTGCATACACATTCTTTGTACCCTAAGGAACATCCCTATCGTTTGGGGTACATGCCCAACCCCCAGGGGCAGAGCCACGCCCATTTCCCATTTTCTTTTCGTGTGTCTTTGTGTCGCCTACAGGGCGCAATTCTTACTGGATTTTCTTCAAACTTGGTATACTTATTCCTTATACCCCAAGGAAGATCCCTATTGTTTTTGGTGCATGCCCGACCCCCAGGGGCAGAGCCACGCCCATTCCTTATATTTATTTATTTGTTTGTCATCTACAGACCGCATTTCTTAACGTATCAACTTTACATATTTATTCCTTATACCCTAAGGATGATCCCTATTGTTTTTAGTGCATGCTCGCCTCCCCGGGGCAGAGCCACGCCCATTTTTGTATTTGTTTGTTTGTCGTCTACAGGCCGCATTTCTTAACGTATCATCTTGAAACTTTGCATACTTATTCTTTGTACCCTCAGGAACATCCCTATCGTTTTGGGTGCATGCCCACCCCCCAGGGGCAAAGCCACGCCCATTTTCTTTTTCTATGTGTGTGTGTCGCCTACAGACCACAATTCTTAATCAATTGTCTTGAAATTTTTTCATATGAATTGCTTATACCCTAACGATGACCCCTATTGTTTTTTTACCCCCAGGGGCAGAGCCACGCCCATTTTCTTTTCTTTTTATGTCTGTGTGTCACCTACAGGCCACAATTCTTAATCAATCGTCTTGAAAATTTTTCATATGAATTGCTTATACCCTAAGTATGATCCCTATTGTTTTTGGTGCATGCCCGACCACCAGGGGTAGAGCCACGCCCATCCCTTATATTTATTTATTTGTTTGTCATCTACAGATCGCATTTCTTATCGTATCACCTTGAAACTTAGCATACATATTCCTTCTATCCTAAGGAACATCCCTATTAGTTGTGGTGAATACCCAACCCCCAGGGGCAGAGCTACGCCCATTTTCTTTTTTTATGTCTGTGTGTCACTTGCAGACCGCATTTCTTAATCGATCATCTTGAAATTTTTTTTAGACTTATTCCTTATAGCCTAAGGCTACGTTTTTACACTTATTCCTTAATCCTAAGGCTGGCCTCTATTATTATTTTTGGTGCATGCTCAACCCCTTGGGACAGAGTCACGCCTAATGTTTGTGTGTCTTGTGTTTTGCCTACAGGCCGCAATTCTTAACCGATCCTTTTGAAATGGGGATACCTATTCTAAACGTCATGCTTTTAGAATAAAGACATCGATTGTTTTAAAATAAAAATTGTGTTCTGTTAATGTGAACGAAACGTTAAACTGATAGCAGTCCTACAACCCAGTTTTATTTCACAGACCCTCAATGCAAACTGGACCATATCAAACAAAACAGGAATGTGGACGTATATTGCTGCGTTAGCGATGCTCTTGTTAGCATATTCTATTTAGGTTATCTATTTTTTAATTATTGTAGCGAGAACTGTCAACTCTTTATCTAATCTCCCATAATGCCCCTTTAATAGCTGATGCTAAATCCACAATTTAAAACCAATAAACCTGAAAGGTAAATAATCTCATGGCTTTAAAAGAAGCCCATCAAAATAGTTTACCCAATAGATATAGTTGGGACTGGATTGCTTATATTTTCAGCATAGAAAGCTGAATGTTGCAAAATTTTCAGTTCATCATATCTTTTTAAATACTGAACAAAATTGAACCATTTTTGGACTGATAATTTACTTTCGCAATATTGTGGTCTAAAAATTATAAAAAATCATCTACACAAAGTTTAAACATTCTACCTCAACTGTAAGCAAAGTTATGGATCAAAAGAGAGAGAGAAATGGGGTTTGACGTCCACTCGACATTAAGTCATTTTGGGACTAACATAATATGGTTTCAATTATTCGCTTGCGCATAGGGGTCTTTTAACAGTGGGAGAAACTGGAGGTCCCAAAGAAAGCCCAAGAAGTTAGACAGGCGACCCTACTCCTTGTCATGTAGGAATCAAAACCATGCCACTTGAATCAATGACAGACCTTCTGATCCAATGCGCACATGTTAAATATCAGGCCACCCACACCCCCTGTTTTTCAAAAGGTGTGACAGGGGACAATAATATTTACAAGCTCGGTTATTGTTAATATTCTTCAAATATTTTTTTCTTTTAACAGCAAAGCAATGCAATGGTTAGTCTAGTGGATATCGTTCCTACTGTACTTGAATGGTTTGGTCTACATTATCCAGATTACAAGTTAAATAAACAACTAGTTAAACTTACTGGAAAATCTTTACTACCTATTCTAAGTGAAGAGCCAGTCAGTGGCTGGGATCATGTATATGCTAGTCATGACCTCCACGAGGTCACTATGTATTATCCAATGAGAGTTCTTCGTAATAGACAATATAAACTTATTCATAATTTAAACTATAAAATGCCATTTCCAATTGATCAGGACTTTTATTTATCTCCAACATTTCAAGATATTCTTACACGGACTCGTCACAAGGAAAATCTGAATTGGACGAAATCTCTAAAAACATATTATTATAGACCTCAGTGGGAGCTATATGATATTGTAAATGATTCACAAGAACTAAAAAACCTGGCTTATAATAAGCAGTACCTTGATGTTATAAAATCATTAAGAATAGAACTAAATCAGTGGCAGAATGTGACTGCAGACCCATGGATCTGTGCTCCAACCGGAGTATTAGAAGCATCAGGTACATATAAAACACATCCATCCTGTTTACCGTTAGATAATGGTATGGATGAAGAAGATGATGAATTAGTTAATAGATACACAGTTCATATTAATTGATTTTCTAATATTCTTGAAGGTTTCTCTATAGTCTTAAATCCCAAGGGGGGGGGGGGGTAGATGGCCGAATGGTTAGCACGTGCACGCTGTATCATACGGTCTATCATTGAGTCAACTGGCGGGGTTTCGATTCCCCGGTTGTACGTGAAAAGGAGTAGGCTCGCCTGTCCAACCTTGTAGGTTTTCTCCGGGTCCTCCGGTTTCCTCCCACTGCTAAAGACCCCTACGCGTAAGCGAATTATTGAAATAAAATGCCATTTCCAATTGATCAGGACTTTTATTTATTCATCACATCATTGTAAATACTGAACAGATAATGTCCAGACAGGTATTAAGGTAGATTAAAAAGAGACAAATCAAAAGATGGCCCGTCTGTTAAGAAATTTTAAATTCATGGTATCCTTTGTAAATAGTGAATAGAATTGAACTATTGTTGGACTGATATTAAAAAGAAAGGAATAATTTATATTTTTATACATGCATGTAATTTTATTGTAAATAATTACATATAAATAAACATATAAATAAACATACAAAAAAATAAACAAAATATTGAACTACAAATAAATGATCGTTTTTGTATATAAAAATGAAATATCACATAAAGTTGTAGATATGAAATACAAGAATCTATCTACAGAATTGGGATTATTAAAGCAACGATGTGCCATTCACTTTTTTCACTATATTATCAAATTTCTCACAAGATTGATAATCTTCTGGCATGGTTTCAATTGGATTTAAACTTAACCCATCAGGTTTCTCCGCTACCTATGTTACGCTCGAGCAGCATATCTTTGTAAATACTCAACAGAATTGAGACATTTTTGGACCGATATTGTAGTTTTCAAGGGATTCTGATTGCGCTAAAATAAAGCAATGAAACTTTAATCCTTTATAGAAATATTTCTTATTGTCTATATACCCCGCCTCACAGGATTATTTTTGTAACCAATGAAAAAGAGCTGCCGTCCAAAACACATCTTGGGTTAAATCTTTTTAATTTTAAGTTTGTTGCTTGGGGATTACTACCGTAAGTTTTTCTTTGAGGATGATTTCCTTTTATCCCAAATTATATACTATTCAAAAAAAGTAGGGGATATTTGATTTTTAAGTGTTATTAAAGTCACCTAATGAAACTGACGAAGAAACAAATGACAAAATGAAATGAAGTTCACATTCATCGATTTATTCCAAATGATCGTTAGACTAAGTAAGGCACAGACTGACCATTATAAGGGTAAAATGATACCCGGGGTCAAACAGCAAAGTTACCACAGCATCACAACCAAGTCAGTAACGGGTAAATCCTCCTCTGTTTGCCAAAAAAGCATTGATCCGACGTGGCATACTCCTAATGAGACGTCTAAGGTCATTTTGGTCCAGATTGTCCCATTCCTGTTGCAACGCAGCAGCAAGTTCTTGGACATTGGCAGGACGTTGTTGACGTTGACGTAACCTCTGTCCAAGCATGTCCCAGACATGCTCGATGGGGGAGAGGTCGGGACTCAGTGCTGGCCAAGGTAATGTGGTGATGTTCTGTTGTTGGAGGTAACCTGTAACGATCCTGGCCCTGTGACATCTTGCGTTGTCATCCTGGAAGATGAAACGGCGGCCATGACGTCGTGCGAACGGCACAACATGGACTGCCAAGATGTTGTCCCGGTAGTACTGGCCTGTAACACGCCCTGCAACAACATGTAAAGCCGTTCTTTCAGCAACAGTGATGCCTCCCCACACCATAACAGAACCACCCCCAAATCGATCATGTCTGATGACGTTAACGTCTTGGAAGCGCTCGTTTCGACGACGCCACACCCTCTTACGTCTGTCCAAAAAATCAACAGTGAACCTTGACTCATCTGAAAACATCACATTGCTCAAGCGTCGATTATCCCAGTGTTGACGATCCCTACACCAACGACGTCTTGCCTGAATGTGATGATCTCTCAAACAAGGGATCACGCGAGGACGTCGGGCGCGAAGGTGACCCCTATGCAGTCGATTCCGAATCGTCTGGCCACTCACTCTCACACCAGTGTCTGTTTGAAGACGAGCGCTGATCTTATTTGCTGTGATGACACGATTTCTCAAGGCCAAGGTACGGATAAATCGATCCTGGGCTTGAGTTGTCGCCCTTGGTCGACCTGAGCGTGATCTGTCCTGTACAGATTGTGTATCACGGTATCTGGACCATAGCCTGCTTATGACAGACTGAGAAACATTCATCGTCCGCGCCACAACCGCCTGTGTTGTGCCGATCTGTAGCATGCCAAGGGCACGTAACCTTTCATTTTGGGTAAGCCGACGCATATCAAAATTTGTTTTCTGGTCACTAAAACAATTAAACTGATGTTTCCACCCGGGAATTCAATGCCACAATGACTGTAACATTCAAATTCAGAGTCGTGCAAATCTTGGGTTGGACCCCCATGACGATCCCAAGCATCACCTGCATTCCATGCGGTAGTTCTTGGTGCGTTTGGGCGTCAAATGTAACTGGAAATGTTTCTTCTGTTAGGTTCTATAGTGACTTTTTTCGTAGTCATTTGCATATTTTAGTATTATGCCCCCAAAATCAAATATCCCCTACTTTTTTTGAATAGTATATAAGCAAGGTCCAGTCTTGTCTTACTGTACCACAGACTATTTACTGTAAACATAAGGGCTGCTGAATAAATATGTCTCAGATTAAACTTTTTTCATGTCAAGTTTGATGCTATGGGATTTACTACCTTTACATAAGTATTAAATGACTGTGCTTGTGAAACGAGATCCTTGAGAACCTGTCTGTATTCAATACAATTCAAAATGGATGAAAAAGATAGAAGGCTATTGTGGACGGAATGTATTTGGAAGAAATCAATCATTTCTGCAAAGAGTTCCTTCCATTTGCATTTAAAGTATTTTAAAATTTCGAATGTATCTTAAGTATTTTAAAATTTCGAATGTATCTTAAGTATTTTAAAATTTCAAATGTTTCTACAGTATTCCTCTTTCTGATCAATAAATAAGAAGTTTTTTAAAAAAAATTAAATCATAAACATTTTGGTATGATAGATTTTAAAGGCAAAAGTAACATCTTTGGGTGATCACTGGGTATGTACATGTACAGAATGCAGAAAAAATTAAAAACACATCTGTATGTAGAATTTGGCTGTAGTTTGTATTTGATGTTACAACTCTGAAAAAAGCTAGTACAGCTGTGTTGAGACAATCCCACAGTGTATTAGAATATTAAAAAATGTACTGCACAGAACAAGTCTGATGATACACTAAGCAGATAGTGGATTTCTGTGAGAATGTTGGTTGACCCACAAAGTTTTACACACACATCCTCACAACATCACTGTTGGGTGCCATTCTGAACTCCATTCTAATAGTGTGGTCTCGATTTCTCATCTATGACCGTTTACATACATCATTTTGACCTCCACTTCACTATACATCTGTTTCAGCTGCCAATCATAATAAATGAAATAAATTCTATGCATGCACCATATATTGGGTAAGAGTTTGTTGGCTGTAGTTATTATTTACTAGGTGAAGAAAATGGTGTTTTAGAGACATAATTCATTATAGCTGATTGCAATAGATGGGCTCGTTGAGATTCTTCTTCTCTAGCTCGTGTTATCTCTAGATCTCTAGAACGTAACTTTTCACTTAATATAACTAATTCTCTATCTTTCTCTTCTATCATTGTACGATATTTTAATAATTGTTCTGAAATATACACAAATTTTATATAAATACAGAAAATACAGTCGATAATTTCAATATGTGTAGGAATATTTAGTTTAATCATATTCAAAATATTATTCATTTTGAAAACTCTTGGTTACCAATGTTAAAAAAAGAAAAATTTTCTGTTGAAGATAACTTGCTTATCATAAAACATAAATTAAATCAAATTCTAATAAAATTTTATCTGATCAATACTGTCAATATAAAACATTCAAATGTAAAGATAAAATATTTAAGTATTTCTATGACAAATATAAACATTAACTGATGTCACTTATGATTTGAAACATTTACCAGTTTTCAAGAAATCGAAATAAGTTCAGGACAGCAGCACTACAGCCTACTCTTATATCGAATTCCAACTGTCAAGGGATCTTTTACGTACATGCCAATGTGTACATTCCATTTCAGTAAATTATTTTTTTTTTTTACTCCAACAAGAGAACAAATCCAACACTAAAAGATTATCTCTGTATTTAGCATAAATTCCATCTTGACAATTTTGTTTAATCACCATACTGACATGTTAATACCTGATAATTGTTGATCTGTATGACTGAGTTTTTCACGTAATTCAGCTTGTATTTTACGCTCACTATCTAATTTCATCTCCATTTCTTTCTGTTCATGTCGTACTTTGCTTACTTCAGACATGGTAATGCTGCTCTTCTCTGCTAAGTCCTGTAATAATATATTTAATAATTATATTGAAACCAAATCAAACTGCTGCTCCCTTAACTGCCTCACAGATTTAGTCAATCATAGAGAAGTTTAAGGTTTGTTTCTCTCTGGGGAATCAAGTCAGCCATTAATCAGTCTGAATTTGGTTCCTAAGCTCCTCCCACAGTTACATATTAATGATCCTTGGTATATTTTCCACATCTTGACATCAAAAGTTCATTCAAAAGCAGTTGACTTGATGATTTACTGGGAACTATTTTTAGCGCGCAATGTGAGTGATTCAGCGATATGAGTGTAAAATAAGCGAAATTTCTGAAAATACGCCAGTTTGAGCCATCATCTTGATACTTTGTGAAGCAACCAGTGGAAGGACATCACGTGACATACAAAATGGCTGGCGCAATTTCTCAGAGAGAAACGAACCTTAAACTTCTCTCTGGGAGCCGAGATTGAGATTTAGTTTACAGTTGTTAATTACCATTAGTTCATATATTACAGCTTTTCACTTGACTAGGGCAGTTTGACTTGCTAGTGGGATGAATAGCTTCAGGTGGTTGCACCTGATCGACTCTATATACTAAAGGACCGAACAAGATGCCCCCTTGTTGAATTTTTGGTTGCTTCAAGAATAACAGATGCATTATATTAGATAGTGATCCAACTACATGTCTTATTATACACAATTGTTGGATTATCACCTATTATGGATTCCAATTATGTTTTATTTTACCATGTTCTGAAATAAATTTTTGAAGCCGGTGTTGGTGATCAGAAGAGATGATTGTCCAAATAAATTGTATCTAGTAGTATACTGGCAGGATTGTATTTTATATAGAATTAAAACAAAAGAACTGACCTGTCCTAATTCTTCTAATTGTCGTTTATATGTTTCATGTTCTAGTTGTAAATTACTATTTTTACGTTGTAATTCACTAACTAATGCTGCTTGTTGAGTACAATGTGTCTGTAATTCATCTTTACTTATCTGTAAAACTCGTATCTTCTCCTCTAACTGCATATGTCTTTGTTCCTAAAATAAATAACACAAAACAATGACCCCAGTTCCATAAATGTGCAGGGGCCGTGGTAGTCAAGTAGTGTGGCACTGGCCAATTAACTACATTGTGCAAAGATTCAAATCCAGGAAGAAATTATTCAATAGATAAATAAAATAGGATACATAAATAATTTGATGTCTCATTTGACTTACTCTATTGAAGAAGATGTAGTTGTTAATTTGGAAGATAACATAGACAGGCATTCAACTGTCAGTCTCATTTTTTCAACTACTTTTCCCTTTTAGGATCTCCATCCTGCACTGTTGTCATGGGGAAACTAAGCTTGAAAATTCTGAGGAAATTTCTTTGATAACATCAGGATTGAACCAGAGACCATCTGGTTAGTAAAGCCAGTATCTTACTCACTGAGGTTATGAAGGGTTTACTACATGCTATTTTAGCGAAGTGTGTCATTTGCAAGCAATGCCATGTGATATTTAGACTGGACAATGCCATAATTTTGAGAAAAATAATGAAATACCACCTGAGACATACTTTATTATATGACATTGAGAATTACTATAAGGGACAATAATGAACTAGAAAAACTGTTTTAGTTGCTTTCAAACATTATAGTAATTTTGAAAAATACCACTTGAGCTGCCCTTTTTTTATATTCTATGGAATTTTCTATAGGGTTAGGGGGCTGACATAGGCATTTTGTCTGTTCCCCAATCTCCCATTCATTTATAGTCAATAAAACATCTTTCAAAAAAACATTCTGAGAAACAATGTGAATCTATACAGAAAAAAAATATAATAAGCCTTCTACCTCCTCTGCCTTGATTCTTTGCTTAGATGATATTAACTGTTCTTCATTCATCATTTTATCATTCATATTAGTTGCTTTTAATCTACTAATCTCTTCTTCTAGTTCTAATCTATGTGTTTCCATTTTCTGTAATCTATCACGTAATGTTTTCTCTGTATCATCAGCTTCTTGTCTTATTCGATTAATCTATTAAATATATACAAAATATATATATAAATCAAAAAACAATTTATAATCATTTATATGAATACACTTTATTATTGTCAGTGTTGATAAATCAGTGTTGATATTTCAAATATCTAATCTTTCAAACCTATATAATCTTACCTCTTTTTGTTTGTATGTTTCTAAATCATGAAGTGCATCTTTTTGGCGTGTTTTTTCTTGTTGGATTCTCTCTGAAAATAAAATATACAAGATTCATTTAATCAACAATATTCTTCGTCCAAACAATTAGTCAACTGGATGAAAAAATTATTAAATCCAAAAAATTCTAATTTGCAAAAGGCACCGATTTTATAATAGAGAAACAGAGACATCCACCGTAAACAAAACCAGGATGGAGGTAGCCCATGTAAGAGGAACATAGCAAACACATTTGGTCAAATTAATTGAAGCATTTAGTCAAATGCATTCACGGATTTGGTTAATTTATGCAGATGGTGAAACGATGGATGTGTGCTCATTGGACCAGGACCTGGGCTGCAAGCGCTACTCATCTTCTTGCTCTTGTGGGCGATGCTCAATGAAAAAAGTCTAAGACTCTGCCAATTCATGTGCCATCGACGTGAAACTTGGCATGCGTGTTCCTTAGACAATTGTGCATCAAATGACAGACTTCGATTTTTGATATGTCAAGTACAAGATGACTGTGATGATGTCATACTCAATTCTCAGTCCATACTATGCTCATACTTGTTACATCATATTTACATAATAGCACATGGTAAATCAACAAGTATAGTTTCCAGTCGTACCATCATAATGTGATCCTTTCATTGTTAGTTCAGCCTGTAGATGGGTTATCTGTTCCTTATATTCATATAACTGTTCTTGATTTTGTTTTAATTTTCTATCTAAATCTTCTACCTTTTATTAAAATATTAAATATGTTAAACACAATTATAATCACAAACTAGTGATCACAAATTAATTTCAAATAAAACCATGTTCTTTTCTAAAAAATAAAAGTACCCGGAATGGGTGGGAAAATCCAAGGCACGTACAGTGCAGGCTAGGCTTGTAAATTTGTGTTTTCTTGATGTTTTTCTCAAATAAAATAAAATCATTCATATCAGATAAATTTATCTTAAAAAATACAAAACCTTAAAAGAAAGGAATGAGTTTAATACAATATTTCCTTTATTGTACAACTAACATGTTTTTAAAATTTAAATGAGCAATGATAGGGACAAGAATTCTGCATAGACAGCATCTTCAATAGAAGGCTTGACCTCGCTTTAACTACGTACATCTTATCAAGGCCTTCACGTAATACCCTGCATATTTCAGCACTAATTTCGATTGGGTACAAGCCCAACTTGTGAGCCTATCAGATTCCTCGATCCTCGCGAATACCAAGTCTCGCGCTTTCAAGCTAAAATGTGTACCTGTGATAATCGAGTTGCAAATTTCAAGGTTCATTCAATGTTAAGGTTTCCGTGGAGGTCGCGATGTCACAACCTCTGATTGGACGCTACTGCTCACGTGTCTGTAGATAACATAACTATAAGTTCGGGAATTGTGAAGTAAACAAGCAACGGCCAGATGTTGTGAAACTCGCAGTCGTTGCTTCAGGAACATGCATGACAGCTGGTTTCTGTCTATTCTTATTCAACTTCAACTGCCACATGCTCATTTAGATGCAAGCCAATGTGAACATAGATGGTTTTTAGTCTATCTGAATTAGCGAACCGTTTGTGCTACCCTGGCCAGTGGCAACTATACTTGAAAAAATCCTGAATAATATTTTTCTTAATGGACACCAAGATTAAAACTTATGAATAGATACAGTACCTTTGTTTGAAGCTGAATATTTCTATCATTAGATTCTGATAATTCCTTCAATAACTTCATCTCTTCATTAGCTCTGTCCTGTCATAAATCATATAATAATTTTACTTAACTCTAGAGTACTTCATTCTATTAAGAATTTAGAAACATTTAAGAATTCATATTTTGCATTTAAAGCCACTGATGGTCAGTTTTCAGGCAATATCTGATATTTCACACTTTAATCCACGCTAAAATGTAATCAAACTGATTATTTAACAAGTTGTATTTAAGAAAACAAAACCAAAATATCGACGGTAGGTAATCTGTTGGCTTGAATTCAAATCGATTAAAAAAGGCCCATCAAATGACTTTACCCAGCACGAATAGGAGACGTTAGCTTGTTTATATCATCTGCAGAGGATGTCAAATATAAAATTTTCAATTCATCATATCTTTGTAAATACTAAATGGAATCTATCTGTCTTTGGACTGATATTCCTTAGAGATTCAACTTTCACAATATTGTAATTTGCAAGAGATTCCCTCAAATGAAAATCAAATAAGTTTGTTTTGGATATTCAATCCAGATGTAAATCAAAAAGAGAGAGAGAGAGAGAGAGAGATTAGAGAGAGAAAGAGAGAGAGAGAGATGGGGTTTAACATCCACTCGACACAAACTAGGTCTTTTTGGGACTAACACATGGATTAATTTTATTTCAATAATTCGATTGCGAGTAGAGGTCTTTAGCAGTGGGAGGAAACCGCAGGACCCAGAGAAAACCCACGAGGTTGGACAGGCAACCCTACACCTTGTAGCACCAGTTGACTCAATGACAGACTGTATGATACAGCGTGCACGTGCTAACCATTCGGCTATCCAACCCCCCAGATGTAAATCAAATCACCTCTTTCTCATGTCTCAAATCAGCATGATGTGATGCTGTCATCTCAGACATGTCTTGTTTTAAACGATTTATAATACTGTTACAATCATGGTTCTTTTGTTCAGCAAGGGTTAATTCAGATTCTGTCATGGCCAGTCTAAAAGATAATAAAACCAAACAATAATGATGAATATTTTACTATATCAGGTATTATATAATTCTCTGTAAAATTTATATAAAATTTATGAGATATACATGTATTTAAATATAAAGTTAATGAAATTTTAATTATTATTTTTTTTAGATCATGCAATTTTATATTTTTTAAAAAGTATGTCAGTTTACCAAATTAAAGGAATACAAACGGCTACTTACTTTGCAGCTAATGCATTAAAAGATTTTTTTCTGTCTTCAAGTGCATTTTGTAAATTACCCACTTGATGTGCTGAAACTCTATTAAAATAAAGTAACAATAGGACAATTATTGCCACTTCTATAATAAGTAGAAGTTTGATTCAATTTTAACTTGTTTATTTAAGCCGTTAAGTGGCAGCAAAGCAGTTTCAGAAGCAGAAATGTAAGAATTGTGTTATAAAACACAATGTACACAATGGCAGATTAGGCTTTAAACTCAGTCAGCCCATTCTTTTTCAGCAGTATATTTTAACCAGCCCCACAGCACTTTTTTTCCAGTCATCCAAGCATGTCGTGAAAGTCTGCCCCTAAGTGTACAAAACAATGTAAGAATATAAAGAGCGGATTTAAATCCTGAAAATTAACTAATTATACCTTTTTGTACTCTTCATAATATTTTCTTGTTTATCAATTGTATTCATCAACTCATTCAGCTAAAAATACAAAATATTAATAATTAAACACTTGCGTAACTCAAATCTGTTAAAATAATTACTACACCTATACATTCTTAGGCAATATAAAATGGCTTTAAATTAGATGTATATCACCAAACTTCAGTTTGATTAATAATTACTACAGTGGGTGTATATAATGATGAATAATTTAATATCTGAATAAAACCGATACTAGGTACCTGTAACGACTTTTCTTTGTCTAAATGTTGAACATGTTTACTAAGTGTTGTAGTTCGTTTCTGGAAGTCATCAACAATTAATTGACGATCAGCATTATTTGAAACTGAGGTCTCTAGAAAATAAAAAGAAAAGAGATTTCATTTTTATCGTTTTCACAACAGTATATCATTTCGAATATTAAAACTAATTAATAATAATAACTGAAAATTGGTATTTAACCAAAATGAGCGAACCATGTGCGGATGTATTTCAAATGTTCATGTTCCTTGAGAATGTGAGGAAGGGGCGTAATTAAACTAGTACATGTACATTTTCAGATTTTGAGCAGTCCATTATGGGAGAAAATTTCAGTTCCAAATTTAATAAAATTGTTGAGGTATTTGATAAACTCTTACCAATAGCTTTTAGAATATCTGAAGGGATATTGTTTCCCGCTAGTTCTAATCGTGACAGTGTTTTATTAGATCGTAACATCTCTAATATAGCTCTACCACCTATTAAACCAATGTTGTTCCAACGTAGATCTAAATAAAACAAACAAATAAATACAGACCATAAATAATAATAATGTTTGATATATAGAAACTTTTGAAATAATCTTTTTCAATTTCAATACTAATAGTTACACCTGAGTATTGCTGGAGAACTGGATTTTTTTAGCTATATTCAGGGACCCAAAATGGCACAGTGAGTATGGTACTGGCTCACTAACCAGGAGGTACCGGCTTCAATATCGTTGTTAGTCTTGAATATTCCTCAGGATTTTCCAAGCTGGTTTCCCCTTGTCTGTAGTGAAAGACCGAGGATCTGGCAAGGACAATCTTGTAGTCGTTTGAGTGGTAAAAAATAAAATGTCCACCCATGTACTTTTGGCAGCATGTAAAAAAAACCCTTGAAAGTGTAGGCAGTGTCTGTGAAAAAGCTTCCTCGAAGCACACTGCAAGGCATATGATTGTCTTCAATTGCTCAGTGCAGAAAAGTAAGATGTTAAACCCCATTTCATTTCAATTTAAACTCAATTCATATACATTACCCGGTAGCTGATAATCAATGTCAAAATAAAAATCAAATAACGGAATTACCTAATGCTCGGAGAGTTGTGTTTCTCTTCAATGATGCGGCTAGTTCGGCAGCTCCATCATGATTGATTTGGTTGTTACGTAGATCTAGAGCTTTTAAACAAGTATTAGATCCTACTCCATCACTAAATACAGCAAAAGAATTGTCTAACATACCCAACGCATTCCACTCTAAACACAAACTGTAAATAAACAATATTATTTTTGATATATCTAGTGAAGTGATTAAGTAAAAAAGCTTAATTTTAGCTGTAATAGAATAAGTTAAAAAGTGAAGATTTAACTTCATAACATGAATGTCAACTGAAACCTTATTGTCTTTGTTAGAAGAGATACTCTTATCACTAGAGATTTAAAAACAAAAGAAAATATCTGAAAATTGATCAGTTTTACTGTTTGCAGCACACAAGCTCCTAAAATATAGAATGTTATATTTTCCACTGACCTGTATAGACTATTGTTGTGGCGTAGCATTTTACCTAATGTTTCTACTGAAGTTCCCCGAATATTATTACCCTGTGAAAAAAAAAAGAAATGATAGATATCTATCATTTGATGAAATTTCCAAACAAAATTAAAAGCAAATTATAACATCAAATATTTTCCTCAAAATTAAAGTCAGGTTACAGACAGAAACGATGTCAGTAATTATTAAATCATTTATAAATTGCACACTGAAAATATTTATCATATACATGTCCCAGTACACATTGGCCTAGGTTTGATTTCGGTGTTGGTCGAGAAAGTTCTGTAGGGTTTTCCAGCATGGTTTCCCCTCGTCAGGTCCAGACCAGGAAAATCTATTGGTTGCGGATGGATTGTAAACAGTTGGAAATTGAAATAGCACCCCTGCCAAGGCAAAATTAACCTCATAGCACAATGCATGACATCTGCCTGGTTGGTGCAAGAAAGTAATTATAAGATGTTAAACCCCATTTCGGTTTATATTATTATTAGTAAAATATGCATTTTCTTTATTTAGCTTACCTTCAAGTCTAATTTTCTACAATATGTATTATGTGTAAAACCTTGTGCTAATCCCTTAACAGCTGAAATTAAAATACCAGTAAGTATAAAATTAAAATAAATCAAACATAATAGAGCAACAATAAAGTTTTAATTTGGAGTTAAAGGAACAATGCCAGAATAAAAATCAAATAGTTTAAGAACATACACAATCAAAATTACTCTTACCTAATGTAGTAATAACATATTTGTCAAAACTATCAGTTCTAAATTAATAGTGATTATACACTACATTTCCTCTAATAAGCCCATGACCCACAGCCAAATTATTGTATACATTGTTAAAAAAAAAACAAAAAAAAACATTATTACATACCATCTTCACTCAACATGCAATCAGCAAATTTATATTCTAAGAAATTTCTGTCAGTAGCAAGAACCTTTCCTAAAACCGAGCAAGTCTGTGGCGATAGACCCATTGTTGATAAATCTAGGATGGTTTTCCCTTTTCCTGGTGTTTTCTCTGCACTGAAGAAAAATTTAAAAGTTTACTGGTAAGCTTGTCGGTAATATGGCACAAAGACAAAGTTCACCACACAACTTATACATATTAGACTATGGTAAGTCAATCTGATGTATCAATTACCTAGATCAGTATGGTAGTTCCTATTAACAAGCAATTTATGAAATTAACGAAAATAACCATCTACCCCCACTTCAGTTCTACACCGTAATTCATCTTTGTTCATCAAAAGGAATCATTTCTCCCCACATCTGACATAAAGTTATAATAATCTAACTCTATTTTCAAGTGGAATTTTGTGATTCAAAAACATAAACAAAATACATTTGAATTAGTCCTCCATTATGTGACTTGTAAAATTGTACTTGAATTATTATAAATTTATGTCAGATGTGGTGAGAAATGAATTAGCGAACAAACAGAAGACATGATCAAAACATAAACAAAATACATTTGAATTAGTCCTACATTATGTGACTTGTAAAATTGTACTTGAATTATTATAAATTTATGTCAGATGTGGTGAGAAATGAATTAGCGAACAAACAGAAGACATGATCCATTCCAGAGACTGTTCCGAAAGGTACTACACGTATGGTTGCTTGTTTGAAATGCTATGCAGGTCTTTCTAATCAAATAAGTTTAGACAGTGGCTTACAGTAATTTTTAAATCAATACCTCTTAACACATACTTACCATTTTAATTTATCTATCACACAATCTTGAATTTCTAAATGATGATCTTTACAAAGATGGACATACGTTTGTCTAAACTCCTCCATAGTTCTATGTCTTTAAATTAATAACTGAAGAGAAAAAAAGTACAAGGTTTCTGAGTCCCATAATAAAAAATTAAAATACTGTGCGCTACTGTTTTTTATATTTCCAGATCCAATTTCAGCACAATGATTCATTGTGAATAATAGATTAGGTCTAACAAGAATCTTGAGAATAGCAGGATCTCATGACTAACATGTGTTGATGCTATTAATTATTTATATTTAATTACAATCTATCTGGCATCGGTATACCTTTTTCTTCAATGGCAAAGATATTTTTCTAATGACTACAGTCATAGTACTATACTCATTGTTTTGCACTCTTACACTATACGTACTCTTCAAATAAAATATGTTAAATAAAGAACAATGATATGATCTGAATAACAAGTAAACTTCAGTGCCAGTAGCCTACCTGCTACCGCACCGTACGGCATTTATATATTTATATTCAAATTCAACAACTTTGTAATTTGTAAACGAAAAGCATGTTATCTATCTAAAATGCAGTTATCAGTTGTACTTTGTGGAATATGCAGAAACTGCCCATGACTTTGCACAGATATTTCTACTGATGAAAATTAACGAAAACTGAATTTGAAATGTGTCAAAACTTGTTTACACAACTGCCGGCAAAATTGAGACTCCAATTGATCAGATAAACTTGTGCATAGGTTAAAATTTACATGTGTGACTTTAGATATAAGATTGGAAATGACTTGACAACTCTGTCACCCCCAATATTTACCTCGGGTGCTCAAGAACACCGACAATTCATCTGAATTAAACAGTTTACAAAAAAAATTGACAGATGGAAGCCATTACAGTTGTCTTGAACATCAAGACTTAAATGAACATTTGCGACGCACGTGTATAAATCAAATGTTTATGTTTGACATATCTCGTAAGATAGATCATATGTGTCCTTGTCGTGTGTTTAATTCGAAGGCTTTGATAATTAAATGACCACAAAACCATGAAACTGAATATACAGAAAATTAAGATGCGTTTAGGTAATCAAGACTATTACTTTCGTAAATTTCTGGTATAAGGGACATTACTCTATTTCCATAAAATAGAACAGTCGTTTGGTGGTTTCAGACCACAACTGTTGTTTCGCGGACTGATTTTTGTGCTAATAAAGTTGGAAAAAAAAAGAGAGAAGGGCCAGGGTGATATATTTATTTTCATTAAAGTGGTTTTTTTAATACTCATAGACCTATTTAAATTTCATCAGATTGATGATATATATTTCTATGTTATATAAATTATATCTTTATTTCACATTAAAACCTTCCCCTAATCGCCCAAAACTTTGGCTAATCAATTAGATATCGATTCACATAAAATACTAAATAAAATTAAAGAAATTCAAAACATTTTTGCAGTGTTCAATTTCTTTTCTATTTTTGAAAAGGAAATACTTTAGATCTAATTACTTCAGAAAGAGTTCGGAATATATTCTCCGTAAAAATTTATCAATTGATTACAGTCAAATTATTATTGTAATATTGAGAGAGGGAGCGAGAGAGAGAGAGAGAGAGAGAGAGAGAGGGAGAGGGGGGGGGGTAACTTCCACTCGACAAACTAGGTCATTTCGGGACTAACGTATGGTTGGTTCAATTCTATTTCAATAGTTCGCTTGCGCGTAGGGGTCTTTATAAGTGGGAGGAAACCGGAGGACCAGGAGAAAACCCACGAGATTGGACAGGCGACCCTGCTCCTTCAACCGAGGAATCGAAACCACGCCAGTTGACTCAATGACAGACCTTATGATACAACGCGCACACGATAACCATTCGGCCATCCAACTCCCCCAATATTATTTAGAACTATAATTAAACAATTCTCTTTTGGTGTCAATAAAATACCCCCCCCCCCCCCATAGCGCTCTGCATGCCCGTCTTCATTAGCACAGTCAGTGCAGAAAAGTACGTGGGACGTTAAACCCCATTTCATTTATTTTGGGGTCACAGTATAAGCCGTAACTCATTTTTCAGCAAAGGTCAGTATGTGTATTTGCAATGACCTAAATAGAATTGTAGTATCTACAGACTTGTCAAATATGGCAGCTTCTATCCCGATCTATACAGTTGATGCTTTCACGGATGTTCCATTTGAAGGGAATCCGGCAGCAGTCTGTCCGCTGATGTGTAATTCTGTAAGTATTTGAATTAGATATAATACTGCATCAAACAGCGATGCAAATACTGTAGTAATTTTGATATATAACAAGCCATCACACAACCTCTTGAATTATAAGTATAACCTTACAGCAAGTGTGAGTGTGTATGTTTCGTGGGTCTATAGAGGTGCTAGAGACCAACACGCGTTCCTAAAGTATACACTGGCGTCTAAGGAAAACTATACCAAGAAAAGGTTACTAGTATTAAACCCCTTTATAATTTTTTTTTGATAATGCAACTATAATGTTGGTAAAATATGTCACATAAATACAATGAAATGAAATGAAATGAAATGATGGGGTTTAACGTCCTACTGTTCTGCTGCGAACTGGACTAATGAAGACGGGCATACGCCATACAGTGTGCTGTGAGGTAAATTTTGCCTGGACAGCGGCACTGCGGCCTATTCTTACATCGAATTCCAACTGTCAAGGGATCTTTTCCGTGCATGCCAATGTGTACACGGGACCTCGGTTTTCCGTCCCACCCGAACGACTAGACAGCTGTACTTGTCAGACCCTCCGTCCTGCATCACTGACAAGGGGAAACCACGCCGGAAAATCTGGATGAACTTTCTTGGCCAATGCTGGGATCGAACACCCGACCTTCAGGCTAGCGACTCTGCGTCTTACCCACTTAGCCACCGTGACCCCTCACCTAAATACAAACATAATACAGAGTTGTTCTTATATAGCGTCTTTTGGACGTCAAAAAATGAAATTACCCTGTGGTTTAATAATTAATGAATTATAGCCGTCAGGGTTGTAGGAGTAATATCATTTTAGGTTCCATCAAACCAGTATAAAATTAAGTCGCGGGTCCAGAAACATTGGGATTTTTGAAAGATTTTTTTCGATTTTTCCGCACTTACAATTAGACATCACATAACAATGATCTAGAAAATGTCAAAGGAGCGGCTCAAATAAAATTTAAATCCAAGAAATATTATAGACCAAACATGAATGCGATCAACTATGGCCGATTAAACTCATACGATTTGACTCCATCGGACTAGACAATAAGAATTACACTAAAATAGAATGTTTTCAAGGCTTTGCTGAAACGGAAAATAATCGATGTTCAACTCTGACCTCTATGACATGTGAAAAGACAGCAGTGGCGACATATACGCCCATACAAAATCTGGGAGTATAAAAAGCAAATTACAATTGCTTTATCATTTTATCAATATATATATATATTATTTTTTTTACATTTTAGGAAATATCTGATCATATTCTCCAGAAAATTGCTATAGAAATGAATCTTTCAGAAACAGCTTTTCCAAAACTTTTATCAGCAGATGATTCATTTGAAAAAAGTAGGTACACCCACAAATTTGATGAAACTATTCTATTGGCCTTCTTAGATTTATTGTAAACTTTTTTCTAATATTGGATATAATTTCATTTTGAAACCTCTATTTTGTCAACAAAACCCCCATAAAACTCCATTAAATAAAATTCACAATAAAGTTTAAAATTGAAAGAAATCATCTTTTTAGGTACCACGTTTGGGTTGAGATGGTTTACTCCGAAGGAAGAAATCAAACTCTGTGGACACGCAACCCTGGCGACAGCAGCTATTTTATTTGATAAATTTGGTAAGTTTTTATACAGATTATATTTCTATGTCATCAATTGTTGACTGTCTACAGTGGTTGATTGTACAGATGTAATAAAACCCTAAGTCGCAATACACTTCGGTTTTGTAAAGCACGTGGTTGATTCTAGGCATGGTGGATTAAGGGACAGACGAGGACTTACCCAAGAAAATTTTGAAAATTACATCTACACCCATGTTTGTTTTTCTCAAATACCTCGACCGCAATAGAATATACAGACACCGAATCCGGTGCGTAGCACGTACATCCGACAAGCAGGGCCCATCGCACGTACATTCGACAGGCCCATCGGAAGAAAACTTATATATAATTACATCGTTGTAGATGATATTTAGGCGCATTTCCTATCGAGAGAAACATAAACCAATGGTTTCGTTTCCAAGATCTGACGACTGATACGGAATTTCAAGACCGATGATTTCGTTACCTATAGATATGACATCGCATTTTCGCAAGCTGCACAAACATTCAATTCGGTGCGTTCAAGCAAGAGAAGAAACTCCCACTGGCCTGTATGTATTGATGACCGATATATATAGTGGCGCATGGCTCATAACTAATTTTTATACGCCCACATTGAAATGTGGTCGTATATTGTCGTCGCCCCCGTCCGTCCGTCCGTCGGTCCGGCGTCCACAATTGCTTGTGGACGCTCTAGAGGCTCAAGTTAATATCTGATTGACTTTAAATTTATACACAGTGTTTAAGGTCTTGAGACGAAGAAGCCTATTGATTTTCAGCGATTTCCGATAATTACTACTGCCAGAGTTATGGCCCTTGATCACTTTGAAAAATCTTGTGGACGCTCTAGAGGCCAAAGTTAATATCCAATTGACCGTAAATTTATACACAGTGTTTAAGGCCATGAGACGAAGAAGTCTATTGATTTTCAGCGATTTCCGATAATTACTGCCAGAGTTATGGCCCTTGATCACTTCAAAACATCGTGTGGACGCTCTAAAGACCAAAGTTAATATCCGATTGACTTTAAATTTATACACAGTGTTTAAGGTCATGAGACGAAGAAGCCTATTGATTTTCAGCGATTTCCGATAATTACTGCCAGAGTTATGACCCTTGATCACTTCAAAAAATCTTGTGGATGCTCTAAAGGCCAAAATTAATATCCGATTGACTTTAAATTTATACACAATGTTTAAGGTCATGTGACGAAGAAACCTATTGATTTTCAACAATTTCTGATAATTACTGCCAGAGTTATGGCCCTTGATCACTCCAAAAAATTTTGTGGATGCTCTAGAGGCTAAAGTTAATATCCGATTGACATTAAATTTATACACAGCGATTAAGGTCATAAGATGATGAAGCCTGTTGGTTTTCAGCAATTTCTGATAAATACTGCTAGAGTTATGGCCCTTGATCACTTCAAAAAATCTTGTGGATGCTCTAGAAGCCAAAGTTAATATTCGATTGACTTTAAATTTATACACAATGTTTATGGTCATGAGACGAAGAAGCCTATTGATTTTCAGCGATTTTCAATATTTGCTGCCAGAGTTATGGCCCTTGATCACTTTGAAAAATCTTGTGGACGCTCTAGAGGCCAAAGTTGATATCCGATTGACTTTCAATTTATACACAGTGTTTAAGGTCATGAGACGAAGAATCCTATTGATTTTCAGCGATTTCCGATAATTACTGCCAGAGTTATGGCCCTTGATCACTTCAAAACATCTTGTGGATGCTCTAGAGTCTATCCGATGAGTTTAAATTTATACACAGTGTTTGAGGTCATGAGATGAAGATTCCTATTGATTTTCAATGATTTCCGATAATTACTGCCAAAGTTATGGCCCTTAATCACTTTGCAAAATCTTGTGACGCTCTAGAGGCTAAAGTTATCATCCGATTGACTTCAGATTGATACACAGAGTTTAAGATCAAGTATATTGATTTTGAATGAATTTTTATGACTTGAACAGCTAAATACATGATATTAAAAGCTTTGCATACAAAACGTTAGCATGGGGTAGAACTTTATAAAAACCAAACAAATTCTAATAGTTTTCTGATAATTACTTCGTGAGTTGTTGCTCTTAATCAGATTTTAGTGTATTATAAATGTTTCATTACCGAAAAAAGTAAAAATATGCGACAACCCTTGTTGACTGCCCGGACGATTTAGCTGCTGTGGGCGTATGTTTCGTTGCCTGGCAACCTATCTTACTTAGTATTGGACACAGGGGCCCTTGAACTGAAGTCGGATAATTTTCCGATATCATTTTCACTACCCAGCGCCCTTTTCGTGGAATTGAGGATCTTTCCACTGGGGGTCAAGGTCCCTGTCTTACTAGGTTTCTTTCGGGATTGGTAGTATTCTTTCCGTTCATATTTGGATATTTTCAATATTTCTGAAGTCGGAGACAGGCGCTTCCGCTACTGATTCTATGATCTGTGATTCTATTTTTAAGGTAACTCGTCCGGTTCGATAACATTTCAGACTTTAAGTGGGGATTTAATAGTAAGAAAAGAAGGAGATTTGTTTCGCATGGATTTCCCAACAGGATACACAGAAACACAGGTTATAATTAGACCTAATTTAAAACACAAATTGAAATGAAAAAATACAGCACAAAGTATTTGAAAGTCGCTTCTCAAGTTTCCTCAAAGAGTTCAAATTAATAGAAAATGTAATGAAATGGGGTTTAACGTCCTACTGTTCTGCTCCGACTGGGCTAATGAAGACGGGCATACGCCACGCAGTGTGCTATAAGGGCAATTTTGTCCGGACAGTGGCGCTCCGACCACTCTTATATCGAATTCCATCTGCCAAGGGATCTTTTACACGCACCCCAATGTGTACACGGAAACTTGGTTTTTCATCCCATCCGAAGGACAAGACAGCTGCCCTTGTCAGGCCCTCCGCCCTGTACCACTGACAAGGGGAAACCACTCCTGAAAATCCCGATGAACCATAATTGGCCAACAGTGCCACCGGGAGCGAACCCACGACCTCCAGGCTATCGAGTCAGCATCTTAATCACTTAGCCACCGTGGCTACTCAAATTAAAAGAGGTACAAGCTTTTTTTCTCAGCTTACAAGATTATCAAAACCGGCGATTTTAAATGGCTTTTAGTGGAACTCCTATCAGATTAAAATACAGATGTGACGTCACCTTTTGATGTTGGCGTACCATTATTTCAAATAATCGTACGGGCAACTTGCCAATCGTACCTTGTCAAATATTAGACTCGAGTGACGTATTTCACTGTAAACGCACGTGCGGAGTGTCTGTATTTTAAGATGTTTAATGGTCTCGAGCTGAGACATTGCGTAATATATTGTAAAAACACTCGGACCTGACGGTCCTCTTGTTGTTACATAATATTACTTAATGTCTCGCTCTCGACCATTAAACAATACTTAGTGCATAAAAAGTTTCTTTTGTGTGGAACGTTAACTCTATCCATACAAAACTCGTCATTGTTTGTTTTTTTCTTTTCGCAGGAGCCAAGTGACTATAACGAACTAATAACGGTAAAAAAAATATCCAATTTTATATGATTTAGTCATAACTCTCTATTAACAGATTAATGTTTTATAGACAATTTTTTTTGGTCAAAGCTTGAATGTATAACGGGGTTTCGTGCAGTCCTAACGAAGACCCAGATTGGTCAGCTAGTTAAGGAGTAACTTTATCAAAATTCTTTTGAAACCTACAGGCCATGAGTTTACACGATAGGTTGTGGCTTGCCATGCGGCCCATGCCCCGCGTCCTGCACCACTGACAAGGGGGGAAACACGTCAGATAATCACAATGAACCTTTGGGTTAACACACGGGTCGAGTACAGGGCCTCGAGGTTAGCGAGCCAACGTCTTACTCACTGAGTCACCGCGGCTTCCTGTGATAAATGTGTTTCATAAGACGATGTGGGCTTCACGCTGCTATTTATGTATATTTTTAAAACGTACTTATCTTATTGTATTGAGTGTGAGACACTTAAATAAACAATTACTTAAATTGTTTAAGTGGCATTTAATAACTGAATGAAAATAACACGTGTACTATGGTTGTCATTCTTTGCTTGATAAAGACGACAGGACACCAGTCGAAACTTTGAAGTAACGCATATAATTGTGGCATGTGTTATACCGTTATACTTACTTGCTTGTTAAATATTTTAGTCTCTTGGTGATATTACTGGGGTAGAAGATGTGGTATATTGTTCGTCTTTACGATATTTATTAGTTCGTCTAAAAGATGGTTGGACAAGGTAAATCTAAATCTGTATTATTTCTTATTATCCTGATGGAACAATATTCTCATTCAGTCGAAGAGACTAGTAGAAAATATAATGGGTATTATCTAAATATATCAAAGGTATTAAAAGATCTATTCGTATTCGAAATTTATATCTGTATATATACTAGAAAATAAATAGAATATATTATAATCTTACGGTCTATTCATTTTCGTTCGTGTTCGTTCGACTGAATGTATACATAACATCACTGTAATAAAATATACGAAAAGGCTAACTGCACAAATCCCCAATTATATTATCTCTGCTTTTTTTCAAAACAGAAAGCAATTTGAAGAATGGCAGTTACAAATGGGTGACTTACACAAGTCAACTGATACGCTCGTTGTTTTGATAGTTACCATGAAGGGATCCCCTGAACAAGGATTTTTGGATAAAATAGGAAATCATTATGATTTCGTTTCTCGGTGCTTTGCGCCGTGGATGAAAGTACCGGAGGATCCTGTCACTGGTAAGTATATTATATATATACATTAAAAGATATATGTTGTTTTTTTTTTTGCCATAATTTACTGGACAATATGTACAAACGCATCGTAATGTTTCTACATATAGCGATCATCACAATTCGTGATATATAGGGGAAATATTGTATACCTGAAAAATGGATTTTACCAGTTTAGGATATTCATTATGATCTTTTGCACAACTTGTCCTCTTACTTTATAATATGAAAATACAATAGATGTATATATGAGCATATTACTTTACGTCTTACTTTTTGGCACCAACCGGGAAACTTTACCCAAACGGTGGCGCTAAGGTCTACTCTTATTTTGATTTGAAACGGTCAAGGAATTCAGGTAGATGCACTGAGCTAAGATAAGGATTTCTAAGTTGTATTTACTAAAATATTTATGGGCAGCTCCATTAAACCTGTCATTAGGTACCAAACATTATATTTTTAAAATTTGACCATTTAAATGGACATGAGGACATTGGAGACCTTGGCCGGCCGGTAAAAAATAATTTTAAAAATGGGACAAATCTGCCGAGATAAATATACAAACGTTTTAACATTTCTTACGCGTCGCACACGTGCTAGCATATTGTAGTTTTTAAATGCCCCCTTCCTCCTTCCCTCGTGGCAATAAAGAATACGTCACGTGTGAAAAGAAACTGACATTCTGGAAAGGTGAATTCTGCAGGGTAGGTTTGTATATCAGTGCAAATTCAATACGCCTATCTGATTCTTTTCTAGGTTCTGCACAAACAGTTCTGGCTCATTATTGGTCAAAGGTGCTAAGTAAAACTAAGTTTTATGGTAGGTAATAATCTATATACCTTTAAAGTACTTTTATTATACTGTTTGTACTTGACATTCAAAACTAAAATTCATTGTTTCTAATGTGGCATCTCTAAAGATACATTTATATTGCTAGCTTTGAATACATTTAAACGAATTAATATTTTCTTAATGAATAAATAATAATTCCACCCAGTCTGTGCTAATTGTTAACGAAATATATAATTTATGTTTCAGTACGCCAGTGTTCAGAAAGAGGAGGCGATATTCAGATAATTTTGAAAGATGACCGAGTTGATATTCTCGGGAAAGCTAGAATTGTCACGGAAGGAACATTTATGTTTTAGACATTTTTAAGGGTTGGAGTAAAAGCCCCCCCCCCCCCACCCCCATCTAATTAGGTTGGGTGGCAGGTGAAAAGGGAAGTGTTTTAATAATTTAAAAGCCATTGTGCGCACACTGTTCCGCATTATACCTTTATATAAGTATATATCCAGATAGTTTGTGATCCATTATAAAGTTTGTTATTACTGGATATAATAAACACAGCACAATATTTCCATATAAATTGTGTTGTGTTTTTTAATGTTCTCAATCGCTAATTGCCACTCAATGATTATATTATTGGATATGTTTAATTACGTGTATGTAACTGCTATTGCTTCGTGATTATATTCACATTCTCTGTCGTTTTTTTAATAAAGAAGTTTTCAATGGTATTAAATGTTTATTTATTTAAATAGAACTAATGTATATACTAACTTAGAATATTTATCAAGTTGGCCGTGTGTTTATGTTGCTGACTCTCTAACCAAGAAGTCGTGTGTTCGATGCCGGTTTGGGCCAAAAAAGTTTAGAGATACAGTACCAAGAGTCTGACAAGGAAAAAGACTCCGGTCCTTTGGATGGGACGGAAACCCTAAGATAGATCCGTGTATTTATTCCATACACTCAAATTATTATCGTAAATATTATTTATAACCATACTTTAATCAGAAGTCGTTTTGGGGTCGCACTATTAGCCGTATATAATTATTAAGCATGAGTCCACATAATTATTTTTTGTCATGACCTAAAAAGATTTATAGTCAAATATGGCAGCGTCTATCCCGATCTATACAGTTGATGCCTTTACGGATGTTCCATTTGAAGGGAATCCGGCAGCAGTCTGTCCGCTGACGTGTAATTCTGTAAGTATTTGAATTAGGTATAATACTGCATCAAACAGCGATGCAAATACTGTACTATTCTTAATATGTGATAAATCATAACACACTCTTGAATTATAGATGTAAATTATGATTAAAGTATTGTAGATCAACATTAAGTTTTTATCGTATATGCTAACGTCTAAAATAAATTATACTAAGAAAAACTAGTATTTAGATCCCTTTTATAATTAATATAATCGAACTGAACTGGTGTTTAATATGTCCATATAAAGTATACAATTACCAACGTATTCTATTTTTGTTTGAATTTCCATCAGACATCTTTTTACATACAAAGTATTTCTTTAGTAGTCTCACAAAATGTAGCTATAATGCTATGTTTATAAGATTATCAACTTTAAGGATGCACTGTTCTGCTTAGTGTATCGAAGGCCATTACTCACTTAGTTCAGCTCTGAACGTGGGTCTCATTCCACTCGACCTGTACGTTCGGGAACTGTCCTATTGAATCCTTGTCGAAAATCTAATGGCTTCCCAGTCAATTTTACTGGACAACTTTTTACTGCTAAACGGCCAGTGGAGTATGAGTATATTAGATATCCTGCAAATTAACTGGCCCAGTCTAGTAATCCAAATTTGTTTAATAGCCTCTGACACCTATCGTTACTTACCAAAGAATCCACCACTGGTAGGGGCACGCAGGTCCATATTTGTACATATACATTGGGGTTGTTAGTAACTCGTAATATATAGAAAAAGTGGCGTACTACTGTGCATTGTCAATATAATAGTTCTTAAAAAAGTGAGGCGGCGAATTAAGTCATCGCCTGGTTGGTCATGCGCGAATACACGGTTAGGCGTTTCTAGTCAAAAGTGTTATCATATATAGAGAATCTCCTACTCGTCTTTTTTTATATCAAAATATATCAACACAAGTTGATAAAGTAACAAAAAACGAGGCTCTGCCGAGGGTTTTTTTTCCATTATCAACGAGTGTTGATATTTTTTTATATCAAAAAAGACGAGTAGGAGATTTTATTTATCACCCAATCCTTTCTTACGTGCACAAATAAATATAATTCTTTGCTATAGACTTCACTTTTACTGAACCTGATCACATTACGGCGTAGTGATACATCATTTTTGACAGCAATTCAACCATTGCAAAGTCCTTTATATTGACCCAGTGTTTCCATCAAAGTCAATTAAATAAAAATAATTCATTTTTAATTTTAAAAAAAAAGAGTTATTTTTAATAAAAAATGAACTGTTCTTTGAAAAATCAAAAAAGTAGTTCCTTTTTAACTGACCAATCAAAGTCATGTAAAGCGATATCTCCTTAGGAGATATTGCAGTATAGATTATGAAATTTATCACACAAGCGATATCTACTGTAGAATGTATTATTGGGTGATAAAGTTATATTCAGTGACACCGTTTAGTGTAACTTTACCTTTACCTGCAATTTACCCTTGCTACACCTCAAAAGACAAGAACGGCAACATTTAAGACTTTTCGGTTTCATACAAACTAAGCATGACGTTATTCTTATAAACGATAATGATTACTTTATTCCCACAACCATTAATGATTTTATAATGTCAAAAACATAACACTTTACAAAGAAGAATTCGAAAAGTGCAACCGATAAAATGTCCTGCCATATTAGATAACGATATTGTCTCAGTATGTTGTAATATACTGTTCTGCCAATATCATGCAAACGAGGCGTATCTAGCGAAGAGTATTCCTGTGATGCCATTGTCTTTCCATTTGAAATGTGTCGCTGCGCGACAATGGCAACTCGCCATGTGGGGCCAGGCGTCTTGGGGCCAGTTCATTTATCTCTTTAAAAAAGCTGGACGGGCTTCCAATTTTTAGTCATCATTTCGCCAAGATGCATTGATCTTAATGTTGGTTCTCGCACTAACGGCCTGGAGACTGATTAGCCATCAGGTGGACCCAGAGTTTCTAAAGACATCACGTAGAATTAGTAAGAAGCGTGTGGCACATGCAGCGTCTGGGACTGTCTGCACACGCGCTAAGTGTTATGGTTTTTATGTGTAGTTTAAGGGTCCAGTGCGTAGCATTAAGTAGGCTAACAGGCCTATACTGATACTGATATTGTATGAGTGCATTAGTACGTGTGCTATACGACGTAAGCTATATCTAGGCCTATATATTACGCAATGTCTTGCAGGAGACCATTAAACAACTTAAAATACAGACACTATTTCAATGAAATACGTTACGCGGGACCAATATTTCAACTAGTATAAATAATGTACGCTTGGCACATTGCCCAGACCATTATTAATGGTATGCCAACATCAAAGGATGACGTCACATCTATATTTTAAATTCTAATATTATATAGATAGAACTCAATGACCCTAGCGGTATTCAATGTTCATCGAGTTCTGTTTTTATTCTATAATTACATGTAAATCTCAAAATACACTGTACTATTCTGATTATCAAAAACAAAATCACCAATAGGCTAACGTTATTCATCATAGGTTCCGCCCCTTTCTTTCTTTTTTTTAAATAAAAATTGTGGTTGCTAGTGTTGACGTCTTACAGTTTGACGTAATTCTGAAAGTGACCTCATTCTGGACAAAAGTAGCAAATGATATTTGCTTGTATTTGCATCTAGTTATAGAATAAATTCATGTATTTCGGATGTCATAATAGTTCAAGAATTATAGTCGTCAATTGATAACATTAATGCTTAGCATTAGTTCCATTTCAAAAACTCTGATATCTGGAAAGTGTACAATGTTTCGTTACACGGCTCTGATTTTCTAGAGGGCGTCTTATTAGGATTAGCAAACAAATTTGAACTACCGTAAAACCTTAACAACTCTGACCTATATGACCTTGTGAACAGGCAAACTGACGGAAGGGGGTAAAAAAAAATCAAAATACGATTGTTGAATTAAATGTATATATTTTTTTCTTTTATTGTGCATTTTAGGAAATACCTAATCATATTCTCCAGAAAATTGCTATAGAAATGAATCTTTCAGAAACAGCTTTTCCAAAACTTTTATCATCAGAAGATTCATTTGAAAAAAGTAGGTACACATATTATATTGTTTTTACCGATTTTATTTCTATTGGCCTTCTTGGATTAAAGGGGAATCAGGTAAGGTTAGATAAAGAGCTGACAGTTCTCGTTATAATAGTTAAAAAAAGGCAGATAATGAAAAAATAAAAAGGGAATACGTTGAAAATTTCAGTCAAATTACTTCACTCTGAGCCAAATCGCCGATACAATTACAATGTAGCCTCGATTGTCATTTCTAAGATAATAAACAAAGTCTCGATTATCCATTTTTACGTTAAATCATCAATTGCAAATGCAAATCGTATTTAAATCTATTGAAAATCTAGACTATCCGATGGCATTGAGAGTTGATTATGGTCTTGTCATGTTAATTAATGTCTTATTAATAATTTATATAACATTCGACAGAGTGACCTGCAATAGGCCGATTTAGCTCTTGCTTAATGCCTGTTTAATTCCGCTCAGCTTTATAGGAATTTCGTGATGCATGTTCAAATATTATAAACTTTTTTCTGACACTGAAAATTATTTCATTTCGAATCTTGTATATTTTTCGACTAAACACCGAAAACTCCAACAATCGTAACGCACAATTAAGTTTGAATATGAAAGAAATTTAAATGATTTTAGGTAGTACGTTTGGGTTGAGGTGGTTTACTCCGAAGAAAGAAATTAAACTCTGTGGACATGCAACCCTGGCGACAGCAGCTATTTTATTTGATAAATTTGGTAAGTTTCATCAGAAATCATATTTCTATCACGTGTGAACTATCTAATGTCTTATTTCTGATTGTTCACGCAACAGATAAAGGCAACGTGAAGTTGGCACGTTATTCTGGATTCGGGATTCGCCACTAAAAGAGAACGATCTATCTTGCATCCGACCTTTTCCTCGTTGGGTGACCGATTAGCACGGAGACGACCGCTTCTAAAGCGCGTAGGGTGCTGACTGGTTTGTTAGAGTGCATGGGGCAGTCATCTCCGGCAATCACCTGTTTTATTGCGAATCCCGAATCCCGAATAACGTGCTGGCTCGTTATTCGTGATTCGCCAATAACGAATAACGAGCCAGCACGTTATTCGGGATTCGGAATTCGCCACTAAAACAGACCGATCTACGTTGCATCCGACCATTTCCTCGCTACCCCCGACCGTAGGGGTAAGTGAACGTTGGGTGACCGACTAACAAGAAGACGACCGTTTGTTGAGCGAATAAGGTGTTGACTGGTTTGTTGATGTGCACTGGGCAGTCCTCTCCTGCACTCACCTGTTTTATTGTCTAATCCCGGTCGGAGGTAGCGAGGAAATGGTCGGGTGGAAGGTAGGCCAGTCTGTTTTACTATCGAATCCCGAATAACGTGCTGGCTCGTTATTCGGGATTCGACAATAAAACAGGTGAGTGCAGGACAAACGGTCGTCTCCTTGTTAGTCGGTCACCCAACGTTCACTTACCCCTATGGTCGGGGGTAGCGAGGAAATGGTCGGATGCAACGTAGGTCGGTCTGTTTTAGTGGCGAATCCCGAATCACGAATAACGTGCTGGCTCGTTATTCGTTATTGGCGAATCACGAATAACGAGCCAGCACGTTATTCGGGATTCGGCAATAAAACAGGTGATTGCTGCAGATGACTGCCCCGTGCACTCTAACAAACCAGTCAGCACCCTACTCGAATGAGAAACGGTCGTCTCCATGCTAATCGGTCACCCAATGAGGAAATGGGCGGATGCAAGATAGATCGTTCTCTTTTAGTGGCGAATCCCGAATCCCGAATCCCGAATAACATGCTGGCTGGTTATTCGTTATTGGCGAATCACAAATAACGAGCCAGACTGTTTCATTGACTTATTCCTTACTTCAAGCAAAACGGCGGTAATACAACAACTCATTCAGATCCTAGTGTAGTAAAGACAAGTAAAACGAAATTTTGAACTATAAAACACGAAACGAAATGGGATCTGTATTTTAATCAGATTGACACTTTCGTTGACTTTCGACATTTCATTTATATTAGAAAATATGTATTACGTAGGCGCGCCGCTGTGAATCTCAGTGGCGAGTTTCTAGATGGAACTATAATGTGGTACACTTCCTCAGTTGGAGACACGCATCTGTAGCAACAGTAACTAGATAAATTTCGTATGTTTCTAAAGAGATAATTAGATTTCTGTATATCATCAGTTGTCGACTGTCTAGTCACTATTGTCGCAATACCTTTCGTTTATGTGTTTAATGCATGTGACCGATGCTATGATCTGTGATTCTATTTTTAAGGAAATTCGTCCAGTTCGATAACATTTCAGACTTTAAGTGGGGATTTAATAGTAAGAAAAAAGGGAGATTTGTTTCGCATGGACTTCCCAACAGGATACACAGAAACACGGGTATGAATCATTGGAAATTGTTAATAGACCTAATTTAAAACCCCAAAAGAATACAGGACTTTGAAGTCGTTCCGCACAGCGCTATTGGATGGTCAGACACGGTGGCTCAGTGATTAAATTCATAGCTCACTAACAAGGAAGTACAGGGTTCAATCTCGGTTAACCTCGGCATTTTCCATCCTGGTATCCTTTTAAGTGACGTAGGGCCTGGCATGTTTACGTGCCCACAAAAGAACCCTTGAGATCTGGAATTCAGGTAAACCTTTCTCTCATAGCATGGCGTCTTCCCATCTTCGTTAGTCAGTAGGGCTCTAAACACTGTTTCATTCATTGATATTGGACGTACTAGCCAGGTAGCTTAGTTTCAAATATGGTAATGGAAGTAATTCTTTCATACCGTGAAGCTGAAGATAGCCAAAATGTAAGTGCCCCGGTCTTTATCGAAAGAAAACATCAAAACCTACCCGTATGGCGATGTTCATGCTTTTGTCAAAAAGTAAATGATTCTGTAAACATATCGACCTCAGTCCCACCCCCATCCCCGACTATACTATACCGTTCAACTAATTGGCTTCAAGTGAAGAAAAAAAGAAGCAAGAGGTTTCTAGCCCAGTTGGAATATTTAAAATCACTTTAATCAGATTAATGCACAGACAGTTGAAGACTTGATTACTTTTTTTTGCAGGAGTCAGGTGACTATAAAGAACTGATAATGGTAAAAACTTATAATTTTTTTACGCGGTAGTATATTGCAGTGTCCCTGTTAGTCTGTCCATAATTCTTGTAAAAACGATGTACAGGTCAGAGTTTTTGAGATACAAGATTTGCTGGAATTCCTAGGGACGAAACCTATTGAAATTTAGATTTGCACAACGTTTTTGCCTCAGAGGTTTTTGTCGCCCCTGTTACCGAAACCTTGGATGTGTCTTTTTGTGTACGCCCAATTGCTTGTGGTAGATCTAGATGCTAAGGATAATCATCCGATTGTATTATACAGTGTTTAAGGTCATAAGTCGAAGGAGCCTTTTGTTTTTGAACGATTTTGGATAAAAACTGACAGAGTTATGGCCCTTGATCACTTTGAAAGTCTTGTTGAAATCCTAGAAGCCAACGTTCTCCTCCGGGTGCGCTAAAAAATTTTCACAGCTGTCTTTTACAATAGACGAAGAATTGTTTTTCTCTTCCTGGCAACCTATCTTTTCAAGATTGTTAGACTTGTTCGGCTAAATTCAGAGTTGCCCGTCGATTTTGTGCCTAGTTGAATTTCAAAGCATCCCTTAAAAATGTTGCTGATGGGTCTATATTCCTTCTCTTCGTTAACTCAAACTCTAAAGATGGGAATTTAACGTATCTCGGAAGAAGAAACATAAACGTCTGGCCAATCAAATGTCAAGGGGAGTCAAGAAATTCCATATAATGTTTAATCTATCTATCTATATATATATTTGTGACTGTCGTTTGTCTGTCTGTCTGTCTGTCTGTTCGGGGTTGGCGGCTACACTAGGTCTACCCCGAGTCTGAAATTTGGGGTATAGGGGTAGCTCGGACCGGGGAGTAACATAGGCCAGGTGGCGTTAGTCTACCACTTTCGGAGTTATGACCCCCGAGCGAAGCCGGTCTGTTCGGGGTTGGCGGCTACACTAGGTCTGCCCCGAATCTGAAATTTGGGGTATAGGGGTAGCTCGGACCGGGGAGTAACATAGGCCAGGTGGCTTTAGTCTACCACTTCCGGTTTCGGAGTTATGCCCCCCGAGCGAAGTCTGTCTGTTCGGGGTTGGCGGATACATCTGCCCCGAGTCTGAAATTTGGGGTATAGGGGTAACTCGGACCGGGGAGTAACATAGGCCAGGTGGCGTTAGTCTACCACTTCCGGTTTCGGAGTTATGACCTCCGAGCGAAGCCGGTCTGTTCGGGGTTGGCGGCTACACTAGATCTGCCCCGAGTCTGAAATTTGGGGTATAGGGGTAGCTCGGACCGGGGAGTAACATAGGCCAGGTGGCGTTAGTCTACCACTTCCGGTTTCGGAGTTATGACCCCCGAGCGAAGCCGGGTCTGTTCGGGGTTGGCGGCTACATCTGCCCCGAGTCTGAAATTTGGGGTATAGGGGTAGCTCGGACCGGGGAGTAACATAGGCCAGGTGGCTTTAGTCTACCACTTCCGGTTTTGGAGTTATGCCCCCCGAGCGAAGTCTGTCTGTTCGGGGTTGGCGGCTACATCTGCCCCGAGTCTGAAATTTGGGGTATAGGGGTAACTCGGACCGGGGAGTAACATAGGCCAGGTGGCGTTAGTCTACCACTTCCGGTTTCGGAGTTATGACCTCCGAGCGAAGCCGGTCTGTTCGGGGTTGGCGGCTACACTAGATCTGCCCCGAGTCTGAAATTTGGGGTATAGGGGTAGCTCGGACCGGGGAGTAACATAGGCCAGGTGGCGTTAGTCTACCACTTCCGGTTTCGGAGTTATGACCCCCGAGCGAAGCCGGGTCTGTTCGGGGTTGGCGGCTACATCTGCCCCGAGTCTGAAATTTGGGGTATAGGGGTAGCTCGGACCGGGGAGTAACATAGGCCAGGTGGCGTTAGTCTACCACTTCCGGTTTCGGAGTTATGACCCCCGAGCGAAGCCGGGTATCCTGCTAGTACTATATAATATAATCAGTGACTATGCCGCCAGACTGTACAACTAGCTTGTTAACGCGGCAGAGTAGAGGCTACAGTTGTTAACAGTTTATTCAAGAATACATGTATTAAGATCTAAAACTTGTCCGGACAATATATTTATTAATAAAATACGTTAGTTTAAGTCTACATCAAATTTGGCCAACATACAAGTTTCCTTTCTGATCAATTGCTGACTATGGTAATCGTTTTCTCGAGGCATAGTTGCTGTGTGTGGGTATTTCCACACTTTGCGTGGCTATCTTTATTAATCATTTCAGTCTCTTGGTGATATTACTGGGGTAGAAGATGTGGTATATTGTTCGTCTTTACGATATCTATTAGTTCGTCTAAAAGATGGTTGGACAAGGTAACTTTTAACCTGTACTATTTCTTATTCGGCTGTTGTTATTTTTAGAACAGAAATCCTTCTGGGACAATATTCTTATTGTCACTCAAAGACATTAAAAAAGAAAATCTAAAGAATATCATAGTTATTAAAATACCGATTCAACGAAATGTTTTTCATAAATACAAATAAATCTTGAGATTTATTCTTATTCCTTCGAAGGAATGTATACATGTTTGGAGTAAAATACGTATATCCCCAATTATTTTTTTGTAATTTTATACAGAAAACAATTCGAAGGATGGCAATTAAAGATGGGTGACTTAAGCAAGTCAACTGATGAACTCGTCGCTTTAATAGTTACCATAAAGGGCTCTCCAGAACAAGGATTTTTTGATAAAATGGGAAATGGTTACGATTTTGTTTCGCGGTGCTTTGGGCCTTGGATGAATGTACCGAAGGATCCGGTATGTGGTTAGTATACACATGAAGATATATGCAATTAGCAATAATAACTTTATTTTTTGAATGAACAAACAGGCTACTACTAATTAATGCCTATAGAAGAGAATTATGGAACAAAATTTTGTACCTGATAAAATTATGGAAATGCCACGTACAGTATCAGTCAGTCCTGCGGGATATTGCATCGTACCTCTCTCTCATGCAACATCATACCCCCCATATATTTTATTTTTCCAGGTTCCGCGGAAACGGTTCTGGCTCATTATTGGTCTAAGGTGCTGAATAAGACTATGTTTAATGGTAAGTAATAAAGTAATACTTGAAGACTGTGACGAATTAAGTACAATAAAATGGTTGGAGAAATGTAGGGCTGGATCTCGGTGATACCATGAGATAGGAAGGGAGCAATCCTCAAGACCATTTTATATAACCAATTAATAAAAGGTTGCCGCCCGAAACGCGTCCTAAATTATACCCTTTATACAGTCTTGACAAGTTTATTGTTTGGGGTTATTATACTCACTATACCTACCAGAGTCATTATTATGTAGAAATAGTCTGGCCAACTAGTAACTGGGAAACAAAATGCCCTTTTTTTTTATCAAATCTTATCCGTGCTCTGCAATTACATAGAGAATATCCTACCAGTCTTTTTTGATATCAAAAAAGACGAGTAGGAGATTTATCACCCAATCCCTTCTTACATGCACAAATAGATAAATATAATTCTTTGATGTAGATTTCACTTTTACTGAACATTACGGCGTAGTGATACATCATTTTTTGACAGCAATTAAACCATTGCAAAGTCCTTTATATTGACCCAGTGTTTCCATCAAGGTCAATTGAATAACAATAGTTCATTTTTAATTTAAAAAAAGTTACTTTTAATAATAAATGAACTGTTCTTTGAAAATAACAAAAGTAGTTCCTTTTCAATTGACCCATCAAATTCATGTAAAGCGATATTATGAAATATATCACACAAGCGATATCTACTGTAGAATGTATTATTGGGTGATAAAGATTCTCACACAGTTCCCGGGATATATTGTGCAGAACTATCATTCCGTTCGTCTTTACCGACATTCATTACTTTATATTTGTTTTGTTCTATACATAGGGATTTGGGTAACAAAAATGGCGATCATAGCCGCAGTTGGGCAGACTGTTTCTATTTTTTGGCTCTGCTACAAGTTACCCGGTACACCCTAGAGTGTTTTCATTGTACATCTGTTTGCACCACGAAATTTGAAATAAAATTCCTTGATTTTAGTGTGAAACTTTTAATGGTTCATTCATACTGCATGTGAATACATAAACGATTAAAGAAATGTATAATTTTGTGTTTCAGTTCGCCAGTGTTCGGAAAGAGGTGGCGATATTCAGACATTATTGAGAGGTGATCGTGTTGATATTCTCGGGAAAGCTAGAATTGTCATAGAAGGAAAGTTTATGCTATAGAATTTTGACGGATTTAAATAAAATGCTTTTCCTTTGCCTGTTAGACTCTTAACCAGTGAATTTCCAGGGTTTTGGACTAGGGATTCGATCATCAGTATCTAAATGACCTCCGCGGCAGGTGGGCAGGAAAGTATTTTACATCAACCCCAGGCACACTTATTTTGAATAAATGCATGGCCATGCTGTGCATGCAGCTCCGCGGTATACTATGGTGGCCCATGGTCGCAATAGCGTTTTTGGGGTTATTTTTTGTATTTCATTTAAAATCATAAAAAATAAAAGTAAAAAAAAAGAAACATTTTTTTTTCTTTTGTTTTACAAAATAAAAAAAAAATCTTTTTAAAATTTAAGAAAAAAAAAATCTTTTTAAATTAAAAAGAAAAAAAAAAATCTTTTTGAATTAAAAAGAAAAAAAAATCTTTTTAAATTAAAAAGAAAAAAAAAAATCTTTTTGAATTAAAAAGAAAAAAAAATCTTTTTAAATTAAAAAGAAAAAAAAATCTTTTTAAAATTTAAGAAAAAAAAAAAATCTTTTTAAAATAAAAAAAATCTATATAAAAAAAATTAATAAAATATTTAAGATTAAAAAAATCTATAAAAAAAATAACATTTTAATTAAAAAAAAAAAAATAAGTGAAATAGAAAAAATCAAAAAAAGAATTCTGCACGTGGTCCATCGTCGTAATAGTGTCTTGATTATCCAGACTCAGTATAAAATCCGCCTACGACAGCTATCATTCGACTCGAGTGACCAGAAATACCTCGTGGCCCATTGTTGCTATAGTGTCTCGATTATCCTATGTGGCATAACTCGAGCGACAAGAAACGAGTTTGTAGTTATCTCCCCTTCCGAAAGAAAAAGGGTAAACTGACATCAACACGTGAAACACAATTTTTCCACCCATGACGTCTATGGACTTGGATATATGTATTTATACATATGCAAGTCAATAGAAATGTATAATTAATAGACTATAGAAGCCTAGCGTCATTTAGACTAGTTTATCCAGTCTAACTAGAACTAGGCCTACATACATAATGACGTTTGAAGTCATTGACTTTAATGACACCATTCGGCCTACTACTAGTACTAGTGCGCAAGGCCTAATCTCCCCTCAAAAGGCTTATGTAATGTTTTTAAAACACTTGGTCTCCCTGAGGTCGAATTTCAAAAGTAGTTAACAACTTTGAAACTAATCCTCGAAGTATAGGCCTACTACTACTAAGTAGCCGGGGGGGGGGGGGGCGAATGGTTAGCACGTGCGCGCTGTATCATAAAGCCTGTCATATCATAAAGCCCGTCATTGAGTCAACTGGCGTGATTTCGAATCCCCGGTTGTACGTGACAAGGAGTAGGGTGACCTGTCAAACATCGTGGGTCTGTCGTTCAGATTATCCTGTGTGGGATCTATGAAGAACGTATGGTATAGACTCAAGCGACAAGAAACCAGTCTCTATAGTTACCTCACATCAAGGCACAAGTAATTTTAACTAAAATCTATTAAAATTAAATTTTAAGTTACAATCGATCTTCGTGAAACGCATAAATTTAAAATTTCACTTTGATTTTAAAATCTATGTTAGTGATTTTAGCTTCAGTTTTTGTGAAACCCCTGCTCTCCCTGAGGTCATCGCTAGTCCCCCGCTACGACCACAGGAACGGGTAAGAGGTGCGAAAGTGCGATGGCGGACAACATCAATTTCAAAGACAAAATAGAGCATGATAGCCCACGTGGACTTCGTCTGGGGCCTGTTTTACTAAGATAAAATTCAAATTTTAGTATTTGATTGGATAATAGATAATATTAGATTTATTTTAGTGCTTAGCTAATCAAAATTGAAGTATCTACAATTATGTTGACGTGAGATAACTACAGACTCGTTTCTTGTCGTTCGAGTTTATACGTTCTTCACAGATCCCACACATAATAATCGAGATACTACTGCAACAATGGGCCACAAAATGTTTCTGGTCGCTCTAGTCTAATGATAGCTGTATACTGGGTCTGGATACTCAAGACACTATTGCGACGATGGGCCACGTCGGGAATTATTTTTTATCTTTTCTTTTTCAATTTTTTTTTTTTTTCATTTAATTTTTTTTTTAATATTATTTTTTTTAAAATATATTTTATTATTTTTTTTTATATATATATATATATATAGATTTTTTTTCATTTTAAAAAGATTTTTTTTTTTAAATTTTCAAAAGATTTTTTTTTAAAAATGTTTTAAAAAGATTTTTTTTTTTTAATTTTAAAAAGATTTTTTTTGTAAAATTTTTTAAAAAGATTTTTTTTTTTAAATTTTTTAGAAAGAGTTTTTTTTTAAATTTTAAAAGATTATTTCTTTTTTATTTTGTAAAAAAAAAAAAAAATGTTTCTTTTTTTTTTTTCTGTACTTATATTTTTATTATTTTAAATGAAATGCCAAAGATAACCCAAAAAACGCTATTGCGACCATGGGCCACAGTTATTATTATTATTGATTATTTTTGATTACGTAAACTGTTGAATTCTTAAATACCACAGGAATACTGAACAAGCAGCTATAAGCAATTGGGAACGGGAGCATGGTGGAGGTGGAGCGGGAGCGGGAGCGGGGGGGGGGGGGGGCAAAGGCGTAAACGATCAAACTACTATGGAGTCGTAATAATCAATAGCGCCCAAACTATTGCAAACTGTGACCGACCAGGCCAGATATGTTTTAGATATATCCATATTCTGCTCAGCATATCCAAAACTTATATGATTTCATAAAGGAAATGGAAACAATTATGGAAAAGTGTAATTGACTAATTTAAAAAAAATATCTTATTGGTTCTTGTCTGTGACTAATAATACCTTTTTTTTAAATTTTCAATTATCCATAATTTTCACTTTTTTCATGAAATTTTAATGATCTATAATAACACATCTTTCCTTGGAATTCAATATTTGCATTAGCTTTGGTACTATTTGCAAAGCAATCATTAGCATTCACGACAACTTTTAGACGTACTGTTAGTGGCTGTGTGATTTCTGAAATATAACCTATTTTCCGTAGAATTAAACCATCTTATATAAAACTGACGTTCTACAATCATCACGAGAGAGAGAGAGAGAGGGAGAGAGAGATTTAACGTCCACTCGACACAAACTAGGTCATTTTGTGACTAACACATGGTTCAATTTTATTTCAATAATTCTCTTGTGCGTAGCGGGAGGAAACCGGAGGACCCGGAGAAAATCCACGAGGTTGGACATGCGACCCTACTCCTTGTCACGTACATCCGGAAAATCAAAACCACGCCAGCTGAGTCAATGACAGACCTTATGATACAGCGCGCACGTGCTAACCATTCGGCCATCCAACGGCCCTAGTTTGAGGGTTCAATTTTAGATCAGAGATAAATGATTGTGGTCTGTATCCATTTGTTTTCTTTACACAGTGGTGTCCCTTTAGATGTTTTAGTATGTAACGTCATTTCCGGAAACAAAACCAACGTGGTTTTATTTACACTTACAGCACACACTGGACGGCAATTATTTCATTAAACAAACGGGCTGCGATGACAAAAAGAAAGTCTACAACAGAATTCGATGATAATGCTGTTGAAGAACCAAAGAAAAAGAAGAAAAGCAAAAAAGAAAAGAGAAAAACCAATGATGGCGAAGAAGTTACAGAAGAAATTGAAAGTAGAGAAGATGCAATAACACAATCTACTACTACAGAGGATGCGGAACATGGTCGTGAGCCGCAAGACAGATTTCCCAATTCCATACCCGTAAAGAAGACAAAGAAAAATAGAAATCGCAAAAAGGATGATGGGGCAGTTAAAAAAGTGATCAACCAAGAAGAACCTAATCCAGATCCAAGGATTAAAGTTGCATTAAAATATCTTAAGACTTGGTACAAACACCGAGACCAGTGGAAATTTCAAAAAGTTCGGCAATTGTGCTTATTACAACACATGTATGATCATACTAAAATATCAGACAGAAAATTCAAAAGACTCTTAGAATATTTGAGTGGTCTGGTAGGTTGTGCCAGAGAACAAACTATTAAAGAAGCTGGGCAAATATTAGTAGATAATGATATAGGTAGTGACAATGAGGAAGATGATGAAAATTCTGAAGAAAATGAAAAACTGAAAACTGTTAAAATTAAAATTGAAAGAGCTACAAAAATTTTACAACAGTTATCGTAATACAAGTTAAAACAGCACAGAAATTAATGACTTATAATGTAGCTTTGACTCACAATTTTTACTGTGTATTAATAATTATATAATAAACTTATTATATCACATATATTAGTAGGCTATTACTTATAACATAATTACATGTCTGTAGCTGTTCATACAGACTTATGCCACTAAACGTCATTTGATTTTTGATTCAGACAATATCTATTATCTTAAATAAAAGTACTGAAAATAAATTGATTATTGATATTTTAAACAAGAAAACAAAATCATAATGTAGATAATCTCCCGACTTGGATTCAGTAGGATTAAACAGAGGCTCATCAACTGGTTTGGTCAATGGCTTGCTGATTGGATGGTTGGTTTGTAGGGCTTAAAGTCGAGCTAAATCTCTAACTCAACATTTTCCATAATATTCGAAATTATAAAACACGAATTAGAATTCAATATTGATATTGTTATCTTGCTGTGAAATTATATGATCCTAATATCCAATATTTAAGTCACAATTAACATTTTATGATCAGAGAGTCGTGTATTCTATGTCGTGTATTCTATGGTTTCGGGTGCCATTTTATTATGAACAAATAAAAAAAACCTACAAGGCAATGTGGAAGTAATTAGTTAAGGCTGGTTCACAAATGACAAAATAATAATAATAAAAAACATGTAGAATGGACTAAGCGGGCGGAAACGACTGCCATCTAATTTGAATTGGGGGTTTAATGTTGTAATGTTCTGCTCCTAGAGTCCTACTGGTTTAATGAAGATGGACCTATGTCATACAGTGGCTTTTAGGAAATTTCTGCCCAGACAGTGGCACGACGGCCTACTATTATATTGAATTCCAACAGCCAAGAGATCTTTTGTGTACGTGAATGTGTACAATGGAACTCAGGTTTTTTGTCCCATCTGAACGACTATACATTGTCCCTTGCCAAGCCCTCCGTCCTGCACCATCGACAAGGTGGAACCACCCTGGAATATCCTGTTGAACTTTCTTGGCCAACACAGGGATCGAACACGGTACCTCCAGGCGTCTTACTGAGTCACCATGGCTCCACAGTCCACAAGCTTACACATTATTATTTGTGTGTGTGCATAAAAGAACATGGTATTTGGAATTAATGTTAGTAAAAAATTTTCCCCATTCACATTGCACACTGTACACATTACCACAATGTTGGTCTGACAAGGTCTTGCTGAAAAAGACCCTTTCCACAGACTCGCAGAGTAAATATTTAGACTGGACCCTTTTCTTAAATTTTGAATAGAGGGAGGTAACTCTTTTATTTGTAATTGATGTAAGGGACCTCACACGTCATTTCTTTGACAGAAGGGACCCTAAAATGGTAAACATTCACCTCAGTTGAGTAATCTCTATGAATATAATCGTTGATTAATAAGATGGATAACGTGTAGTATCCACAAGAACTATGAACAAGAATGGCAGGCGTTGCAGTAACGAAAGTAGTTCATCGATGTGATGAAGCGAAGGAAAATAAACGTTTAGGTGAGATAAATTGCAATGATTTGTTTTCATTTTCTCGACTAAAAGTACTAAAATAAAATTAGCCCATCTGCAGTGCCAGCGGGCTAAAAATAACTACTTCGTCTCTTTTATTCTTACAGTACACTAGAAACGAATAGGTGTTAACTCATGAATCATAAAACATTGTCTGTGATCTACTTGGCACATGAGTAGGAATAGAGGCATTATCACTTTTATTTTAATTAACAAAATAAATATTAGTGCCAGAATTAAAAAAAAAGATTAATCATTTTAACAGGGTAGCCTACCGTCCCAAGTTTTATTATTTTAAGGGTGCCTAGGTATCCAAGAATAATTAGTTGGATTACCAACTTTGAGTAAAGCATTTTGAATGAAGCTTAATTTCTTGAAAACTACTAAAAATTTGTGCGGCTCATTGTTTTTCATTGATGGAGGAAGACCACAAAATAACTACCTATTTAATTTTATGTTCAGAATAACATCATGGCCCAGTTTACCTACAAGAATGTAGCTAAAAACAGTGAGATATGCTGATGCGTTTGTCAATTAAGAGATGGGGTTTCTTATCTACTCCCAAATCAGAATTTTTATAGAAGTCAACCCTGTTTTTCTAGGAAATCAGGATATAATAAACTTCATACTACTTTTGTTCTGTGCTTATTTTGTATCCATAAGTGTCATATTAGAAATGGAACAAAAAATTATTTTTTTATATACATGTATAATTACCGTACTGCTTATGAAAGTTTACCGTATATATGTATTGTAGTTAAACTTTGACAACATTTATAGTTTTTATCTTTTTAGATCTTTCAGGATGTCAACTGACTCAGGTACCAGATGCAATTTATTTATTGATGAAAAATACAAGGGTAGAAGTTTGTGATCTCTCAGGAAATCTTATAAGGCGAATACCATCAAAACTTCCTACTAAATTTCCTTATATAACAGGTAGACAGTCTTGGAAGATTTATTAAATTCAAATGCCCCCCTGCGCCCCCCTAGTTACAGGCCGTAAATGAGTCCAAACCATAAGATGTTTTAAATACTTATTTTAGTTCAAAGTCATATAATGTCTGAAATAATATTTATTTTTAAAAATAAGTTTGGGTATTACATGTAGTTTATTGAACAACAAAGTTTGAATACATCTACAATTATTTCTATTATAGAATTAAACTTGGGATGCAACAGATTAAGTTCACTGCCAGATGAGTTGAAGGAAATGAAGGATTTGAAGAGATTAGATATATCAACAAACAGTTTTACCAGTCTTCCTGATATAATTTATGGCTATTCTAAACTTCAACATTTAAATATGGAGAAAAATGAAGTCAAAGGTAACCAGAAATCCCTATCTTATATATTCAGAATCTTTGTAAAATTAGAAGTTTATGTTTTAAAATGCTTGAACTACCACTGCTTAGATGAAAAAATTCTTTGTTTCAAATTGACAAAAAAGTAGTCACAATCACCATGTTACTGACTAAATCTACTGTTCAGAACTAGAGAGCAATAACTATCAAACAGATGTAAACATGTAGAACTGTAATAAAGGATCACATTCACATATCAACATATGTGAAACAATTATAAAATTAAATTGGGTTTAATGTCCTACCTTATTTTGCTCCAATAGTGTTTATGAAGTTTGGCATGTGCCAAGCAGTGTGCTATGACGGGATATTTCGTTTGATTCTTTTACATGCATGGCAACAAACAAGTGCATAGGGAGGACCTGGGGTTTTCGTGCCGTCCAAATTACTAGACACTTTTTCTTGGCAGGCCCTCAATCCCGCACCACTGACCAGGGAATCTATACTGGTAAATACTGAGGAACATTCTTGGCCACCACCAAATCTAACTTGGATGTCCTGATTAGTGGTCCTGTGCCATACTCTTTGAGCCATTGTTGCCAAGGTGTGAATTCATGTACACAAGACTTACAGTGATCAGGGTTAATATTACTTTCATCAATTTGTTCTCATTAATCTATTTTAGAATTTGATGTCAACAACTTAAAATCAATGTTATCATTAGTGGAGGTGAATTTTCAAGATAACCCACTCACAGATGATGTTTATAATCAATTATTGGAAATCAGAATGTTCAATGTTCTTATAACACCACGAGACAGGGAGTTAGATTCGGTTGACTGAAGAAAGTGAAGCTGTTCAATTGAGTTAATACATATATTATGCAATGGAGACTTAATGAAACTTAGATAGTTAGGGTTGCATGCACTGATTTAGTTAGCTGACATTGTACATCATTTATTAGCCCACCAGACTTACGTTTTCTCTTCCATCTGTTGTCCCATGTAAAAACATTGTCATTTTTAATATCTCCTAAGACATTTACCGGTAATGGATTTCAAAGAAATTTGGTAGGTATGATGTCATAATAGTATTTATTTGGATTTACCCCCATAGATGCTGGCCAGGGGTACCCTTGAGGGTCAGATTTAGATAATCTTAGGTCTTCTTCAGAATGGATTCCTTTCAAATTTGGTAGGAATCATCCTAGAATGATAAAGCTAAACGTTTTTTAAATTGAAACAGCTGAACTTCATAGGGGCAGAGTAGTACAGGGGCACCATAGAGGGGCAAATTTAAACATGTTTGATTTTTCTCTGAAAGTGCTTGAAAGATTTGATAAAATTTGATGTTGTTCAGGATCTGGTTATTCAGATTTGTTCAAAAATAGTTGCTAGACCCCCAAACTGGTTTGGCAGGGGCACCTTTGTTGGATAAATTTATGTATTCTCCACTTCTTCTCCTAAACTGCTTGATGGATTTCAACAAAATTTGGTAGGTAATTTAACTGGATGGTGGTGGTGCAGATGTGTTCAAATAGTTACTTGGCCCCAAAGAGGTAAATTTTAGACAATTTTTTTTTACTTATAACAATATGATTTTCACTTTGTTGTGACTATTTATGGTTTTTAAAAATGTTTGATATTATCTCATTGCTTTAATCAAGAAAATAACAATAATTAAAAGACCTTATGTTGTAGATGTTCATATTCTCACTTAAATCATGTACGGATAGTCATGTATAAATATCTTTATAAGATTTTAAGCAAGAATAAGGAGTTGCTTGTACTCATAAATGACTAGCTTCAAGTGGCTTACCATTTTTACAAAACCAAAAGTTATCTCCACATTACAATTAAATGATTTTTAAAACAAAGAATTTATTTCATACTCTGCATTTTAACTTTTTAACTTTTCCTTTACACTGTCAAATGTATGATAAAGCAAAATTCAAATTTACAAAGCATTATTCTTTTTTCCCATTTAGTGCATTTCATAAAACTTTCCTATGTTTGAGTTCAGGAAGGGCTGTAAAGATGAGAATATGGTAAATTGGTTAATGTACATGTGTGTTGAAGTAAATATTAATTGTATCCAACTCTTGTCTGATATTACCACTGTCTGGCTTTTTGTGAAATGTAACAGTAGTTGAAATATCAGAAGTACACCTGTATGTGTATCATACCTCTGTGTATTACACTTGTATGTGTATTACATGTATGTATATTATATGATTTTTATAGTATGTGTGTGAAATTGTTTAAATTATTTTAGTTAATTGATAATGAAAAAAAAAAAAAAAAGATCTATTTTATGGAAAAGATATTATGGTTTAGTATTGCATATATTATGCTTTACTGGATCTGATATGGTTGTATTAAGCATATTTAATATTGTAAAACTTATGAGATGTCTATATTATGCTCACTAGTTCTTTAAATGTGTGACATAATTATTATAACTGATTCGTAATTGAAATTATAGTTTTATTTAGACAATTTCTAGAGAATATTTGTGGAAACAATATATAATATTGTATATATTATGCCTGAATCAAAAATTGCTGTGCTTGATCTTATTGTTCATGCTATAACTGTTTTATTATGTATGCTATGAATTTATATAGGAAATAATGTAATCTTAATATTATAATCAGGTCACAATGAATAATTTTTCTGTTACGGTATAGATTGAATAATGATTTTGTTGTATATTGGAAACTAAATGTGACTTGCATGTACATGGATGCCTTTACTGTATTGTTTGAAGATCGGGATTTCTTTACTGTAGTGTTGAATTTAAGATGAATTAGCTTTTAAAATAAAGAGCATTAGTCTTGGAATCTGAAAAGGTAAAGTTTTTCAGGGAAAGTAAGTCCACTTAGCCAGTTACATTGCGGCACTTTTACTACTAGGAATTTGGGTACAGATGTGACGTCATCCGTTGATGTTCCATTATTTCAAATGGTTAACAGAGATTATTTTTATAGTCACGGGCTTGTTCATTTGACATATTAAAAATATTTTGTATTGAATTGATTATTTTACATGAGCACAAAACTAGTATACATATATACGTACACAAATAATAAAGTAATGCTCCCAATGTTTGCTTTATTACCGTATTTATTACTCAAGTTCTTAGATTTTTTTAAGATTTGGTTCAGGAGAGTTTTTTATTTACTATACATCAATGTGTTTATATTGTTTGTATATTTAATTTTATTTGTAAAATAAATTGTACATTTATAATCAGATGATTTGAGTTTCTTTATGACAGGTCCAGTATCTGCCACCCCAAAATGGGTATGCCACTTGTAGAAGTGAGAGATGAAGTTGCTTGACTAAATCTACTCTTAATATGAAATTCTGGTCACACCTCATAGGAAAGAAGATCTGCTTGCTATTCTCATTGATCTCAGTATAGTCAAAGAAGATATTTTATCAGGCCCACTGAAGGGTGGGGGGATACCAGGGCACTTCCTGAGCAGGCTGCCAGGACAAGGGTTCATAAAAACAGTTAACCTAATAAATGAAATAGAAATAAAATGATTTGTTTTTCCGTTTGATAGCTGAAGTGAAAATTATAAAAGGATTCTAAAATCTACATTATATGTCATGTTATTTGTTAAGATTTCACACAAAAAACCATTGCGGTTGTAGAATATGGGCCCTGAAACGATTTTCCCCCCAGGGCCTGATGCCACTCTCAATAACCTTATGTGTCATATTTTATGACAATTTTTGTGCCATAATCTTATGGAAGTAGTAATGAGAGATTTTGATGGACTTGATGAGTTCCATTTAAGTTATTCAGTACCAGCTTGTAACATTTTTCATTAATAGCAGAAACCAGTTTAGGTCATAATAGCTTTAAACTTTTTTAAATTAGGAATTCAACTTTATAATTTGAAACCTCCAACAAAAAATACACACTGTTGATAAAAATAATTTTATATTTCATACCAACCACCACAATATGATTTATATTGTAACAATTTGTTTAACTTTCCATTAAATAATAATTTATGAATAAATATTTGGTCAGTGAAACAACAGTGAAAAATTATAAATATTTACAAATTAAAAATTAAACATTTCAATTGGAGCACAAAATAAAATAATGAATATACATTTGGCAGTATTCAAGTTGTTTGATATCTGTTTAATTCAAGTAATATTTGAACCTAGATCTATAGGTCATAGTTTATAATCTAGATTTACTCTGTTTTTCAGATAATCCTTGCAAAAAATAAAGAATAGTTTATAGTCTAGATTTACTCTCTGTATACACTAGGCCATACAAAAAAATAATTGCTTCTCAGACAATCCTTACAAAAAATAAGACGCAGTAGGAATGTTTTTATTTTTTGAAAGGGTCACATGACACCTGTGAGGCTACATATAAAACTTCAATGGACTAAATTTAAGTCATCTGTGAATTAATACAGAATTTCCATTATGATTGCCAATAACATGTTGCAAAGTTCCGCATTTGACAACTGAATCTATATATTTAGTTACCGCTTTGCCCCAACAAATCTAATTGTGCGGTAATCCAAATATTGTTTTTATTTGTTATTTCACAGACCATGCTGCATTTTTTAAATAATGTGATGATATCTGAGAACCAAGTTTGTTTTTTTTTGTTTATGTGGCCATTTATGTATTTGACCATTTATCATTTAAAAACACTAAACTCAATAATATTGAAATAAAAACTTTTTTTTCATTATTTAAATTATACAGAAACCTTCCTTTATCACATATTGCTTACTATAGACACTTCTCTTTTCTAATTTACTTGTTCATTCGTTGTTATGTTTTCCACACTCAATTCCGTAGTCCAAATCAAAAGATGGCAGACTGTAATAAACTCAGAATTTCTGGTTAAGATTTTCAGACAATTAGGTGAGTCTAAGGCTATATACAGATATACAGAATTTGGTGAAAGTGATAATGCCCCTTTAAACTCTTATAACATATTTCTTCATAGAGAGAGAGGGAAATGGAATTTAAGTCATTTCAGGACTAAGATTTTATTTCAATAATTCACTTTCGCTTAGGGTCTTTAACAGTTAGTTAACAGTTGGAGGAAACCAGAATACCTGAAGAAAAACTATGTACAAGCAGGGAATCAAAACCACAACACCTAAATCAATGACAAACCATAGGATCTCTCTAAAGTGCACCCTTTAAACCATTCGGCCATCCAACCACCCTAATAATTCTTGAGCAAAGTGTGTTTCACTGAAGTTGAAGTTGAAGCAAAGATATATCCACCATTCCGGAAATGTTTTTTGTTAAACAATGTTAACACAAATAAATAAGTTGGTTTTTTATACGAGTAGCCAGTACTGTATTTCCATTTTTTTTTTTTTTTTTCATTTTTTTTAATAAAAGGGAAATCCCCAATATAACCACATGTTGATGAGAAATGAAGCAAATGAAACAGCACTTATTCAAGAGAGATAACATATAATTGTGATCCACACACTGATCATCTCCAGGCTTTATCACTACTCTTACTGCTTACTTTACGAATAATTTTAGTAGCTGATTTAGTATTAGATATTGGCGTTTTGTTGGTTTTCACTGAAAGAAAGAAGATGTAAAGAATGAACCAAATACTAACTTATTTCCAAGAACATAATCAAACCAGCGGTTGCCAGGCAAGATACACCCACATTTTGCATGAGATGGACAGAGAACAAGCTAAGCAAAAATGAGATTTTTTGTACAATCAGGGGCCATAATCAAGTTAAGGTCCAATATGCACGAATATCAAAAGGAACCGAGATCTTTAAACATATATTATAAGTTTCATCAAGATCATCTTCAACAGAAGGCTTGATCTCGCTTTAACTACGTACATCTTATCAAGGCCTTCACGTAATACCCTGCATATTTTGGCACTAATTTCGATTGGGTACAAACCCAGCTTGTGGGCCTATAAGATTCCTCGATCGTCGCAAATAACAAGTATTGCACTTTCAAGCTAAAATGTCTACATGCCCAGCTTGTGAGCCTATAAGATTCCTCGATCGTCGCAAATACCAAGTCTTGCGCTTTCAAGCTAAAATGTCTACCTGTGATAATCAAGTTGCAAAGTTCAAGGTTCGTTCAATGTAAAGGTTTCTGTGGAGGTCGCTATGTCACAACGTCTGATTGGGCGCTATTGTTCACTGTTGATAACGTAGCTATGGGTTCGGAAATTGTAAAGTAATCTAGCAACGTCCAGATGTTGTAAAACTCGCAGTCGTTGCTTCAGGAACATGCATCAAGATTGGATAAAAACTGTGGCTTCTAGAGGGTCCACAACCTTGGTATTACATACTTTTACAAGCAGCGGCCACTTTGTCGGTTGTGTTGGTCCAATTTTTATTAAATTCGAACTCAACCCTCATTATGGTGTAACGGTGATATATTTAAACGTTTTTAAATCAGATAAATTTTGTTACCTCTAGAGGGACCACAAACTAAACTTTATTAGATAAAAATTGTGACCTCTAGAGTGTCCATCAGCTAAAAACATGATTTTTCGTACAATCAGGGGCCATAATCCACGAAGTTACGATCCGACACATGCCAATTTCAAGTTTCATTAAAATTGGATAAAAATTGTCACCTGTAGAGTGTCCACAAACAAAATGTGAACGTACACATGGCATACATGGTTATAATGTGCTCATATAGTTTTGTGAAATTATGTCAAAGGTTTCTTTTTAGTTCTACTAAGAAAAAAAAAGGTGACATACAGTGGGAATAATTTTCCAATATGCCTTAAATCTACAAATACAGATGGATGAAATAATGGTTCTCCAAACTGCTATATATACCCCAGCCAATTTAAACATATTTGAGAACATTACCACAAGTATAGTCTTATTATTGTACATATTAGGACAACATACCTATAGATGGAACAGCAGTACTAATTTTCCTATTTTTGTAAGCCAGTTGTTCTTTTGTGTTGTTGGTTTTCTCTGGTGCTGTCTTTGGTCTTTCTTTACTTCCATGTCTACATAATATAATGATGTATGATCTTTATAATAACATCAGTATTACTCTTAAAAGTATATTTGTCCACTGCCTTTCACAGAAAACAGAAGAATATTGAAAAGGGTTCGTCCATCTGTCTGTGTCCGTAGAGCAGAACACCTTTGCTTCTCATTGATAACATTGAGGGCTGGTGGAATATGGTTGATAGATTCATTACATCAATACCAGGACTAAGTTCAATAATGAGCATTTTCTACTCAGGTTAGGCAAAGTGATAAGCAATTTGGTTTGTCAAGACTTTCAAGTTTTGAACAAAACTTTAGGGAGCTGGGGTGATTCAGTGAGTAGGATGCTGGTTCACTAACTAGAAGGTCTAGTCATTTGGATTGGATGAAAAATCACGGTGCTATGAACACATTGCCGTGCTCATAGAGAACCCTTGACAGTTGGAATTCGAAATAAGAGTAGGCCATAGTGCCACTGTCTGGCATATGTCCGTCTTCATTAGCCCAGTCATTGATTTTAAATGAATGAGAGTGATGAATTAATTGGAATAAAGCCTTCATACCTGTTTCTTTTTGTATTAGAAGAACTTTCATCTGATCTGATTGGTGATATCATACCTTGTAGTGGTTTTAATGCCCTAAAATAAAGGTAAGAAAGGTGTAAATATACATCAATCAAATCTTCTGAAAACACAACTGAACATGGTATCGCATCTCCACAATTGTCAAATGTGAAAAAACCCTATAAAACTTCCACCCTTGACTGCCATGCACAGTCTTTTAATTGGTTAATCCACTGAAAATTAACTGGAACTCAACCGTTTTAAATTGTCAGTGGTTGAGAGTCTTGTAATAGGGGATTCTAATGTAACATTCCAAGAAATTCCCCGCACCCCACCCCCCCACCAAAAAAAAAATAAATGTATTGGTTAAGGGGTTCTTTTAGATGCAACAGCCTAGTTCCTTTTCTAATCTTTTATAAGTGTTAATCCAGGGTGAACATAGCAGGTAAGTTAAAGTTACTGAAGTCTAGGCTTGGACCCTGAAACACAAATTACCTTAAATCAACAGCATGTGTTCTAGGACTACTTGTAGCAGGAGCTGTTTTAGGTCTATTATTAAATCCAGCTTCCTCTTCTTCTCTAACTCACATTAAGGAATACAAATCATTTAAACAAAATAAAAAAAATTCACATCCGTTATCTTCTATTGAGAGAAAGAGAGAAATGGGGTTTAACATCCACTCGACACAAACTAGGTCATTTCGGGACTAACATATGGTTTAATTTTATTTCAATAATTCGCTTGCGCATAGGGGTTCTTTAGCAGTGGGAGGAAACAGGAGGACCCAGAGAAAACCCACGAGGATGTACAGGCGAATCTTCTATTGAACATCTAAGTCAAAATGGCATCTTATATTTATAATTAGGTTTTATTAATTAAAGATACATTATGGGAGATTCGATAACGAGTTGGCAGTTCTCACTATAATAATTAAAAACTAGATAACGTAAAGGCAATTTGCTGAAAATTTCATTCAAATTGATCCACTATGAACCGAGAACTAAGCGAATGAAATTTCTGCCTAGCCTCAGTCATCATTACTAAAGTCAGTACGATAAACAGCATAGTCTCGATTATCCATTTAATCGTTTAATCGAGAAGGAAAGTTATGCAGTAAATCGGCTCACAATCCACTTAAGATCGCAGGCAAGCGATGCCATCTAGGGTTGATTATGGTCTGGATAAATTAATTAATGTCTAATTAATAATTTAGATAACAGTTCAGGCCTAAAGAAAGACCTGCAATGGCAGATTTAGCTCTTGCATAAAGTATGTTTAATACATATCTTGATTTATAAACCTCTAGTTTTGATACAAAATTTTAAATTAAGGCTTTATTGTAATTTTTCACTTTGAGTTTTGAGCTCAAGAACTAATCATTCTGAATGTCTGATAATTTATAAGGATACTGTGCTTTTTTCTTCCTTTCCATAGCCTTCAATGTAGCAGAACTTACTTTCCTTCCAGAATCTCTCATTGTTGATGAAGCCTGAAACACATATTAATCATCAATAATTATTCAATACCACTTACAATATCATTCTTCTTTATCCACCATGTTGCCTAGCAATTTGTCAGCACTTCTCTTATAAAGCTAAAGCTTAGGTGATATATTTTTTTGCTTGCTGAAGCAACTAACTGCTGTCGAAATTACGGCGACATGTCACTGCTCAAAATGGCGGAGTCTATAATAGAACCACCATTTTGTAAGATCAAATGCTATTTTAGCTTCCACTGATTGGTCAAATATAAAAATGGATCAATTGCCTTCATACCATGGATGCTATTTGTCCATATATGCAGGACACGTCCTACGCTCTGTTTTTCAACCGTCCGACCAGGAATATGCCCAATCGGACATCAAGATATGGTGAGTAATTTTCATACGCATTGACTGAAGCACAATTTCATTCCTTTGAGCCAATAATCAAACTTGTTGTTGGCATTTAAAATTGAAATCCATCTTCATCGCATTGACGCAAATACAATGATTTTTTATAGCAATTTGGGGGCAATTAAAATTTGCTTACAAATTGCCTAAGAAAATAATCTGTGTGCCCTAGAATTAAGAAGTCATGACACAAAACACAGTTTCTCTTTCATGGACATTAATTAATAAACTATCTTATGAGATAGATTTAACAGAGGTACTGAGTACTGACACTTACCCCATTATAACGTTTCTGCTGCTCTTTTATTCTAGTCTGATGTATCAACTCCATTTTTTCCGGGATAGGTATTATAAAAAATATCTCATGTATATCAAGTAATGCTGCCTCAAGCTAGACAGAAAAAAAGTATAAGAAAAAGTTAAATTAACAGTTAAAGGTGACATCACAGATATTTTTCAATGAATGAAACTGGTTAATTCTGTGTAGAAATGCATATTTTTCTGCAACAACTGGGCTGATAGAGACATTGTGTCTGGATAAACCTGTCTATAGCTCAAACAAGTGAGCAGAGAAGACTTCCTACTACAATTTTGCAAGTTATTTATATGTTTTAATTAGTTCTGGCACTGTTTACAAATGGTATTAAATAATCAAGTTTATCAGGTAACTCAATGAAAAATTAGGGGGTCACTTTAAAAGAGTTATGCAACCCTTTAAATTGTTTTCAAATGATTCAATACTTTGAAGCAAGGGAAATAGACTATATCTTCATATCTAAGGTTTGATTCACATACTTAACCCACTTTTCTAGGGAGAAATGGAAAATACAAAATGACTAAACTACTGTACGTATGATCAGCCCCAAAATATTGTCGAGTAGTTAGTGTTTACATCACAGTCTTTGTTTTCCTTGTTGTTTATTTTGTTACCCCATTCTGTATATGTATGCTTGTTTCTCTACTGTCTCAATCATTACATGACGAAGAATAGAGAAGCCTGGTTGAAACATCAGTATTTATTTATTTTTAGGGACAGACTGTGAAAACTGGTAAGTTTCTTTCAAGTAATTAAAATAGTATTGTAAAGTTTGAAAATTCGGCATATATAGAATGATTAATACCTGAGCTATAATTCTCTCTAGAAGATTTCTATCCTGATTTGAAAATGTTCCTGTTTTAATTGGAGTCTCAGACTGAAAACTGAAAGCAAATTCTCTTGTATCCTGTGAAAAAAAAAAAGAAAAACAGATCACCATTTATAGAAATGAAATGAAATGGGGTTTAACGTCCTACTTTTCTGGACTGACTGGATTAATGAAGCTTTCTTGGCCAACACTAGGAAGGAACCTGCTACCGCCAGTTTAGCAAGCCAGCGTCTTACTCACTGAGCTGCTACGACTTCCTCATCAATTATTAAGTCAAAAATATAACAATTAAATAAAAGCATCAATATACCATACTACACTCTAAATGATAATGCACGATAATGGTTACGCAAATTGAACTATCGGTTACGTTAACAAATTTCATTAACAGATTTATTCAAATTTGATCAATTTTTATACAGGATGACTTGTGACACAGGTCTAAATTATTTGTATTATAGCACAAACTCCATTCATTCATTCTTGGCATTTCATTTCTCCATCTTACCGGTACTTTGACAGATCACATATTTTGACACCACGTACTCGTAGCCTGTTGACCAGTTGCAAGCAGGTTGATTTAAAAATGCCCCTCACCCCTAATTCTTTAAATGATTAGTTATGCCATAAATATTTGAAAGCGTACCTTTGGATTTTCAAACACAAAATGAGAAATGAGTTTAACATGTCGGCTATATTTCCAAAGAATTTTCTATACGTGTTCCTTTCAGTTTTCACTATAGCCATGCTGTAGTACCAATGACCCGTATGTATGTCGTCAACTTTGACCCCCTCCCCGGCATTGCTCGAGCGATAATGTAAACGATTTTACTGCCCTGTCTATTTTAATATTATTTCATGACATCAAACTATTCTGTTTCCTTTTGAGACTTTGTGTATAGAGTGCCGAGGTTTATAAATCAATCAGTCGCTTCCTATGAGTGAGGCTATCTCATGCTACGTGCTTGGATGAATGATTGCATGTGACAAGTGTAATATGAAGTGCGCATGTAGTCTTCAGTGACCGAAAACAATGTGGTAGCTACCATTCCTGGTTTTTAAAAGTCAGATATGATACAAAAACGAAAATCCAGTAGTAATTTTTAGAACCGATTCCCCTCATTATTAAAATGCATAGGGATTTAGTGAAGTGAAACATTTTTTTTCTAACGTTTTATTTTTTAAATGGGGACACAGTGGGATTTAAGTCATAAACACTTAACCTCAAAATATAATATTAAATATAAAAGAATATAAATTAGTCAAGTTATTTCTTTAAAAAATACATTCACTGCAAGTGGAAATGAATAATAGCACCATTTAAATCTGGATAAAACATGAAAACAGCACAATCATTTTATGCAACCAATTGGTTACGCAATGGTCATCTGACGTAACCAAAGAAAATGGTTACGCATAGCATAAACCCGCAACCATTTTTCTGGTTACGCCAAAATTTGAAATTTCGTGGCCTGAAGTGTGCCATGCAACAGGCAGTGTATGCTTACTTTTCTCATAACACCAGATACCACTTTTCATTTATCAAAGAAGTTTGCAGATCCATCATTTATACTGCACCACTGTAGATGTATATAAATCATACTTACTCGAATAGTCTTAATCAACTCTTGAACTTTTTCTGAATGAAATAATCTTCTAGTTAGAAAACCTTTAGCTAATGCTGTCACCTTATAAAATTTCAACTGAGTTTCAACATCATTTAACTGAAAAATAGATTTTAGATAATAATGTTCATGCATTTATTTCGAACTTGATACTTCCATGAATGAGAATGAATTAATGGAAAAGACTTTCTGGTGCTTCTAATTATGATGGAATAAGATATGGGTATATATGCTCACATTTCATTTTTTCTGCAATCAAATCGACCAGAAAGACTATATATTATGTTAACTCATTCCATTGTGTATGTACATGTGATCCATACAATCAAAGCTGGGGATTGTGGTAGACGACTGGTACTAATAGGAACCTTTGTGGATTTTTTAAGTCTGCAGTTTGGGCATAATTTGCCCCTTGTAATGCACACATATCCAAAGAAATTAAATTTATCATACAATAAAATTAAAGAATCCCCGCCAAACAGAGTACACGAACAGACTTGTAGAGTTAAAGGATCGTTTAATAATTCAACGTTTCGGGTTCAGTACCCTTTATTATTGTGCTGACGAGACTTCCAAACCCTTTCCATTCAAAACCATACAATATAATCAGACCAGAACCATTGCAGTTATACACTTTACAAGATAAAATAAAATTTTAAAAACAGTACTTACATCTGGTGGAAGTCTAATTGGATATTTTGGTATATTTATTGATTGTGATTTGACAGGAGATCGTACTACAGGACGGAAAACTTTAGGACTAGGTGTAGAAGTCTGTGGATATATCAGATTCTGTTTTGGTGTATTTTTGTTTGTACCGGTAGATCTATTTTGTCGGCCATTCAGATACAGACTTGAACTAGACAAAAAGGAGGAATCTTTGATTTCTTGTTCATAATCACTAATATTAGAAGGTTGATGTCTTGATTTGGGTTTTTTAACCAGAACTTGTTCATCTATTATTTTTTGTTGTTGCTGGTGGTTGCTTATTTCTGATTGGAGATTAATTTGTTCGCGTCTCTGATGAACAAACAGTTCCTCTAATTCGCTTCTCTGTTGTTCCAATAATCCATTTTTCAAAGTTTCAAAATATTCTTTGTGTAATGAGAAAGCTTCTTCTTCTGATAAATTGGATGTTTCTTGAATTTTTTTCAAAAATAACTCAGCCTCAGTGCCCGTGAGTGACGGATATTGTTCTTTTGTTATTGAGACAGTTGTTTTTGGATGTGAACTTTCATTTTGATTGTGTTTTTGTACCTGGTTTAGATATTTATTGATATGCTCTACCTTTCCGACTGACTCAGGTCCTGGGGGAATTGGTAGACTAATGGGCCTGGTATCTTCAAGGTCATCCTCATAATCCAGTTTTCGTTGTATAGGTTTATTGATGCTAGTATCTGCGATCGTCGCAACTGGATTAACCACCGATTCAACTCCTACAACCGTTCCTCCATTTTGTTCTATTCTAGACTGAGCTTGTATTAAAACAGGAGAGGGGGTTTCTAATGTATAAGATCCCCTTCTAACATGCCCCTTTCTACCAACATGAGAAATACCTCCATTAACGAGATTGCTTTCGCTACTCTCTAAAACAGAAACAGATTCTGATTTTCTACAGTCATTATCTGGTGAACTCTCCAACGTTCCTTCTAAATGCCTCATATATTTATACAAATTAGAACTTCCTGTACTGCTTCCAACAATTTTAGATTCTTGTTCAGCCTTTAACGTACTTCCTGAATCTGAAGTTCTGAGAGAAAAATCAGACTTTGCCGATATTTGAGAATCGGTTGTATTTGTGAATTGTCTTTGACTTGCACTTGATGAGCTAATGCCTATAGTATCGTTAGTATTTAATGTACTGTTATTTTGACTATATGTGTCTGATGATACTGTTGTAGCTGTTTGCGACAAGGGTCCAGAGGACTGCACTGAGAGCATATTTGAGTCATCAGTGTTCATCAGTTCAGTAGTTTGACTAGAATTAAGTTGAGATGTGCGGCCAAGTTCACTCCCTGACTGAGCCGATGTAGAAGTACTTTGTGATTGATACATTGATTGGTTAGAATTTCTTGACCTGTTTGATCTCAAGCTGCTGCTTCGCCTGATGTTTGATTGTGAAAATTTTTTCTCCGAAACATCAGAGTCGGTTTCAGAATCTTTCCTAGATTTGAGTTTTGGCGAAGCACAGCTTTTTGGCTTGTTGGTTGGTTTGACTTTTTCGTCTTCTGTTACTTCTGCTTTACTTGGGGATTCTCTGTATGATTGAAAAGGGATGTCAATGACTGCATCAGGGGAGGGGGTGGGAACATCTTCTTCGGGACTCAAAATCACCTGACTCAATAGACTATGGCTTTTGGAATCTGATTCGGGAGATTCCTTTTTCTCTTTTGGTTTTAATTTGGGTTTGATAGGAGAATTTTCGGGTTTTGTTTCTTCTAATCTCTTTACGGTAATATTGTCTTCAACAGACCGATTTGTGTTCAAAACTTTAACAAATTCAGAAAAATGCACAGTATTTTTAAGGGATTTGGGACTACCTCTGGCTCTTTCTGAAGCAGACGTGTTAGCAGAACTGACAGCTGATGATTCGCCACTAATATATCCACGCGAGGGAGAATCTTTATTCAATGCACTTTCGTCAGAACATTCAATATTAATTGCAGATGGCTTATTTTTACGAGTGTCTCTTAAAACCTCCACAACAGTGTCCTGACTATCTCTAAAACCACTAGAACTATCTTCCGATCCTGCATCGGGAACACGACCAGCTGTTAAAGTTGAATCGGATGGATTTTCATTTGCTTCACTTCCCCCTGTAGAACCTAATGTGTCTTTTAGATTCAGTTGTTTTGAAAGTTTTTGAAGAACACGAGATATCTGTTTTTCATGCACAGAGGTACAAGGTAGACCATAAAAATCGGTTGGCAATGAACCATCTTCTAAAGACATAAGTCCTGAAGAAAGTGAATCTAGGGTTTCTTTAAATTGTGTGTTTTCACTGATGCCTTGAGTTGGATCACTAGGTGGTTTGTCCTCGACTTTCGGTGTAGTTTTACTAACTTCAGTATTCCCGTCTTTAACCCTGACACTTTCAGATGCCTAAAAAATATTTATTAATAACAGTGTTAATTAATGAACAATCATATTTTCAGGCAGGGGCTAATTTGTTTTTCTTTACTTCACATATCTATGTACATCATCATGACAATTGTAAGGAGCTGTGAGCTGTTCACTACTAAAGAGCTCTATATACATGTAGTGATGTCTGGTGAGTTGTATGAGAATTATCTTCAAGACATGAGTACGAACATTCAATCAAAAGCCCAAAGTCTTAGAATGCTTTGTGAACTTGGAGGCAAGACACGCTACATAAACACTTCAGACACAATGGCTGATGCTCGGTAATAACTAACTTATTTAATTAGAGGGTCAAGCACAGACTCAAATATATCTAAGGGAACATATCTTTAATTATACGAATTTAATTAATATTATCATACAAACCTGTGTATTTTTAACAACTCGTTCTGCTCTAGCCATTAAACGTTCTCTTTGTTTAGCTTTTAATTTGTTTTCTACAAGTACAGCTTGATGCTTATAGCTCATCATTTCATCTTTCTTCTTCCCTGTCAGCTTAAAAACAAAATAACTTTACTTAAAAGATGAACATCTGTAAGCTTTGTAATTATCATCTAACTTTAATGTTGTTTTAACCAAAAATCTGTGACAAATATTCTGAAACCAGAGCTCTGATCCTGAAAGTGTAAGACATCTACAAATGAGAAGTTAGAAAATACAATATACCATGATTAGAACTATCAGTTGAATTACTGTACATATAATACTTACTACTGGTGGTAATATTGGTATCCCATTAAAACGGATACATGAGACATACTGACATGCAGCCGCCATCTTCACAATAGTCTCTTCCCGACTGTCAAGATTACGACTTTGTCTTTCAATATATTTCATTAAATTATCATCCATAGTAAATAGTTACAGCTGATATTTCTTTTAATCTGTAAATATAGAAATGAGGTCAAATAAAAGAAATATAAATATGAATATAAACAAGATAATTACAATCATTTAATATTTTTTTTAAAGATTTTCCATGTGGCTGCTGGAAGTTGTACCTGTAATTATGTACAGTGGGCTACAAAGTTTTTCTTACCCCTACAAAATCTTCAGTACAATCGTAATTTATAAAAAATGTCATTTTTGCACTAAAACTTTCATAGAATCTACATGTTTATACTCTCTTAAAATAACATGATCAGTTGAACATAACACTAAAAGTTTTTGTTTCAAAGTTTTTATTTGCATAACATTTTTGACTATCTAGTCACTATGAGAACATAGTGTACATGTACATGTTAGTTGCCCTACATTTGTATGTCCCAACAACAGAGGTAAATAAGTTTATTTACATTGGGCAAGATAATGTGTCACTCTGACATGTGTGTCATAGACTGACTAACTGTTCAAGAAAATCTCTGATAACAAACCATACGCTGTACTTTGAATTTTCAAAAACAAGATAATTGTGCCAAATTTATTTTATTTTTTGAATTCGTACATAATTGTCTCAATTTTATTTTTTTAATCTGTGCACTCATACAGATAGCTTTTTCCTATATTTTAGCATAACTCTAATTAATATGTTGGTCTATTTGGATTTCAATAAATTTAGTTACCTGATTTCTAACTAATAATAATGTTATAACTTAAAAATATCAAGTTGTTATATTTAGAAATATAATAATATATCATGATGAGAACACTACGCCCAAACAATATTAGTCAAAAAGGTTGCTGTGCGTTATAAACAAACATTGAACTATCCTGGCTCAATGCCAGTTAAGACATAACATTAATATTAATGACAATATTGGTTCTTTCGGTTGATTAACTGCAAGATGACCATTAATATGTAATCAAGTGAACCTACTGTAACTACATGTACATGTACTTGACATGCTTTACTTAGGATAGCATATTCAATTTCAGTTCAGAATTTTGTCAAATATGACAGCTTTTCTTTAGATATTGTAGATCTTTAATGTTTTATAAGAAAAAAAAATATAAGCTTACAGAAAAACCTGAAATATCCAATTACACACAATACATAATAAATTTGGATCCATAATGTTCAAGTTATTCATTCTGTGCACATAGCACACATAGCTGTATGTCTAATCTGACACTGAAGCAGACAAAACAGTTTTTTTGTGAATTCTGTTAGCACTAACTTAGCACTGCCTGGAGATTGGTGACAGTTTGTCTATAAATATCTTAAATTTTAACAAAGTTGCATTTTGCATGTGAATGTCATGAGAAGCTTTTTTAGATGCATTCCTAAAAACATAATTTCTAAATTCTAATCTAAGGTTAGATAACAACCACAATTCCTCATAAAATATTACTATTTAGTATTTACTAATTATATTTGTACTAGGCCTACTGGCTCATAAAATATTACTATTTTATTTACTAATAGTAATTTTGATTGAGAAACTATTTAGATAATAAATTCAGGAGAATGACTGGAATGATAATGCACTTTATCGTATTTATTTAAGTGTTTACAAATTTTAGGGGAATTAACTAATCATTGAAGTACTAGTCTAGATTCTGTATATTTTTCTTCAAGTGATGTGATGTAGGCCTACATAACGTAGAAATTGTACTGCTATTCTCAAGATGATCTAAAAAAAAATATACAATAGGAAATACACATGAGAGGCTGGGCCAGGATCCTGAGTACTGGTCATAAAATCATAAAAAGAAAAAAAAAGAAAAAACAAAACAAAGCAAAGTCATCATTATACAATATCCGTGTCCCAACCAACACAACTATAAAATAAAAGTCACTGGGTAATTAATAATAGTTACCAATTTTTCACCCAATCATGTTGGACGGACCAAGTAGCTGGAATCTGAAAAGAAAGGCAAGTCGTTGAAAAACAAACCCGCGTCGACAGAAAAATGTGTCACCCCAGAATGAGAAATTCATGCCCATACTTGAAATATTGCTAATGAACATTTGGGCAGAAACGTCGTAGTATATATACTGTAACTTAAAACGACGAAATCTTACCCCATGATACATTATTATATCTGGAAAATCTCTAGTAATAACAGGTAAATTGTTCGTAAATAAATTGTTAGTCAAGTCAATTTTACTCAAATTGTCACCGCCATTTTGAAACAAATCGAAGTTGACCCCGTGTGACCGGAATAATTGCCATCCCATTGGCTGATATAAATAAATTGACTAATGGAATTAGTTGTTACAAATTGCAAAGGAAGTATTCAATAACAAAAATAAACAAGTACATATCACATGACCATGTGTAAAGTCACATGACACAGACGATATTGAATGAGTCAGTAATTTCAACCCGATTTCCAGTTCTGTTATTAGTACCGGTAATGTTAAGCCAATCAAAGTACCAATCTATTTCTCCATTATTTGTTCCATATTGAACATTTCCGATCTCGGATTATTTAAGGTATTACTATTAGAGAGGTAACTATGTCATAATTTTTGCCAGGAAATCACAGAGTAACAGTACAACAGTCACTGAGTCAGTATTGTATTTTGTTGTTCAGTGTAAATCAAAAATCATTTTATATTTATTATATCTGACTGAATCATTTTTTTTTTTTTTCATTTTGCAACGTGTTTACATTGTTATTCCCATGTCTTTTGAGTGGGGTCAATCTATGGGCATAGTGCTTGGTTAATTAGGAAAGCTACATGTATGTAGCTCTTATCACCCTATAAATTATAATAAGATCCATGCCACAATTGAATGCGAGCTGTTTCGTAATTTAGCTGTGCATGCCCCCACAATTGCATGCCCGGTATAAAGAACAAACCAATTTATAATCAGTCGCAGTTATATGGTTTCAGGAATATCTGTCATGTTTTCTGGAATTTAATTCATGTCTTTGTGCATGAATTTATTTTTTTACATTTCAAAAAGGACATTTGTCTAAATTTATTCCTATCCCAATTAGCATATTAACATGTTGTACATTGTACATGTATAACTTACTGATACATACATTTGTTATGTTTATATTCATTCATGTGACAGTACTGTATGTATTCATTGCCTGATATAGGGCTACATGTATCTGTTACATTTTTGCTTTTTCAGATGTCATAAAAAGCACAAAAAGATGAATGCCATTATCAACTTGTGTCATTTTTGTGAAATTCATGGACCAAGGATTGTATATTGTACACAACCATTACGGCCACAAGAACCCAAATATCTGTCAGAATGTGAAGACGATGAAACACGTCGTGTTAAGTCACCATCTGTCAGTTCTGTGTCATCTGATTTCTCCAACATTTCACAAAGTGGCATCCCATCTCTACCTAGTATGAAAAATGATATTTGTGAGGTGAGATAAAAATGTAATTATATTATATATTAGAGAGGTTTTACAACTTTATATTTACACTTACATTTACATTTAGACATACATAGTTTGTACATACCGGTACATGTAACCAACAACAATTTGAATTTTTGTTCTCTAGAAACACCTATTAAACTTTTTCTTCCTTAGGTGAAAAAAATAATTTAAAAAATAAAATTAATACTTGGTTGCCCTTCTTAAAAGCATTTAGTTCACTTTTGAAATTTTGAAATTGTAAACAAAACTTTGTTTGGGACACTTGAGTGGCAGTTTAATTATCAATACCCCAAAGAACCACCAATTAAATTGATTTAGCATATGGAATACCAATGGGGACAGAGACATTCAAGATGTATGACCATCTAAGGTCATTTTTATTGTTAGGCCATATAAAAATAATATTCTTGTTCTCAGATATTACCAAACGTGTAACAGTTTTTCTTTTGTGTATATTTTAGGGTTGTTACTCCGTGAAGAAAGGATTTGTTAGTCATGATGAAGGAGGACAAGTTAGTTATGTCAGTACACAGCATCCATACAATCCACAAGTCTTCAGTCGTATTAGACAAGCCTGTATTAGAAGTTTAAGTTGTGAGGTATAAATGTCTTTCACTATGTGTAGTCCAGTATCAAGTTTATATATAGTAAATTGAATGTTCTGTGGCCTGGCTCTTCGCAGACCAATAAAACGTTTTGTTTGTCTTGGCTACCAGATCCAGTTTTATTATTAGAATAGCTATTATAGAAATGGGCTGATGACCATAGTTGCCCGTAAGTAAAGGGTTAACAAATATTAGACGGAAATATAAAAATATTTTAGAACAAACTTAAAGCATACATTCTGGTTATTGTTGTTCTTAACCTGGAGGTCTCGGGTTTGCTCCCGGTGTTGACCGAGAAAGTTACTGTGGATTGTCAGACACGATTTAACCTTGTTAATGGCGCAGGACACAGGGCCTGGCTGGCAAGGATAGTGTCTAGTCATTTGGATGGCACAAAAAATCGAGGTCCCATGTACAGATTGGCGTGCATGTAATAGAACCCTTGACAGTTGGAATTCAATATAAGAGTAGGCTGTAGCTCCGCTGTCTGGATAAAATTTCCATAGCAAACTGTTTGACATATTCCTGTCTTCATAGGCCAAGTTGTTGCAGAAAAGTAGGACATTTAACCCCATTTGATTTCACTGTATCATTGTTCTTGCATTTAAATTTTCTTTGTATATTTACTACAGGTGTGTCCAGGAAGAGAAGGTCCTATATTTTTTGGAGATGAACAATATGGCCATGTGCTAAGTTACACGTTTTATATTAAAGACAGTAAAGCTCGTGGTCTACGCAGATATTACAGTATTCTCGTTGTCATGATGGACAAAATATATTTGTTAAATTCATGGCCGTTTTTGGTACCAAATTTACAAGTTGTCATAAACAATCTTCAGAGTAAGGCAGAAAATGTTCATGATGGCGAAGTCAGTAAAAGACCACCGAGTGATCGTGTTTTTACCCCATCTTTAAATCCTGGTAATTTGCTGCATCATCGAAGTAGTACAAAACCAGCTCGATCTCTCATAGAATTAACTAATGATAAACATGTATTTGAATTGTTACATTTGGCGTTTGTGTGGATATTGAAATCTTGTGGAAATAGAATAACAGAATCTATATTAGAAGGACCTCCAACTGAAGATTCTATAATAGATATGGAGAAAATAGAAGGTAAATACTGATTTTCTACAATTTCCATAATGTATGATTTATTCCTACTGTACATATGTAAATCGGTATTAGAATTCGTAAATTTGCACCCCAAAGCATACAAAACTTTTTTTGACGTCACATTTTAATTCGACAAGCAGTCATTGAAACCATTTTAATTTGACTGTCTGGAAATTGGAAACAGTTTGTCTATAAATATGTTCACAAACTAGCACTTTGTGAGTGAATGTTCCAACAAGTTGCAGTAAGATGCACAGAAATTCGGCATGTCATACATGTTATAAACAAGAACGATCATATATTTTCAAGAATATGTTAGAATATGTACCGTTTATTACTTTACCTGGAATGTTAATACATGTACATGTACCTACCAAAATTGTAATGCAATACATGTATATTGTACATGTATGAATACAGCCAAGAATATTGCAGTTTGTATTGCAGTATTCAGCAAAATCCATTTACAGTCATCAATGAGAATAATTAGTACAAGAATTTGTTAAAATACAATTTTGGAATTAGAATGCTTGGCTGTAATCATATAGCAAACTAGAGAGAGAGAGAAATGGGGTTTAACGTCCACTCTACACAAACTAGGTCATTTCGGGACTAACACATGGTTCAATTTTATTTCAATAATTCACTTGTGTGTAGGGGTCTGTAGCAGTGGGAGGAAACCAGAGGACCCGGACGAAACCCACAAGGTTGGACAGGCGACCCTACACCTTGTAGCACCATGGGCCTTTCTGTCTGACATGGAAAGCGGGGATACTAAAAACCAGTCTCCACATCCTACATACGACCCATGCATCTTTTCTTACTACATATTTCTGTAGCCTTGTGATTGTCTAGAATTTGTCTCTAGCTGTCTTTGCTTCTCCTTCATGTTGTGTGTTTGCTTCTTACTGGTTTCTTAAGACGTTTGTCTTCTCAGTTATAACAATAACAATGCAACAGTTCGTTTTTACATTTTATATAGCATAGCCGAATACATGTACTGTATACAAGCATAGCACAGATTACAATACTAGCTAAAACCATTTCTCCACCCTAGCCAGCCTCGCGGCTGTCTAGGAACTCAGATAAAACCTCTCTGGAATCTAATGGAAGTCTGCTTGAAAGTTTCAAATAGATATCTTATATATATAGCACTCACGTATATCACGCATAACAGAGCGTGTTCATGGCCCTGAACTTGTATAATTAACAAAATGATTGGTTAAATTAAACCCAATGATGCAATAGTACTTTTCCTTGCACATGTGCTCTCTGTGGTATTTTATAGACACATGTTTTGGCTAAATAACTCTTTTTTATATAACAATATGTCATTTATACTCTAAGTTGATTTAAGTACACACTATATATAATATATATGTGAATATGTGTGAAACTATTAATTTGCCAAATATATTAATTAATGAAATATAAAGTCATTTTATTTCTCTATTCTTTGTCTATAAATTTAAAAACAAAGTCGCCACGACTATATTGCTACACCTTGTCACATACAACCAGGGAATCGAAACCACACCGGTTGACTCAATGACAGACCTTATGATACAGCGCGGACATGCTAACCACTCGGCCATCCAACCCCCTTTATAGCAAACTAGTACACGTAAATGTCTATAATGACCCTATAATCACCCACATTTTAATGCTATTCTTTACATGTTCATGAATATTAATGAATTAAATTTGTAAAATATATTATTTTATACAATTATTTCTTTAAAAACCACAATAAAATAGTCTACATGTATTTATTTGAAAATAAAGTGATTGTAGAGTGAAAATATTGATGTGCCATCAGCCATATTCCATTTTGCAATATGTATTGAAGATCTGTACTGAAATACGTGTATGTATATCTTTTTCGAAACAACACTACAACTATGAATATAATATTTTTGATTACAGAAACTGAAGAAGGATTTATAAAAGTATTTAAGAAAGAAGAAGAGGAAGATATAGAAACTTTTGAATCTGTTACTGAAACTGATAATAATGATTTAGATCAGACAGATTCAGGTGTTCCATTAATTAGAAACATAAGACATTTATGTCAGGTAAAGTATACCTTTATAACTATAGGCCTATACCCTGTTTTACCTGTCCAAAACATATTTCAATATCCTTTGAAAAGAAGAACAAAACTTGTTAGCTATATATACATATTTGTGAACAAAGTTGTATCAATTGTTCTAGAAAGAATCTGCATATCCATGGTTTTCATTATGTAAATGAAGTGCCAAAATGGGATGATACATACAGCCTATTTATATTGTCTGAAAATTTCAAACCAAAAAGTTGGTTCGGAAATGATCACTAAATTTTCTCGTAACTTATTTAAGGAATTTGATTCTTCAAGTGTTGGAGTAACTTGAAAATCACAATGATCACATACAGTACTGCTATAACTTCGGCAATTATATAGACGTGCTTAGCCAGACACTTAAACACTTTCCAGAAATTTGGGGACATATTTGTAAATGTATGGCCAACACCAAATGAAAACCGAAAGTTTCTATTCCTTCAGAAAAGTCTGACTTCAAATAGTTGCATAAGAGCAGCATCCCGGTTCGCAAGAGATTTTCACCTCACATTAATAAGTATTCAATAAAATATATCTGGAACATCATCTTCAATACTAAACTCCACCTCTGCTAATGATCAAGACACTGAACTACAAAACATTTTTTTCCAGTTAACTCAAGTTTTACTCAAATATCAATCTAAAGTGCACAGCCGCACATGTTAAACCGCTCTATGTGCTAGTTTTCCTGGGTATATTGTGCACCATCTATACCCAATCCAAAAGATATGTTGTATCCATTGTAGTTAAAGGCACATGTAGCTTGAGATTCAAGTCTTAGTAAAGTTACCATGTCATGTCAATTTTGAAGTTATCTCCCCTGACACATCAGGCTTAGATCGATCTCTCTCTCTCTCTCTCTCTCTCTCTTAAAGTCAACGGAGTATTGTTATTAGGAATAAATTGTTAATTTTATTTTTCTGAATAATTTCAGATATTAGGAATACACAATTTTCATATTCTATGTTACCATGTTGTTATTGGTAACCAGGTAATAGTGACAGGAGTGCAGAAAGCTCTGGTGAAATCTGTATTATCGGCTTTAACGGTAAGTTTTAACGCCATTATACCTCATTGATTTTGGTAAAAAATAATAGTGTGGATTTAATTAAATGTGACATGTTGAATTGTTTTGTATAGAGTGGGTATCTGTATACATTTGAAATTTTAGGTCTACAGATGAAGCCAATGTTGAGATATAACTGATTTTGTTTTCCACTGTCAACTGTGTTTGCCAAAAAAAAACCTAAAATTAGTAAAGAAACGCTTAATATTTCAAATCTAGAATTCAATCGTATAGATTATGTCCTATCACTTATCAGTGAAATCAACATAACTCAACACTTTATTTTGAACTAAATCAAAGAGGTTAAAGATACATTCTCACAAAAGTATTTATCGAGTGGTTATTTCCAATAAACGTATTACAAATTTGGTATAAATGGAAAGTATAGATGCCCAATCTTACTAGAAAAATAATGGATTACCCAACAAAAAACACCCATGGGATAAGCACTGGGCAAAAATGTCAGGTTATCACTAACTGGCAACCCGACACAATTATTTGGCAGAAAATAATTCAAGAATTTACTTAGACCTCAATATGTATGGTAAATGGACAGTGAGTAGTGACAAATACATTCTGAAAAATGGGCCCTCCCTCAATCAAATTAGGTGACAAACGTGGCTTATAAATTTATATTTTTTGTAGCTCAAGGTATCTCCACATGAATACAAAGCTTTGAAAGGGATTTGAAGCAAATTTTTGATAGATTAATTAATTTGAATATTTTTTTAGTCCAAATATATCATCAAATCACACAGTTTGTATGCGGGAAGGTATCTTTAAACGCTTTTAAATTGGATTTTTAAATTAAGAATTTTTTTCACTAACTTTGCCCAAGTCAACAAACTCACATCCGCTTAATATTTTTCGAAACGAAAATTAAATCATATAGATTTTGTCCAATCAATGGTCAGATCAACTGAATTCAACCTAAATCAAATCAGTTAAAACTCCTTTAAATTAGATTTTTAAATTTATATTTTTTTTTTAACAAACTTTGCCAATATCAATATTTGCAGAGCACATACAATTTTGAAAACTCATCAAAGTATATTTTACAAAATGAACAAAACATTTAATTATTTTCTTTTTACGATAAATATCAGATTATTAATATTTTTTGACAGCTTGGATGGGGTATTTTTGGTCAAACATGTGGGAATGTATGTTTATTTAGTAAGATATTAAAGTTTGTTCAATGAAATTCTACACTTTTTTCAGTCAATATTAAATTATCTTTTTTCTATATTACAGATATTATTGCCTAAAGGATGCTGTCGTGTTATAAATTACAGTGACTCATATCAAGAGTCATGGAAATGTAATTTTCTTGGACTGTCACCGGATGTGTCACTACCAATACATGTCATGGCATCTGAGAAATTTGTCTTATTAGAGGTTATCCAGAATGATCAATTAGATGGGAGCCAGTTTGACTCAATGGATTCCGACCTTGATGACAATTTTAAAACATATGAGTTTAAAATGAGCAGTCCTGTAATCTTAAATGAAAAAGGTAATTTTTAATGTTAATGATCTTTCCATTTTTGAGTAGAAAATTTCTTTAGTGCTTTCATAAATGTTCAAATTCAATTAATTTTTTTAAGGCTATTCGATTTGATTTTTAGGTATTCATTATTTTATCCCATTTCCAACTTATGAATTTTGATCAATGAAATTAACTCATTCAAAACTAAATAAACAGACATAGGAGATGCATCAAAATAATTAAATAAATTGATTATATGAATTGAATTGAATATGCTATTACAAATTGAATAATGACTAAGAAGATTCAAATAGTAATAACAGTATTTGATGTGACCACTAGTTGTAGTACACAGTGTCAAGTCATATGGTAGGTCAGAGCTTTAACTACATGTACTGTGATTTACTCATTCACTACATGAGAGGCTAGGGTACTTCCCAAGTATATCACAAAAGTCAAACATACTATTTATACTATTTAAATGTAAGGACTGTTGTTAATATGTAACTTAGCACTTCCAAGTATTAAACATTTAAACTCCTTCATAAAGATATTAGGTGTATTATTTTATTTATCTACTACACATAAATATGGTGGTATGAAATCAATAAAGATCAACATAAATTTTAGATAGCCATAATCAAAGTTAAAATTGATTGATTTGAATAATTATTATTTTGTTTGTTTAAGACACTTAAAGATACATGTAGCAATGTCAAATCGGTAGAAACCATTGTAAACTTGAAATAGCCAGAACAATTTTTTTAATATAAGTACTTTTGATTGGGTATAGCCATAACACTCAGCATTTAACCTTTATTCTGGCATGTGGGGGCTTTAATTATAAATCAAATCACCTGGAAAAGATACCATCATTCCCTCTTTTACCATGTGTAATCCTGTAATGTTTTTGCGGACAATGAGTCAGTCTGATTGTATTGAAGCAATAGATTATCCAGTAGACATGTAAATACTAACATACAATATATATATTTTTACAGCACCAACAGTTTTAACTAAAATGGAAAGTTCTATACAGAATAAAAATCTAAGTGATAGTGTATTAGAACAATGTTTTATTTGCATGAAAGAAGAATGGATGAAGTAAGTAAAAAGATATTTCTTTATTCGTTCAAAATACTTGATAGTTGTCGTGGTGGTGGTGTATGAGTGCTCTAAAGTATTGAGTCCAATCAAGTATTTCTATGTGGCAAGGAATCTCTTGGATTTTCTATTTCTCTCTCTACCTGTGTTTATATAGATATGTCTAATCTCAATCCATGCTAAAATGATTAAGAAAACATAACTATAATAACATCAGTAGATAATCTCACAGATTGGATTCAATCAGGTTATAAGGAGATCCATCAAAAGATTTTACTCAACATTTATACGTGCCGCTGGCTTGTTCATAACATCTACAAAAAAAATCTGAATGTTGTGAAGTTTTCAGTTCATCATATCTTTGTAAATACTAAATGGAATCTATCTGTCTTTGGACTGATATTCCTTTTAGAGATTCAACTTTCACAATATTGTAGCTTACAAGGTATTCAAAATCTCTCAAAAGACGATCAATGGCTTTAAAGGCCCATTTTATTTGTTTTTACAGTAAAGTGAAAGTAGTGTTAATTGTTTTTTTATTTGTTTTACAGTAAAGTGAAAGTAGTGTTTAATGTTTTATATTTGTTTTACAGTAAAGTAAAGTGAAAGTAGTGTTTAATGTTTTATATTTGTTTTACAGTAAAGTGAAAGTTGTTTTATGTTTAAATTTGTTTTTACAGTAAAGTGAAAGTAGTGTTCAAGTTTACCAAAGCTGGGGGTAACAGATCAAAAGAGGATACAGAGAAGTTATTACAAGTGATGGGAGCTAAAGGTGAAGAACAATTGTTAAAGTTTTGGATGACAGGCCTCAGTTCACAATATAGGACACATATTTTATCATCACATAAAGGTTCTAACTCAAAGAGTTAATAAACTTCATGCTACCATTTTCTATTTATTTTGTTCTTCGAATGGGATGCTTTAACTGAAAAGACTTAAACAGGCATTATGTAAGAGCTAAATCTGCCTATTGCAGGTCTTTCGTTGGATTACATAAGACCATAATCAACTCTCAATGCCATCGAATGCCTCCAATTTTAAGTAGATTAGAACAATCAGTGCACGATCGTGTGAAAACTACAAACATTGATAACGTTGCTCAAAATAAAGTAATTTGAATGAAATTTTCAATATATTCATTATGCATTATATTATGAAATATTATAGCGAGAGCGGCCAGCTCATTATCTAAATCTTACATAATGCCCCTTTAAACCAAATTAAAATGTTGCAGAAGTGATTTCACAATTACCAGTGCACTGGGATTTCAGTGATTGACAGGATTCACATTTTGACAATATTAGCTATTTATTAATTGAGCCAAATACATTGAAATTTGAACACTGACAAGTTATTTAAAGTAGCTAAGTCTTTAACTCAATATCATCCAAAATCTTCAACATTGAAAACACAAATTATTTGTCAATTTAAATCAACATTGATGCTGTGATCTTACCGGAAAAAGATGGGCTTCTGATATCCAATGTTTAAGACAAAATAAACATTTTGCCATTGGTACACGAATCGTGTACCATAATGCGTTTCAGCCCCAGTTCTAGCAAGAGACTCGAGGAACGAGGCTAGACATATTGCACCAAACCAAACGGCGTATGTAGACTGGAATAACCAGGCGCTAAAAATTTGCATTCGATTGAGACTTCGGGCTTATTTCGCGGAACATAACTGATTTGAAATTAGAGTAAAAACGGAAACCATTGAATGTATATCAGTTTATATACATTCATATTACAGTATTATATGAGTTGCGACCCACTTGTGTCAATTTCTAGGTTCTAAATGTTAGCGATTTAGCTCCTTTAAATCCAAATTTTCACATTTCTGTGATTTTGGAGATAAACTATAATTAACAAGTATATGACACACAGCAGGAGGACATTCTATCTCTCAGTTATATTATAGGGCTATGTGTTAACTTAAAATGTATGTTTTAATAAACAGATTATATATTATAACCCAGCTGTGTATGAGATTTTTATTTTTTTCTAAAAGTAGAAGAAATTGTGTAAAATAGTTTAATGATAGAAGTTACAAATGATTAATTCTTTATTAATATAATAATTGAGTTTTACAGTCCTTTAGCTAGTAGTGTTAAGTTAGATATACTAGGAAATAGAGAATATAAACCACACGAAAAAAAAACCCAAAACAAAACAATTTTACAACTGACCCTATTTTCGGGGGACAAGTAACCATAAACACAGCAATTTGTTTTCCTTGATTTTACAGTTTCCGTTACAAAGCTGTCATAAATGTGTTCTGAAACATAAATGTAATAAGAAGAAATATAATTAAAGATACCTTCCTGTGTACAAACTGGGTGATTTGAAACTAATTGATTTATCAAAAATTTGCTCCAAATCCCTCTCAAAACATTGTATTCTCAAGGAAACACCCCAAGATATAAAAAAATCTATTTAAAGATGACATGTTTGTGTCACTGCCAAGCTGAAGAAGAATTCATCGCATATAAAAGAAGGATGTTCTCTTTTAATCGCTGTCCATTTACTGTAAATATTGACGCCTAAGTAAATTCTGTGATTTTCCCCTGCCCTGAGAATCTGTTGTACTTTTCAGTCTCTCACTTTTACCACGTCCACTCACAATCATGATTATCAACATATACATTAAGCGCTCCCTGATAAAATGAGGTCAGAGTCAGACAATCTTCGCGTGCATCCTTTGACATCACTCGAGCAGACATCCCTAATTGTCAGGCTGCCAATTAGTGACACCCTTACATTTTTGTCTTGTGGGCACTTGATTGATGTTTTTCAGGGAATCCAGTATTTTTCTAGTATGATTGGGTGTCTCTACTTTCCATATATACCAAAATTGCCATACTTTTATTGGAATTAACCACCCATAAATACTTTTGTGGGAATGTATCTTTAATGGTTTAATCCCATTAAACAAAATCTGAAGCAGGGATTGTTGGAGATAAATGGGTGGGGAGGGGAATAGTTGTTACAGAGATTTCTTTTGTAAATTCATCTTGTATAATATATTTTAAATATTTTATACAGTGTATGTATGATGTAAATAATGGAAATTGGTCTCTGTTATATACAGATTACCCTAAACACATGTATAAAAATTTCTGAGAAGATAAGATATTTATTGTATCAAGATGTCCATTAAGGACAGCAAGATATTTAAATTATAACGAAATTATAATCATTTGATTTTTATTTACTGGATAATCTCCATTTTTCTCAAAAGTTGGTTACTTTTAAACAGGTTTCTACTTTCAAAAAGCTAAAGAGCACTTCAATACTGATTAGCCCATATTCGACCTTCTCACAAGTAGGCTACAAATTTCTAAAGATTATCATGACTGATCTACTTTATTTTTAAGTTAACTAATTTGAGCTGGATATGAAAATATATACCTTTTTACCCTACATGTACCTTGCAATTTTTAAACATGTTTACATGTAATTGTTATACTTTGAATAAAATAAAAATCGTTCAAGTTTATAGAAGTTTGTTTTAAAAATTTATAAAGTGCCTGTATAAACATTAGATTATAAAAAGAAGTAGAATGTCACCATGGAAATGTTTTGTCTCATTTAAAATTTGACAGCGATTGTAGAAGGCAAACTATAGTTATTCAGCAGCAATTGATCCTTGACAGAACTAGGAACAGTATAAAACTAATTTATGTCCATGTCCTTTTAGGGACAAGTGGTTAAGAACTTAAGACATTGTTTGTTTTAGACAGCTGTAGAACACTGGAATTGGTTCAAATCAAAAAACCCTTGCCTATGTTCATATGAGTACAAATGTCCAATACAAAATTACTCACCTGAGAAGTATTATCAAGTGCAGGGCCTCTGACATGATCCTGGGGGCATTGGGACAAGCAACTGGGCAAGGAGGGTCCGGTGGCATACATCTTGGTTACTGGAGGTCACTTTGCTAAAACACAGAAACTGAGATTTAATACATGTACATATACTACGTTTTAGTTTTACTTATGTAATAATAATCAGATGTACGGGAAATTTTAAGCAAGCACACAAATGGAAAAACAAAATATCGAAATGAAAATAAAACCCACGCCACTAGGCAACCACATTCAGAAAAGTCACCGGTTGTCTTCTACTTTACGATCAAGTAACAGTGTTTAAAATACAGATGTGACGTCACCATTATTTCAAATAATCGTACGGGCAACTTGCCAATCGTACATTATTTATACTAGTGAAATATTGGACTCTCGTGACGCATTTCACTGTAAACGCACGCGCGGAGTGTCTGTATTTAAGTCGTTTAATGGTTTCGAGCTTAAGACATTGCGTAATATATTGTAAAAAATATATTACTTAATGTCTCGCTCTCGACCTTTAAACAATACAAATTGCCTAGTGTACAACATGCATCAGTTCTTAAAGCTGATTAGATGCAGAACCTATTGGGGTTAATTATGGCTATATGTTAGTATTGTTACCAACTCCCAATAAAAATGACAAAATAACTAGTATATCGTTCATATAAAGTGCCAGTTAACATTTACTATTTAATTTGCTAATAGCGGTTGAAAGACCCTAATTTGACCCGAGGACGATATGTTTGAGAGAGAAGATTTGTATATAGCTAAAAAAAATATAGGAGTTGTCATAACTACAAAAGACATAACACTGCATCATCAAAGCAACGTCCAAGATGCACCAAAATGTATGTGCGTAGTCTTCTCTTATCATCTGCGGTTTGCACAAACTGCCCTCAACAGAAAATTGAAAATGAGTATCATTTTCTGATTGAGTGCAACCGCGATGAATAACTCCGCAAGACAATTGTTTATTGGGCATTAGAGACCCAGCACTATACATTTTCTTTTGAAAACGCATGGTTAACCCGCCTTTTGCTCTGGCAAAAACAGTGTGCAACTTTGTGCAAGAAGCTTTCGAAATAAGGGATGTGGCACCCACTTCTATATAAACCCCCAAAATAACCAACAATTCAAAGACCTCTTCTTCACGTTTAGTTCAAGCGACTATGACATATATTCAAAACTTTGGTTTATATTTTGTACATACTCCTTTAATGTATATAAATGTACATTTCATCCACATTTATGTAATTTTCATCCGCTTTTTATATATTTTTCATCCATTTTTTTTAAGTATTTTTCATTCACTTTTATAATGTATTTATCACGCTGACTGTAATGTATAATTTACATGCTGCCCGAAAAGGGTGTCTTATGTAATAAAATCTATCTATCAGTGGTGCTGGACGGAGGGCATGGTAAGGAACAGCAGCTAGTAGTTCAGATTGGACGAAACTACTTCATCGGAAAAATTGAAAGCACTCTTACTGTTCAGACTAGTTGTTACACTGTTCTAGATATATTGTTAGTGATTTTCACCACTGGGAGTGATTTTGAAACCTATACTTAAATTAGATACTATTTTGAACTACAACATGACAATTATATGAAGTTACTGGTATATTTGTTTCTGTCGTCATTTCAACGAGGGTTCTCTTCTCTTTATCAACCAAGAATAAATAGATTAGTCCAGTCGTTTAATATTGTTTCATAGATAACACGTTTATTATTCTTAGTCATCCTGGTTTACTTCGACCTGGATTCCACACCATCTTCCCTAGGCTACGAATCGCGTCTGTTCTAGTCCAACGCGCTCCCAGGTAAGTTTCGTTCTTCCTCTATTAGCACATAGAGGTCCTAGCGTGATCTCAATTCCTGTATACAAAGACAGTGCTCCGTTAATAATATAATCCACAGGCCCGTAGCTAGCGG